TTGTGCATTTACACACGCGCCACTGTATATTATGCATGCATGCATGCATATATATAATTTCTAGTTCCGTTTTCACTATTTGTATCGTTGTTTCACGTACAAGATGTACAAGGGAAGATACAAAATCACCAACAAATATATAGCCTACCAACAAAGTCCACACTATGCAAGTCTATACAACCACCAGCTTGGTTCCCACTTTATCCTTGCAGGAGAAGTTTGTGTCCAAGGTGACCAAGATGATCCAAAACCGGAAGGAGGAGTCACAGGAAGTGCTGAAGGGATGGTTCACCCCGCAGCAAATGAAGACAGAACTTCAGTGGGATCAGACCCTTAGCCCTGCAGACTGGTGCAGAAATATGGGTAATTAAAAAGTTAGTTAAGAGGAAACATACATGTGCAAATGAACAGGGGGATTCAGGAACAGGGGGATTCAGGAAATGCAATTCGGAATATATATATGGACACCAATTATACGTTTTCTAAGGATAGGTTTCACCCGCTTCTACCAAAGCAAAATCAAGTTGCCATGTCCCAAAGGAAACTGGTAGACTAGTTCACCAACTGCACAATGACCATGCGAGTAGCTGGAAAGGTCTTATTTACCAGGTGCTTCTTGCCCTCCAGTTCGTTCTTGATTGTGTCGAGGGCAATCTAGGCCTGTTCTCCAGAGTCTCCATTGGGTTCATGTCCTTTGCTTCTTTGGGTTTTGCCGCTTTCCCACATTTGCTCGGATGAGCCCAAGTGACATGTACACGCAAGGATCCATGCAAGGATTGGTTCATAGAAACCTTCATATATGACAAGTAAAACTATAACCATACATCTTTTGGAGGGGCATATCAGTATTAGCTGGTGGGAAAACAACACATACCATGTTATTTAGTTTTACATTGAGCCATTTACTCTGGCTATTTTTCTTTGAACACAGACCCCCGTCCTGAAGATGTTGAAATGTTTTTGCTGATTCACGATCAACATATGTAGATTTCGCTGATCGATACAAGTTCCTTATAAGCTCTTGCAGTTCTCTAGCCCTTGCATTAAGGAGCTACATCAAGGACTGTGTGGCTTATTGCAAGAAGCATGGCCTGGTCAAGAGTCTTGGCAGGAAAGGGGGCATGTAATCATGCTTAAACATAACTAGCGGCGCATCAATGCAATAAATGAAGTCACACACCACATGGCAATGCGTATATGTGCATGTAAACAATTACATGCATTGAATGAGGTGTTGCTTTTGAATAAACTTTTATATGTGCATGACCCTGGGGTTATCCATGCCCACCCTATGGCGGTTGGTGCTGAGGAATGACAAATACAGCTCCAAGGTGTTCAAGTACTTTGTGGAGTACTCCGATAAGGAGTCCTTGAAGAAGAGCCGCATTGAATCCGAAAGACATGAGTCCACTGGGGAGGCAAGGCCCAAAAGCTTTCAGGAACCCAATCCAATCTCAATTCCCCACCATGGATCTAGTGGATTTAGTGTTACACCCATGCCCACATGTATATTGTGATGGTCAATGTTTTTTTTGGTGTGGAAACTTCGGGCAACCAACATTGAATATAGCATCACTGTTCAAGACCACTATGCACGTATATTTGGATTATATACATTGATATTTTTCTTGCACCAGGCGGGTGATGTGGCGTTGTCCAAAGACTGGATCAAACCCACGGAAGAACCGGATGAGTCCCAAGAGGGTGGCCATGTCCAGACGCCCGCTGAAGGGGAAACTTAATCTGCAATACTTGGTCTGTCAAGACATGTTTATGTTTATATATTCAAAAGCTATTATATATATTAAAATGTTTTTATGAAATTCACCCTTGACCCTTGGTAGAAAACAACACCTGCATGATAAGGATGCCGAGATCGAGAAGAAATTCCAGGATGGAATGCTGACAAAGATGAGCAAGATCACCGATTTAATTTCTAAGCTGGATTCCTTCGCTGAGGGTGGGGACAAGGATCGGGTCAAGAAGTGCGGGACTTACACCCTTTATACGAACATAATCTCCTTGTGTGAAAACTTTGGCACCCACATAGTATATAAATCTATTGGTGTACTCTTTGATTTGGGATGTATATCATTGTCTGGGTCTTGTTCGCTCTGGCCCAACCCAGGTCAATCCAAGCCTTGGAGCAGAAATTGTCTGATGCGCAAACGGCCTATGATGCCTTTGCAGCTGCCACGAGCGGGGCTGGTGAGGTTGGCAAGAGGGCCCCGGAGAGACTGGGTTGCAACTAATCTCACAGGACTCCCAAATTAACAGATTACATCTGAATGCAACAGATTGCACTTAATGCCCAGCAATGCCATATTGCAAGAGATTGCAACCCCATGGTAAAATTGTGCAACCCCATGATGCAACAGATTATATATCCCATCTCGTCCACTCAGGACAGCGAAGGAAGTCAAGGACAAAATGCGCACCGCTATGCAGACGTGACTTATCTGAAATGGACCACCTAGGTTTCATAACTCTCTTTGCAGCCACTCAAGTGGGTGGGCCTTGTAACTGCATGATTGAAAAACATCAGCCTAGTGTGCAAATATTATAAATTTAGCCATCTATATCTATCGATCTATATATGTGTCTTAATTATACTTTTATAGTTTCACAACAATACAACTATAAGATTGATCTTGACTAACTATATCTCTTTCAGCCCTGGCACCCCGAATCTCCCATGCCATGGCTCTGAGGGCTGCAGCTTTGGGATCTGTAGAAGCCCAAGCCAAGAATCTCACCTGCAAGCAGATGGTTGGGAAACAGGGTTCTGTATACATTGCACCATCTGACCAGAATGCATGTACAGCATATATAAAGCAATCATTTCATATTTTATATATCTATCACTAAATGTATGGGATTATATATATATATAATGATCAAATGGTCTATGATTCTATGATTCATATTGATACAGAAATTACATCTATATATAGATATAGATATATATGTATACAATGCCCGGACCAGGGCATTGGAGAAGAGCTTGAAGAAGAAGAAACGTGAAGCTGAGCAAGAGACAGAGGGCTAAGGCTTTTGAAGTCACTATGAACAGTGGCCTGGGTATACATAGACATGTGTGATAACACGCATGTGGTCGTTGGCAACATGCACGTGCAAGTGTATGTGCGGCCAGTTTTTGAGTCCCACCATGGGAGAGTGGGTGTTCTTACTTCATGTGCTTTAGATCGGATCGATGCACCTTAGATTTCAACAAGCATGTTGACTGGTGCCAATCTTGACCGTACCAAAGATCGATACCAATGCTTAGGAGGAGAAAAAAGTGATGATATGTATGCTCAACCACCCACCCCAGATGCCTCTCAAATTCGAACACCGGCTCGGCCATGGCAGGTCAGGAGCCTGAGTTGCATGGCTTGGCGCGCATGGTTGGCAATGGCGTCAGGATCCTAGTTGGGAACAAGCCCTGATGCCCTGATGTAAGTCAAGATATGGGGTCCAAAGGGGAAAGAAATCTACATAATCCCAAATTTAAAGTGGAATGCAGTTCAAATCCGCAATGCCATTTTGAAGTCAAGGGGGCCCGGAATATGGAGGGTTTTGATAAATCCTCACGCAGCTATGGTTCTGAAAAGATCATGTAGCACATCTTTGGATGAACTGCGGGACTTGCTCACATACAATTGCCCCATCACTGGGAAGAAGCGCTGCCCTCCATGCGGGAAGGAAAACATTCCTGTGATGCTCATCCTAGATTTTTTCAGGGTCGAATTTCTTTTACCCCCATTATCTACTGAGGAAATTATGTTTATCACTTTCTATACAATGTAATAAGATGTTGTAAGTTATACTTTAGTTGTTGGGGTTGATCCAAGAAAGAACGATGACCATCATGAACGTCGCTTAAATGCCATGGTTCATTCTATGGTCCCTGCTATGCAACCCTCTTCTGCTACATGGATGTATTTAGCCCAAGTTTTATTTTGGATTGGCCCCCAAATTTTGGGAGTATTGCATTTATGGGTTGGCTCGTCCCATTTCATCATCAAACAGCGTTTTTCTTTCCATGGTACCTTCGTATATTAGGTTGGAGCAACAAAGCGACATTCTGATGGACAACTTTCTTCATGGAATCCCCCACAGGTTCACATGTCCCATGACCACTGCCAGAGTCGGAGTTTGGAACAACAAGAAGAGCTTTGCCAACAACATGGGATATCAATTTCCTATTTACAGTTCTCCCGCAAGTACGATGCCAATGCAGGGACAATTTTGCAAAGGTGTCTGACGCAAGTTGGCCGTTTCAGGGACCGGATGGGTAGGAAGGTGTGTGTATTCAAACTGGGTTTGACTTCTAACCCGGTCTTGCGTTTCAATTTTTACAGGGAAGGAAATTACACACATATGACTCTACTTCATGTTTCGTCCAACCTTGGATTAATTCAAATGCTTGAAGCAGCATTGATAGCTGCCAATATCGATGAGACAGGGTGCCGGAACCAAAAATATGGTGGTGAAGGACCACCTAGTTCTGAGCACGAGCCATTTCATTTTGCCTATGTTGTGGGGGCCCGGGCAGATACTTTCAAACCAATTCGTTGACCTAGGTGTACTAGTGCCAAATGGCAAAATTAAGGTCCATTGCACCAGCCCAGTTTCAGTGAAAGCAATGCTGGCAGGGGAAGAAAAGTGGACGCGGACACATGGGTCTACAGGTGTTTGGGTATGCTTGCCCCCATTGTGAAGAGAAAAAAACTGATTGGTTATCAAAAAAAAGTTTCTATGCAAACTGCGCATTGTCACAGTGTTCCTTCCTTTTTCCCAAGATTAATTTTGTATACATATCAGTCCTAGCGCTCGACTGAGGTCACGTGCAGTGATGCCATTCGCCAGGCACGTGTCACAAGGGTGAGGTCGGACGGGCTTCGCAAGCTGGCAAAGGTCAAATTATCTAGAAGCGAATCTGGGGCTCATCATGTTTTTTCAACGTATGGGCAATCCATTGATGTGAAAATTTCCAGAACAGATTTGCCAAGCAAACGTGGGTTTCCCTACGTGTCCTTTGTGAACTGGCTTCGCTATCTTGTTGAGTACGACCAGCTTGAGCACTTAGTCGGGGTGAAAGACTTGGGTGAGATGAACAAGATCCTACTGACATTTTGGGACAAGTTCTCAAAGATTCACACTGAACATGTCATCTCTACAAAGGATACTGCATTCCGAAAGATGTGCATCCCGGTTCTGCTACATGGAGATGAGGGAAGGGGCTTGAAAAAAAAGCAGCTGATGGTGTTGGCTACACACGGCATCTTAGGCAAGGGCTGCAGCCATAGTACGAATGATGTTGGGGGTGAAGCTCTCCGTCTCAATATGGTTGGAAACACCTGGTTGAACCATTTCTTGCAATGTGTCCTCCCGATCTCTCTCTACAATGAGACGCCTGAAGCTTTTTTTCACATGTTGGACTTACAGGCCAAAGAATACAAACAGCTGTTTGAAGAAGGCTTAGTAGTACAGGGTCGACGGTGCTATGTTTGCTGTGTGGGTGTGAAGGGCGATGCCCCATTTATTTCGAAATCTGGGAAATTCGAACGTGCTTTTACCCGAAGACCTACCCGTGCTTCCAGCAAGAAGGCAGCTGATGGCATTTGTCATTTGTGTCTTGCGGGGAAGGAGAACTATGATTTTCCAGTTCCATTCGAGGAATACGGGGTGCAGCGGCCTGCATGGCTTTGGACAGTTGGTTCAGTTTGCCCCTACTCAGAGCCATCCCCTTTGCTTCAAATCCCTTTTGAAATTGGTGGTACTACGGAAGCCCTCTGGTGCTTCGATTTGTTCCACAATTTCCACAGTGGTTTGGGAAAGTACTTTGCAAGTTCTGCAGTGTGTATTTGCCTGGAATTGGTTCAACTTAGCATTGATGATGCCTTCAACTTCATCACAGCTGATTTCAATTCCTACTGCCGGAGGAACAAAGAGAGTCCATACCACAAGAGATTGACGAAAGCGTTGTTTGGGGTGGAGCAGGGTTTTCAGGATTGTCCTGATGGAGGATGGAGCAAAGGAGATTTCACCAGACTAGTGCTCAAATGGTTTGGCGACTACACTTCAAGACATGTCTTGGGGAAAACGAATGACCAACTATACTTGAAATGTGTTTCTTTGGCTTTATGTATACTTTGGTATAGTTTTGTCTTAGTTGGGGTTGGTATTTTAAATATGGGGATATCCATTTCCAAATTTGCATGTTTCCCTACTGCTGCATTTCCTGTTAGGCTGAAGCAGCCGTGGCGATCAACGAGTGCCTGGGAGGGCTCTACCGTGAGGGTGTTTTCATCCCAGCAGCCCGGGCAGAACGCATTGCGAGACAAGGTTTGCAATTTTTACGTTGCTACGCTTGGTTGGCTAGGGAAAGCTATGAAAGACAAATGAAAAGATTTCCTTTTGCGCCGAAAGGCCATTACCTCCATCATACATTTCTTGAATTATTGCACCAAAGCAAAAGGTGCGATCACTGCATGAATGCTTTGTGCTTTAGTGTACAAATGCAAGAGGACTACATTGGCCGGCCTAGCCGGTTGGCTAGGCGAGTAAGTAGCCGCACTACTTCGTTGCGGGTCATCCAAAGAACCTTTTTGGCAGTTCGCAACTCGTTGGGAGCTGAAATTGCTCAAGGTTGGTGATCTGGTTTGGTGGTAAAATAAATAAATATATTTGAAAGCTGGCATATGCCTTGAACCAAGTTCAATCTTAATATAAAAACATTTTTTTGTTATATAAGGATTCTCCCTGATGGCCATGCCCAGATCCAGGCCAAGGAGCAGTGTCAGTTGCGAAGGTCACTTGCAGGATGTAGATCCAGTTGGCAGCGAAAACCGGGCGTGGTGAGATGGGAAGGTGGACAACATGCAGGGTATCCTTAAACATATCTATTCCATATTATTTTCAACATTACCCAAAATACAGAAACCAGGTTTTCCCACATACAACCTTGTTTATTTGGGTTGTCATAAAAAACCTTTCTTTTTTAGGGTTGGGAGAGGTGAAGGTATATATACATAATGTTTGTTTGTTTTTTTAGGGCCGTAACAACCTTGAACCATATCCTTCAGCCATACTCATAAGATCCCAAAAGATTGACAGGTAAATATATGGTTATTGCATATTTCGCGCCCCACGTGTAAATGCCACAACCGAATAGCTACTAAATAGTCTAAATAAGGTGGGTAACTTGCCATGCGAAGTGCCAAAACGTGGAAACCAACATGTAGGAATCTAACCGCCAATAATACTGGGGACTGACCTACTGGCCTACTGCATGGGGGATCGGCGATGCCAAATAGCCACTGCGACCGAGAGGAATATTATGGCGACCTCCACATGGAATCAAACCAAGAGGCCTCCTGCTTTCCAGCAAGGTTCCCAAGTTGCTACTGACATTGCTGGGACCCCCGACACGCCAAGTGGCAAAAGCCAGGTCCCAGCGAGCCTTAAGCAGTGGTCTATAGTGGTATTATGATAGACACAACCAACAGCACATCCCAATAGTTTTCAATCTCGACATGGGCAATAACGTAATTTAAAATAAAGCTGCAAGCAACCCATTTTGGGATTAGAACGTAGAAAATCATAGAAACTAACATTGGAATTGGAACACATCCAACAACAATGAATGAGGGCTCAATGTTCTGAAAACAAGTACCATACGGAATGAGAGGAATTGCAATAGAAACCAAAAACTGAGTTGGGTAGGGCAACATGTATATATATATATATACAAATTGATATTTATGAATATATACTTATTTATGTGTATATACATATATTTATTTAACAATATTATATATAATATATCATATGTATATATAATATATCATATGTATATATAATATAATATGTATGTATATATATATTATGTATTTAAACATATGTATATATATATATAAAGTACTTAAACATGTATGTATAACAAAAAAAATACAGAGCAAAACCATGTTTTTGCATTTATCTACATGATACCTCTATAACACCCCACCCATCCCACAGGGGGGGGCGGGGGCAAAGTAGACCCTAGATGGGTCATTTACATGCTGGCCACATACGACCTACTTACTTCCTTACACACTAGTTGTGCCAGTAACACACTACCTAGCCCCCACCACCCCACAGGGGGGCGGGGGTAAAGTAGACCATAGACCCTACATCGATCATTTATATCCTAGTGACATGTCAACTATATCCGACATAAAGCCTCCAACATACAGCGTACATACAGGACCATGACCATGAGGGGGGGAGGGGGGAGGGGGGGTTGCTAGGCTGATATATATATATATACATATGTATATATATATGTATATATATGATTATAATTATATATAATAATTAATATTATATATATATAGAACATATCTACATACATATAGTGACTAAAACCTATATACCACATTTGAACCGAGAATCTCTGGTGATTGCAGTAGCTGAGGCACCAAACCACTGCTGCCAATCGCACCGAAGCGATGCGAAAACCAAATGAAAGTCGTTGATGGTCCTGTCGAAGAACAAGGTGAAGATGCGAAACAATTTGCCTAGAGGGGAACCATCCAAAAGGGCCTATGGCGCATGCTAAAACACGTAAGCCTTGGAATTCCAAGTAGAAACTTGGCTAAAGGGGTCCCTGAGCCCATACATCAGCGATGCCAATGCACAGTCGTTCATCACCTGGAGGCAACATGAAAAATGTGGCTGAAGCTATATAATGCACTCACAAATAGGGCTCGGCTCCATGCGCGCTCAGAGTCAGCTGGAGCTCGCGAGGAGCTTCTGGCATTTGCTGTGATCTCCGAGTCCACTGGTGCCCACAGTCATGACGAGCTTGCAGAAGGAGGAGACACGGAGGATAATCGAGGAGAAGAGGAGAGGAGGAGGAGGAAAAGGGAAAAGGAGTTGAACCTTTGTTAAGATCTAGAGACCCTCACCTGGCAAGGAACAAAAAAAAAACCAATCAGATTGTCACTTTTTTTTATCTCCAGAAACCAAAACGATGCCCCTAACTGATGTTTGAGCGGGCCCAGTGATCAAACATCTGCTTGATTCTATCTAGTGTAACCATCTTTTGCTTGTGGTCCCCGTATGAATTGTGATCTTTACCAATAAAAACTATCTATTGTTGCTTTTGCCATGCAAAATGTATGGCGTAGCAATGTGAAACGAGGAACGATTTTCTACTGGTCACAAAAACACATTACAATTGCCCTGTGTATTGTTACAAAACTCCACACATTCCATCATGGAATTGGCACGCCTGATGGCTGCGTCTCTGGGCCATCACCTACAACCGCGGCCATGGCCACTGGTTACTGTGAAGTAAAGGCTGCAAATTAGCCAGGAATAAGTGCATTGAATGCTTTGTGATTGGACAAACATGATGCTGTCATCATGTTTCATCAAACCACTGGGTGTGCAAAAGAAAAATACATGTCCAAGAAATGGGAAATCATGTGTCCATGTGCAAAAATCTCCCATTTGGATAATAGGCAGTCAAATGGGGGGACTTGAAAACTTCCGAATTTCGAAGAAAATTCGTTGAGACAGTTTTGCCTAGACTCACCTGTATTAATGAAGAATATATAAAAACGAGCAAACAAAATCAGCCTTGGTAGGTCTTTTGGTGGGCTGATCTCTATCATGCAGGATGCCCTCTATGTGCCTGGCTGTAATGACAAACCGCTGATTCAGGTGCCACATTTTGTTTGTGGAGAAGCGTTATAGTAGGATGGACATGTCAACCCCTAACATGTCAGAATTGTGTTAATGGACTTTGACCAATCGATCTACGGCATTTATTCATCCATCGATCTATATATCTTATCTAATCTAATCTACTGAATCTGATCTAATCTAGTCTCATATATGTATGAACACAAAATTAATGTTAGAGCCACTTTATTCCAATCAAATCTATCTATCTATCTATCTATCAATCTGTATCTCTGTCTGTCTGTCTATCTATCTATTTGTCTGTCTGTCTGTCTGTCTATCTATCAATCAATCTATCTATCTATCTACCTATCTATCTATCTATCTATCTAATTAGTCTATCCAATATATCCAATCCATCTAATCTATCTAAGCTATCTAATCTATCTAATCTATCTAATACATCTAATACATCTGAGATATCTTAGCTGTGTAATCTAATCTATCTAATCTGTCCTAACCTATCCTATCCTATATTGTCCATATATTGATCAATCAATCAACCTTTCTATCCTATCCTACCCTATCTTATCCTATCCTATCTTACCCTATTGCATATTTTCCTAACCTGTCTCATTCACGAAGCTATCTACCTATCAACCTAACTGTTTTGCCTACCATATCTACATTGTATATATATATATATAATGATTATTAATTAATCCTAAATTCATATCTAACATTTCATTCCTTCTGATAAAATCTTATCTATCTTATCTTAGCTATCTACATTATCTACCATCCACCTATATGATCACATCTCATCTATCTATCGTCCCTATTTTTCTACAGTAGTAGCTATTTCAGCCATCTCATCTATCTAATTTATCACGAATCTATCTAATCTATCCAATCGTCAAATACATCCACTGATCGATCCAGTCGACATATCTAATCTAATTATCTAATTCAATTATTTTATCAAATCGATCAAACCTATCCAATCTATTTGATCGATTTCTTCTGTCTATTTTTCTATCGATCCATCTCGATGCCTCCAGGATAGCCGTGGCCTTTCGCCATTTCAACTCCTGCCGCCACAGTCGCGTGAGAAAGCAAATGGATTGGGTGGACAAAGTCAATGGTCAATGACTGGATATTGAATTTGCTTTATCAGGGCCACTAAATAAAACTTGGGGCACAACCACTATTCTTGGGTCAGTGAAGGTGAAGTAAATTACAAAACACCGCATTTCCATGCATTTCATGCATTGCTGGCAGGTTTCGTTTAAAACAATGCCCATGGTGGCGAAACCCTTAAAAGAGAGTGTGGCGATCTGGTCAGCCAACCATCCCTCTCATGTGGGGCTGACCGTGCTGGTTTAAGGCAATTCCATGATTTACCCGTCATGTAGATGGTCATGACATCCAGCAGGATTCCTTGTGTCAAAAATAACGCATAATATAAAAATATATATAACATGCATACTGCATGTTTGTGTATATATATATACACATACATATATATATATATGTACATATATATATATAATATGTACATATATATATATATAAATATTATATATATATGCATATACGTAAATATAGCCATCCTGAAGTAGATGAAGATTCCCATATTCTACTCGAGGAAAAACTACACCAAGCCGTCTCTCCTGGGAAACAAAAGCTGCCGTGAGATAGACCTGAAGGCACCCGTTGAGAATCGTGGTCGCTGATGGCTAAGGTCACCATCCACAGAGTTCTGAATGCCCAAAATCATCAAAATAATCATATTATAGTAATAATAGATAAAAAAAGATATGATAGATATAATAGTAATAGTCAAAGTAATCATAGGAAATAAAAATAGTAACAGTAGTGAAAACCACTATGGTAATAGCTATTACAGTACTTAATCCCAATAGTACTGTAATAAAAGCCAACAGACATTGGATATATATATATATATTTATATGAATTGAAACGGTGATCAGTGATAATCGTACTAATCATAGTACCAATAGTAGTAATAGCGAAGAATGGGATAACTAAGAGTAATGAATAATATGTATATATATATATAGTCATCCGATATCATGCGCGGAATTAATAGTAGTGACAATATTAATTGCTATCGTAATAATGATGATAAAGATTCTACAAGAGTAACAACAACAACAACAACCACCACCACCACCACCACCAGCACCACCAACAACATTATAATTAATCACACCGAAAAAAGATAACAAGTTCAAAAGACAATCCATTTCAATATATGTACTATCAGGTGCTAGCTAAACTCACTTGTAGCTCCAACTGGCTCCACACTCCTCACTAGGGAATGTGGATACAAATACAAATGATGCAACCATAGCTCCCAACTTCCATTCACCAGCTGATACTGTAATGGAATCATCCGGACGGGATGGAGAAGGATAGTTTGAGGTTCCAAAAGTGCAACAGAAGTTTGGCGAATCTTGTTGTGATTTAGTCTGGAAGGGTGTTACTCTCCTGATGACGATTGAACCGCACAAATATATAATTGTTCAATGGGATTTACCGGTGATACAATGCAGATAAAATGAGCCATATAACATCTCCGATAAGCGAAGAGTTTGCTATGCTATAGATGGCCCATTTAGATCCATTTACATTGATGATCTGCGGTTTAATGCGGTTTACCTATCAAGCATGGTAATTTTCAATGCAAATGCTATGATTTCATCAAAGTGCCAGCCGAAGAGCCGTTTGTATAAATGTCAATAGCTGCTGGCCGTTGGGCCATGAAGTTCGGCCCTCTCCAACATGTTGGCGTGACTCTGATGAGACTCAAACTCACCATAGTCATCCATAATCCACAGGTCACTGTTGGAAATTAATACTTACATGATCATCAAACAACTTTACATCAGCCACGCTTGGTTGGCCCAATGTTGCAATCAATCATTCCACAACACGTCACATCATCTCAAGCAATTTCACGTCATATCGAATCAAGTCATCAATATTTTATGGTTTTACGCACATATTGAACTGGACCCACAGCACGTTACAACAACATCTTGCAACTTCCGTCTGGGGCGATGACATCATCCCAGTGTGCATCACAAAGGTTGGTGTAGTGGCCTGCTTTTTCCAACAAGGACCTGGCAGCGACCAGCCAAGGTGACCGGGGTGTGGCAATCCTCAAATCCTTTGTATAAGAATAACATGTAATATCATATGTGTACCTAGTCAAATTCAATGGAATTCAATGGTATCCCCCATCTTTGGATAAAACTATCCCACATCTTAAAAGATAAAGTGCTAAATGTTTGCCAAGTAGCCAGTTTTCAACTGACGCAGGAAGCGAGGGGGAACCGGCAAGGGTACTACTCGTAAAGTGCTTTGATTCAATCAGATTGAAAAAAAACAATTTGTACAGCGACCCCCCAACAGATAGAAAAGCTGGAAAGCTGGAGAATATACAGGAGAGTAAATCTATCACATCCTGGAAAGACTTTCCTACCTTTTCATTGTTGATGTGACTGGAATCGCAACCATATGCAGACTTCAATCCAGGAAAATTCGTGGCGGTGCGACAAGACCTTTCTCCAAGAGCCAGGCCGCGTTATTATCAATCCTTTCATCGCCTGTATGGGCCGAAAAGAATGGTTAGATCCAAGGTCAAAACAGGGACAAACAAAGGGGGGCTGTTCAAAAGATGGGCGTGTCTGAAAACTGGGGGGTACCTCCACATGGCTATAGGGAACATGACTATAACCCAGTGGATTTAACCAAAGTGTAGGGAGATGGGATGGAACTTGTTTTATTTCTGCGTGCGCGCAGGAAACAAACAGTCTGACATGAAATGGGACATTGGCTTCCCAGTAGGCTTCGGCAGCAAATAGTTTCGATAAAATCTGGTGAATGATATAGGCGCTGTGTATGGTATGACAACATCTAGTTCACCTTTTCAAAGCCCTCACACATTGTAAGCTCTGGATTCGAGGTGATGATCCGATTCACGAGTTCCTCGCCGAAGTGGAGAGAAACCACGGGAGCCAGGTCAGTCAGGTGGGTTTGATCCACCGTGAACACCACGCCAGAGGCGGGTCACTGAAATCTTGTCGTCGGTACGTCTCTGTCCAATCAAAGTGTGCCGAGCGCAAGTCCTGAAGGGAAGATGCTTGGACAGGGGAAGCGGTCAACAACCTGGATGTTGAATATCTGAATCTAAGTGACTGTGATTTTTGTGAAGCTATGTGCGCATCACACAAATAAATTGGAAGATATCACTTTCAGATCCTTCAGGCGACTTCAAAGCGCGTACATGAAAAAGTTCCCTTGGTCCATCCCTGTGCTAGGTGGATCGCCATGTTAGGTTGTGAAATCCCCGTAACCACGTCCCGAGATCCGTGGATAATCTATATACCGTTTGTTTGCGTTTACATTCCGGTTCAGCTAATCAAAACCCTACATCGCTAGGTATATGTTAAAGCCCTACAGGGTCCTTTTCCACGTAAATTGTTCCAATTCTTCATCGTTTGTTTTTGTCCAAAAAAAACCGTAAAGAACATATTTTGGTATAGGTCATATTCCCATGAACACATCACCGTTTGAGTATAGATCCCCAGACAATCCAAGTATATTTCCAATTCTTAATATATTGTCAAATTTTGACCAATCATCATGTTGTGCTGTTCATGGACAAAAATCATATTCCACTACCCAACATGCAGGTTTACCCGGTAAACATCCAATGTTTGGTCGTTGGTAATAAACATATTCCTCATGGTGTTGTGTTGAACTTGGGTCAGATATAGTAACTCCCGAAAAAATGCGGAAAAAGTAAACAGTTCCATCACATAGTGCGATATAATGCCATATGATATCTATATGAACCCCATGTTTTTTTCCAAAGTTCAAAGTACATATCCATATAGTACATAATATGCACGATTCCAATATATCACTCATTTGTTTCCCCTAAACGAACCAGCATTACCAGCTTTGGTCCGGTGATGTCGCCGGCGGTCCTGACACCGCAGCTCAGTGGCATCGAAGGCATGTAGCACTTCATCTTTGGACAGCTGCACCGGGCCACGGCTCGCAGGCTCCTGCGACCGCGGCCACGAACCAGGAATGGGCGTAACATTGAAATAACATGAAATAACACAGTAGACAGATATAGAAACATGTACTTAAAAGAGAGATATATAATACATATGTAGATGTATATATATAATATAATATATATATATAGGAAAATTGAACTAGGCCAAAACTGGCAAAATGATAATATGGACAACTTCAGTTTGCTGCAGTTGATGACCTCTTTGGGCTGGTAACGCCGGTGATCGTGGCTGTCCCCAGCTATCGTGGCTTAGCCCAGCTATAAAATGCAAGTATATGGGGATCAACCAATATAAAAGTCACATCAAGTAACCATAGTTACAAGATGTTACAAGATGTTGTAAGTTATAGAGGGGATCACCGGGGGTAAGTGGGTATTATCACTGGGATGGCTTGACTAATCCGAGTCTCGGATCGGCTCCTCCGAGTTTCCGGTCAGCATCAAGAGTTCTCCCCCCGGTGCCAGCAGATGGGCAATCGCCTGGGCGGCGGCCTCCGGGTCCATCTGATACCTGGGCACCGGGGTTAGTCATGGCTGCTGTATGGATCCAAAATGGATCCCAAAATGGATCAAACATGGATCAAAATCTCAAGCTATGATAGCTATGGCTGGTGACCGATCCAATGTGTTGGCGCTCGCAGAACTGTTCTGGCGCATCATTTTCCAGTGATGTTTTGGCCTCGAACTGACTGTATAGAGAGAGGATTCCTGGATATACCACTAAGCATGATAGGAAAAGGATATACCAACTATCAGATCGACCAACAGAAACAACCTAGCTGTGTTGGTTTCTTCGCCATAGTTCAAAGGCCCCGAAACTTCACATTGCGTCAGGTGGACCTGATCTGGAGACATACATGGCGACTCTGGATGAGTTGGTTTAGCGTTTAGCCTTAACTCAGTCCCAGGCACAAGCAATGGAAGCACTGGCAATCGAAAATGAAGTCAAATTGCCAACTACCTGGAAAGAAAGGACGTATATGGACTTGACTTGGAAGACAGCAACCCATCAGTCTGCCCACCAGTAATGAATCCCAATCTTTCGCAACCTACATATTCCATCGAAATCCAAGTTTAAACACCCCAAAAAGGCCATCAGCGAAGTCACTATAGATGTTGGGCCAGCTTTCCCAATCAACAACCATCTTTCTGGGCCAACTGACCTATACTCAGGATTCGCCTCCATCAAGCAAGGCAATGTCCTCAGTGGGTAACTCCAGAATATCGGCGCAAATCACCTGCGAGTGGAGAACATCAGTGCCCTTACTTACACATCAAAATAGTGACCACCCTTAGAGATACCTGGGTCCCAAGATTCACCGATTTGCCTGTCGCACATTCAATCTACAACTGAAACACTCGCATCCGTATTCAAATCGGCTCTTCTCTTTGCTCAACAGCACACTTGCATTGCCCCGGAAACCTTGCTTGAGTAGATCCAATATGTTTCTTCCAGCGTTCCCTACATCAATTTACTCCTCCAGCATGCCCTGGTCGCAGATCAGCAGCTGTGCATAGCTTAAAACGAAACTAGAGTATTTTTTAACTAAAGTAGAAATATGATGAAATATGTATACGGTATCACGGATATGTGCTGCTGTCAGCTTGCGGCGGCAGTAGCACACTTGCTGCCCGTATTGAATAGTTCCTGCCTGTGTTTTGTGCCCCAAAACAGGGGCCAGATTCTGGACCCAAAAATGGGGCCACAATACTAAAATTGGTAGCCCAGCTTCCAAATTTGACCCCAATTTTGGACCATGGTATATGCGTTTTGCCTTCTGCAAAGAGCGCGTTGAGCTGCGACAGGTTGCATCTTTCATTCATGTTTTCTTGCGCTTGGTGCCAGGATGCTGGTTTCCCAGTATATAGATATGATTATATATATATATATTTACTTGAATTATTTATTTATTTATATTTGAAAGTCACCAGTCCATTGGGTCATTGGATTATCGTTTTTTGCCACCTTTCTCAGCCATCCTATTTGGCCATCCTATGGCTTTGCGTGACCTGCCAGTTGGTGGAAGGCTGCATCTGCATCGCTGCAGTGCTGATCTCCACAGCCTCCTTCACAATGTCCACTCCGCAAACGAAGTCGAAACCATGTCTGGCCAAGGCCACCAAATTCTCACCTGAGGGTTTTTTTGAATGGATCAGTTTTATGCCAACGGATCATAACAGATCCACAAATTAAACCATCCTTTTGTTTGGGGTTTGGGGCCATGCCTTTTTCAACGATTGAAACGCATGCGCAAACTTCAAGTATTTCCAAATAATCGTGGACCTTCAAAATCCAGTAATTATGTGATGGTCTGCGTGGTCGCAGTTGTTGCCTCTACATACCCATATTTTTGAATCGTCTTGAACCCATCCGTCCAACATCCATCAACCATGATATCCCAGCTATATCATGTTCTATCCGGTTTAATCCCTTTTATAATTTTGTATACCCACATTTTCTCTCTATTCAATCATTTTAAATCTATCAAAAATGGTTGGTGTGTCCTTTATACAAGGTAGTGCAACACCCGGTGCCATGTGTTGCTTCAACTGCACCAGGTCACCAGTGCTGCATCCCAATTCCAACGCTCGGCCCTTCACGTCTTCCGTGGCCAGGAAGTCCCGTAGCTGCGAGGCGGGCTGGTGGCTCCGCCACGGCAGCTGCCCAGCGGCATCGCTGTTTTCGCGTGCATCCGCTGGTAGATGCGGGGCGTAAGAGCCTGGGGCAGGCGATCGAAAGAACTACATGGCATGGGTATAATCTGGTAGAAGTTGCTGACTTTTCATTTTTGTTTACCAAAATCCTGATTTGTTTCCATCTGTTTTGCTGAAGCGTGCAGTTGCTGTTACAGCGGGAAAAATTCATCATTGAGGTGATGTCCTTGCAGAACTTCATCCCACTTTGCCTTGGTAGAAGCCAACCCATTTGTCTCGCCGTAGCCACTCAGACATCGCAGAGATCAAACCTGGACCAGCTTACATCCATGGTGGCAGGCTGCTGACAGCTCCCGCCCTGCTGAAGACTTGAGCCCTGGCTTGGATGGACTAAATGGACGTGGGAAAGAATAGGATGGCTTGGATTTAGTGATATCAAATTTGACATAAGATTCAGGCAGTTCGGCAAATGTTGCAGCAGTGGGCACATAAAACTGATTTTAGCTGCACTTTTGGTGTGCCCCAATGTAACTATCTATCTATAAGCCGATATGTTCTCACCATCTGGTTTGATCAGATCTTGAACTGACCTAAATATTTTTTTCCCCAGCAGCATAAGCTAATGGGGTTTTCAGCCCAGAATAGATCCGGTGTGCACTTCTGCAGGCGCCGGGTCAGATTCAACGAGGTTCCGGAGAAGCCTTCGAAGGTTCCGGAGAAGGTCTCGAAGGCTTTGGTGCAGAGCCAGGTCAGGTTCAACAGGGTTCCAGAGACGGTTCCGGAGAAGGTCTGAAGGTCTGGGGGGAGGCTTTGGTGCAGAGGCAGGTCAAGCTCAACAGGGTTCCGGAGAAGGTTCCGGAGAAGGCTTTGGTGCAGAGGAGGTCAAGTTCAACAGCGTTCCTGAGAAGGTTCCGGTGAAGGTCTGGGAGGCTTTGGTGCAGAGCCAGGTCAGACGCAACAGGGTTCCGAAGAAGGTTCCGGAGAAGGTCTGGGAGGGTTTGGTGCAGAGCCAGGTCATGTTCAACAGGGTTCCGGAGAAGGTTCCAGAGCAGGTCTGGGAGGCTTTGGTGCAGACCCGGCTGAAGTGTTTCCAGCGCTTGGCTTCGCAGCACGCTTCAGAAAGATTTGTAAAAATAGAACGTTGCGGCTGTTGGGGATACCACCGAAGCTTACTTGTTTATTATTTTCACTGGATGTGTATATATATATATAGATATATATATATATATAATATATATAGATATTTACATCCGTTTTTCTGTCTGCCTATCTATGTCTCTATAGATAAATAAATACATATCTGTTTCCATATCTCTATATGTATCTCTTCATCTCTTTATCCCATTTCAAAGCTCTATATACAGTACATATGACCAGCGTTCAGAACCCTTGATATTGGTTTGCAAAAAAAATGTTCCCCATGATGTGTGGCAATATTCACCAATAAACCAGCTAGCCTGCCGTCAATAAAACGGCAAGACCCTATGCCCGTAACATTGAAGCTGACAAGACAGGCCCCTCTGTTTGTTGATGCTTGGTTGTGACACCCCGCAATTGTGGTATTAATTGGGTTGATCATGATAGTATCGCAAACTATGCTAACTACTCGCCAATTGGATAGCCAGGGATTCTCCATGTATATGTAAAAATACAAATATATTCATGTATGATTCCATCTGATCGTATTAGCAAAAAAACATTCATGGGATTGCCAGTGTATAGCATGGATTATAAGCTAAAACTATCGCATAACCTAGCATTAACAGTATAAACCCATAATAGCCAGACATGTCTCAGAAAATGGAAGTTTCCTAAAATATGGCTACCCACAAAACATCCATTTTTGTAGGAGTATCCATTATAAACCATCCATTTTCGGTACGGCCAGGACTATGGAAACCACCAAATGTTCCTCGTTGTTGCGCCACGGCAATGTGTGGCGCGTTGCGCCTGAATCAGCGTCTGTCGTTTCCACACCAAATCGGCGTAAAAACCTTGGTGGAAAGGATCGTTGGCTAAGGCATATCTCCCCGCAACGGAGCAACAGTAACAATAACAACCAAACGAGAATTAAAAAAAACAAAAAAAACATGTTTTTTTGCTACTGGGGTAACAATCATAGCGGTCATGATTTAATATGGTTAAAAACAGTAACATAGCACATATAATAACACTACTAATATCTACTAATAATAATGATGATGATGATGATAATGTTGCTGTTTTTCATGATATTAATTGTGCGTACAGTAATATTGACAAAAAGAACAATAACGCAATAATAAACAACTCTCTCTCTATATATATATAAATATCTAAAGTTATATATATAAAAAATATATATATGTACATATCATTACACATCGCTGATTGCCACGTGTGGTTATCAGAGGTGAAACTTTACACTCTGTATTTATTTACCTTTGTTGCCTGCTTGGCCGTAACCGCCCGCCAACGCGGCAAGTTTCAGCAGGTGGTGTGCTTCTGAGGCTGCTGCGTGAGTACAGTACATGCATTGCAATTTAGGTTGTTTGTCACTTTTGTTGCTAAGGTATGTTGTGTCAGTTTTTCAACGTGTAGGGATATTCAGGCCATGTTAAGATGCTCAAAATCATCCACGGGAACAAACTTTGACAGCCAGAACTCGTTCACCTTAAAATAACTTTAACAGAAACCTTCGACATCCAAGGGAAAACATTATCTATCTATTCAAGAAGCTTGAACATATGTCACATCCCTTGCACAAATCACAGGCCGATGTTCTGTCTGATTCCTGGAGATCAGCTTGCTGGTCAACCACGTTTTTTTTCTCACTGGCAACTGAACATGGCAATGGAAACACCATGATTGTTTCCCATCATGTTGAGTTAATTCTCATTCTACGAACTTTGAATTCCAGGATTGTTTTCCCAGACTTTTCTGTAGGTTCCGATGGATGTTACATTGCCATGTCAGATTTCTGAAGTTTTCACCCCAACCGCGACCCATCACCGAGGCCAAAGACTCCTGCGATTCGCTGAGTCCTGGGTCAAAGAAACATAGAGATGGAGGAAAATCGGGTACAACCAAGAAGGAAGTTCTGAGTTGATATTGGATATATGATATACTGTCCCTCGCATATATATATATTTATATAAAAAAACATATCATGTTTATGATATTTGAAGTAATGTATATATATATATATACAATATATATATATATATACATTAAAAATGTTGTTATATATCATCAGCAGATATATGTATAAGTAGTAGTTATATGTATATAAAGATCGTAGTTCCATATATAATCGTTATATATTTAAATGTGTGAACATAAATATATATATATATAAATGTTATATTTTGCATGTTTCAACTGCAATTTCCACTCATGTGACATCTTGGCAGGTGACTTGGAGGGCGATCTTGGATCATTCGATTCATCCGTGCGCGATATCTGCATGGCACAAGGAGGAGGGCGGGAGAGGCATCTTGAGACCAAAAAGGGACAGCAGTTGGCACGAGCCGTTGGTTCGCGCGACGGGCAATGTGACACACCAAGGCTAAGCTGATGCACGTGTTGCAAAGTTGCGTGCCATTTTGACTGTAATCACGGCTTTCTTGCCAAGCAGTAAACTCTGCGTGTGGTTTTCGCTCTGAACATTCGGCGCCAGACCAATACCCCCGCAGCTTCAGGACGCAGTCGCGGCAACAGCGTCGGTCAGCATTGCGAGCTTTCCAGACAGCAGGGCCATAGTCTTTCTCTGGCTTGGGAACCCCACATTTGAACTATGGTTTCTTGGCTTCGGGTAAGGATACATAACCCCAAAGGTTTCGCATTCGTAGCGGAGCTTAGGCTGCCGCAGGGGATAACCGTTTTGGTAAAGCTTAATTCAGGGTGGGGCATCCTGTCAATTTTGTTGCACGTGTTTGTAATTATTCCATTTTCGGGAGATCAACAGACAAAAACACAGATCACCGTAGAATGCGCACCTGAGCTCTGCAACTGATGGGGCGGACACGCAACCTGCGGAAGCAGCCGGTTCAGTTCTTCCAGCGAGCCAGCTGCCTTGGCAGCAAATTCCCAGCTTTAGCCCTCAGACAACAGACATCCAGGTCTATGCCAGAAAGCTCCAGTTCTTGAGGGATACATGGCCTCAGGAACACCTGGCGCAATTGGCGCCCCGAGCAGCACTTTAGGTTCAAGGAGTGGCTTTTCAGAAAGTATCCCGGCTTGACACGGAGAAGCTCAGGAGTGAATCAGGTGTCAAGTATCTGGTGGAGTCTTTGGGGGATAGCTGGGAAAAACTGGCAAAGCCAGGAGAAACTCTCCGTTTTTGAAAGGGCCTTCTACCAGACGGTCCAAAAATCGGATGAAACAAATGATTCATATCTGGCTCGACATGATGCCTCCTTCGAAGACATGATGGCCAAGAGCGTCTCAATGGAGGAGGTTCGAGCCTATGTGATGATTCGACAATCGCAGCTTAGCAGTGAAGACCGAAAAAGGATCGTGGTGGAGACTGAGGGAAACCTCACCTATGCCGGAGCGGCCCTCTCGACAGCTGTGTTTTCTCCTCACAGTCACGCCAGATTCTCAGGGCAAACCTATCACTCGAGGTGTCATATAGGCATGCATGTCGATGATGGCATAGGGGTGGGGACGATTACTATATGGAAGTCATTGGGAGACTCCGGGAGAAGTATTCTTTTGGTGCTTTCAATATCATGGAGTTTGATTTCTGTGGAATCCGTTACCGTCAAATGGAAGACGGCAGTACTGAGATGTTCCAAAGAAGGTATGTAGAACAAATCGATACAAATCGAACCCATCCAAATTTTGAAACATCGACACAAGGAACCTCAAGCTCCTGTCACCGAGCAAGAGCGGCAGTGTTTGAGACAGATCTGCGGTTCCCTGCAGTATGCAGCAGTCCAGGCCCGGCCAGATATCTGTGCCAAAGTTGGACTTCTCCAATCGGCAATTCCAAGGGCATGCGTTGAAGATTTATTGGAAGCCAATCGAGTTCTTTTGGAGGCCAAAGCTCATCCAGTAACCCTTTTAACCGTTCCTATTCCCCAGGCAAGTGTCGCTTTTTGTGTTTTGCCTGATGCTTCTTTTGAAACAAAGAAAGGGGGTTCATCTCGACAGGGAACCATATTTTTTTTTACCACGGATGGGACCATGACCAACAATCAACTAACTCTCGGTGATTTGTCCGATAGCTTGGTCTAGTCGAAAAAATCCTAGTTCGCAGTACATCGAGTGCTGAGGCTTTGAGCAGCACGTTGGATCGAGTTTGCTGGCTTCGAATCATGTGGGCCTGGTTGTGTGAACCAAGCATAGATTGGACAAATCCATCCGAGATTCTTCAAGGAGCTCCACTGACTACCATTGCAACGGGCTGCAAATCCGTTTTTGACATATCAACGAAAACCTCCCCTCCAGTGTGTGAAGAATTCCGCACTACATTGGAGTGTTTGCTGGTGAGAGAAAGGCTGGCTGAACATTGTCGGCTTAGATGGGTTAGTAGTCAAGCAATGTTGGCTGATTGTTTGACAAAAGCCATGGATGGAGGAACTCTTCGAAAAGCCATGGCTCTTGGAAAATATGCCCTGCTTGACGAATTGTCAGTCCTGAAGCAAAGGGCCGATATAGCAGAGAACGTGTAAAATGGCTTTCAGAACAGGAAGCCAAGCTCCAAGGAACCAAGATGGTCACGAAAGAAAATACTTGAAAAGTCTTTGTTTAAGTTTTTGCTTTTGACGAGTTTGAATGTTTCAACTGCAATTTCCACTCATGTGACATCTTGGCAGGTGACTTGGAGGGTGATCTTGGTTCATTCGAGTCATCCGTGCGCGATATCTGCATGGCCCAAGGACAGCAGTTGGCACGGTATCTTGGGACAGGGTTCCCCCGGAAATTGGGGTAAGGATACATAACCCCAAAGGTTTCGCAATATATATGTATATATGGTCCCGTCCTCCGTCTCTCCCCCCCCCCCCTCCCCCCCCCATGGGTTGGGTCCCCAGGTAGCAGCCCCAATTCCCTTCCATTTGCAAGCTATTGGCAGCATTTCTGATGTCCAGCTTCGTATTTGCTAGGTCTTTGCAGCATTTCTGACTACCAGCCTCGCATTTACTAGGCACATGCTACCTTTTAGGCGACCTGCGTAGCACACATACTCCTTCAAAATACCTACGTGCTACCTATACTCATATATACATGTGCTATGCATCTACTGTATCTACTTCCTATTTACTACCTGTGTACTCTGACAACACTAACTGTGTTTAACATATACCGTACCTACCATACATGTCAATGATGCCATGCATACCATACCTATCATATCTATCATACATAACATACATACCATACATATGAAATGTAATTACCACACCTACCATACATACAATAGCAAGCATACATGCCATACATACCATACCTACCCTACACAGGAAATATTCCATACCCATCATAGTAACCATACATACCATACAGACCATACATACTGTCATATCAAACATAACATACCCAACAGACTTACATACCATACCCACCATCCATACAATACCCACCACTCATGCCATGCATACCATACCTACCATACATAACAAACTTTCCAAACATGCCATACCAGACTGACCATACACACCATACATACCCAACATACCATACCACACCCCCACCACACGACAGGGGGGGGAGGGGGACAGTACCACACCCCCACCACGCCACAGGGGGGGAGGGGTACAGTGCTGGGTCCCCAGGTAGCACCCCCCTTCCCTTCTATTGGCAAGCTATTGGCAGCATTTCCGAGGTCCAGCTTCGTATTTGCTAGGTCTTTGCAGCATTTCTGACTACCAGCCTCGCATTTACTAGGCACATGCTACCTTTTAGGCGACCTGCGTAGCACACATACTCCTTCAAAGTACCTACGTGCTACCTATACTCATATATACATGTGCTATGTATCTACTGTATCTACTTCCTATTTACTACCTGTGTACTCTGACAACACTACCTGTGTTTAACATATACCGTACCTACCATACATGTCAATGATGCCATGCATACCATACCTATCATATCTATGATACATACCATACATACCATACATATGAAATGTAATTACCACACCTACCATACATACAATTCCAAACATACATGCCATACATACCATACCTACCTTACATAGGAAATATTCCATACCCATCATAGTAATCATACATACCATACAGACCATACATACTGTCATATCAAACATACCATACCCAACAGACTTACATACCATACCTACCATCCATACAATACCAACCACTCATGCCATGCATACCATACCTACCATACATACCAAACATACCATACTTTCCAAACATGCCATACCAGACCGACCATACACACCATACATACCCAACATACATCAACATACGATACCACACCCCCACCACACCACGGGGGGGGAGGGGGACAGTGCCACACCGCCACCACACGACAGGGGGGGAGGGGGATGGGACCCATCCCATGGGGGGGGGGGGCAGGGCCTGATGCATATATATATATATGTAGTGACATATGTGTATGTTTATATAAATATATATTATAGCTTGTGTGTCTTTAATAGAAACCATCTATTCAAGAGTATTTTAGGGGCTTGTTGGCGTTGAATGTTGGGGATGGAATACAGGACGTCTATGAAACAACTTGTTTTTTTCTATTATATATTGTACAAATAATATATATAAATATATAATATATATCAAATATGTTTAAATATCAATATACATATATAATATCGATATATATATATAGGTATCACTATATATATATACATATCAATATATAAATATATATATACACTTTATATATATATATCAATATATATATATATCGCTTTATATATATATATATATCAATGCATATATATATATATCAATACTTATGTATATATATACCAGTATACATACATATATATATAATAGTTTATATTATATATGTTCCATATATATATATTATAAACTATATGTTAAATCATATGTGTATTACAAACTAAATATTATATTATTTATTATTATATATATATAGTTTATTCATTATATGATATATGTATAAATCGTATATTGTTCACCTATTAATAAATGAATATATATATATGTTTATATATATATATATATTATGTGTGTTATATTGTGTTTGTATAAATTACATTATGTATGTATATATATACATATTTTATAAACATGTATAAACTTACATTATAGTATATTATATTATATTATATTGAATATTAGTTATTGTATTATATATATATACAAATGCATTATATATTATATAAGATTAAACATTATATGACTATATACATATATGAAAACATACCGGGTTCTTCAAAAAAAACAGCCAACCAACTTGAAGTCTGGCGAGGAGAGTTAGACACCCCTTGACCCCAATTTCAATGTTGTGTGACAGCAGTGCTTCGCGGAGCCTTCAAAAAAAACAGCCATTCTTGCTCCGGCCATTGAGAAGCGATGGTCAGCAACATTGAGACAGGGGGTCCGGGGGCTTTCGGTGGATGTTGCAACTTTTGGTTGATGGCTGTTTTTTTTGAAGAACCCGGGGACTGTTTTTTAGACTTATGGATGTCCACCTGTTAACCCGGGCAAATGTCATGTTGTACTTCCAACAACTTTTGCATGCAGATGTGACCTCATCAAAGTGCCGCCCACAACGCAATGGGATGTCCACGTGTAAACGCGGGCAAGTGGCATGTTGTACTTTGACAACTTCTGCATGCAGATGTGACCTCATCAAAATTGCTGCCCGCGACTCAGGAAGCAGCACCACCACACATTGCCTGTGGACCAAGCCCGGCTGTGCTTGCCAGAAGCCTACAGTCATCAAGGCCGCTGCCGGCCAACATTGATTTCCCTGTGAATTTCCATGCAACGCACGTGCAACACACGTGCAACACACGTGCAACACAACGTGCAACACGAGCACTTTCACTGTAAATTTACAGGTAAGATTGCCTTTTCTCGTCCGCCTGCTACAAAGCTTCTTTGTTTCCATTTGAAAGCGAAGGTCGGCCTGCAACGGCCAAAAAACACAAAATTACCTGTAAATTTACAGTAAAAGTGCTCGTGTTGCACGTCGTGTTGCACGTCGTGTTGCACGTGTGTTGCACGTGTGTTGCACGTGCGTTGCATGGGAATTCACAGGCAAGTCAATGATCGCTGGCCAGTGGTGCCCCAGGGCAGGAATTTCACCGCCTTGGCTGCCAAATCTGCATTTTGCCAAACAGACCAAGGCTATTTCTTACGTTGTCAGCAGAATGTGTGATTGATGCAAGCGCTCGGTCGGTACAGCATTGCCTTAACAGAGAGTTGCAGGATGTTGCACCTTGTTGCATCGCGGGCGGCAATGTTGATGAGGGCGCATCTGTGTGCAGAAGTTGTCGGAAATACAACATGACACTTGCCCGAGTTCACACATGGACATTATATTGCGTTGCGGGCGGCGCTTTGATGAGGTCACATCTGCATGCAAAAGTTGTCGGGAAGTACAACATGACATTTGCCCGAATTAACAGGTGGACATCCACACGTCTAAAAATCACTCCCCGGACGTAGTCTGGGTTCTTCAAAAAAAACAGCCAACCAACTTGAAGTCTGGCGAGGAGAGTTAGACACCCCTTGACCCCAATTTCAATGTTGTGTGACAGCAGTGCTTCGCGGAGCCTTCAAAAAAAACAGCCATTCTTGCTCCGGCCATTGAGAAGCGATGGTCAGCAACATTGAGACAGGGGGTCCGGGGGCTTTCGGTGGATGTTGCAACTTTTGGTTGATGGCTGTTTTTTTTGAAGAACCCGGTATTGTGAATATTAAATATATTATATCATATATTTACACTATATAATATACATTATATTTTATATATTATAATATATATATATATATTACATAGTATCCATAATATCATGTATATTATATTATATATATTATATATTATATATTATATATTATATATTATATATTTTATATTATATGTTTTATATATTCCTGCAGGATAAAAGCAACTTTTTGTTGGGAATAAACACCAGTTTGTTGGTGATATCCCAACGTGCTGATCGCTAAATCTCCATTTTAGATCATTTTAGTGGTTTAATCATTAAATCTGATGTTCTTCATCCATTCTTGATGGCTAAATCACACGTGTTAGTGGAAGATTTTGGTATGAAAAGGCGCCGATGGGCGGTTCCTTGCGCAACAACTGGAGGGTCAGCTCCATAGCCTCCTACCACCAGGAGTCCCAGACCCGGTAAAAGAGTGGGTTTTACTAGCTGGTTTCATGGGTGGTCATAATTGATCGATGGTTGCATGATCAATCCCATATGTTCCATGTATGGTATATTTACCTACATTTGGGTGATTTTTAGGGTAAATGTTGTTAAATATTCCATACATGGAGCATATGGGAATGATTGGGGGTTGAAACTATTGATGATTAAGTAGTGACCAACCTTTTGAAGTTGTAACTTGGACAAAAATGTGATTCAACCAATGTGAAGTCCAGCGGTAGCTGCAGGTCTTGAGCAATTTGATTTCCAATGGGACAATTGGAAAAGACAAGCCACAGGGTGAAATTGCCAAAAAACGGAAGGGGTTGCGTTTTTCTTATCAATTGTTGCCTCAACCAGTTCTGCAGGTCAGGGAAACCAAAAGTTGATTTGATGCTGATTGTTTGTCACCAGTTATCAACATCAAAACTGGTATCCCAGCCAACAATCCATGACCATTCCTTGGGTTTTGTTGCTATCCCACACCCAAAATCATGAAACACCCTCAAGATTCTCACTAACTTGGATCCCAAAGGTCCAGTACCACTGGTGAAGCTGAAGACAAAATTACAAAATCCGTCACCCCCTTTGGGAAATGGTGGAAAGTCACACCTAAACAACTAGACTAAACATGCTATATCCAATTTGACAGCTTAGGGCGCAGGGTGACTTGACCCATGCCCACATTTTGTGGATTTACTGTTACCTTCCATAGCTGGTTGTGCGCAGCCGCTCCTGCCAGCTAGATCCCGATCTTCGTGGGAAAGCAGCTGATGTTCATTGGTGGTTTCCCACAGTTCCCTATGTGTACATATGTGTACTATTTCTATCAGTTCTATCCTTACATTGTCTTGTCGAATCCCCATGTTGTGATTTGTTTCTGGCTAGCCATCCTTAACATCCTTAACACATGTTCTTGCTTACAAAATTATCTTTGGAACCACCAACAACTAATTGTTTACCATCTTGCAATCAAACGTGACAAAGGACCAGCTATTAAACCTCCATTCTTGGAAGATTGTCAATTGCCATGTTTGATTACCATGGGCTGTGCGCACCCTCTTATAATTGTCTAAATCAATTGGCTTATTGGTGTATATTGGTGTATAACCAGTAACTAAAACTTTGGTTATATGTGGTTCATTGGTTTATACTTACCTTTTTATCATGTTAAATCAACTGACTTCATGGTTGAATGCGGCGCAAAAAAAAGGCCCTCACCTTGACGAAACCATGTCGATTGGCTGCCAGAACCTCAGAATCGTAGAACTCCGTGGTAAAATAATGGTGTTTCAAAGCAACAAGAATGGTGATTTATAGCTGAACAACTGATTTATGTTGGCTAAGTCTGGCTAAGTTAATTTACAACTAGGATAGCTAGGTCTTATGGTGCTGAAATGTTTACTGTAGTGGAAAGTTAACAAACCGACTGCTCTGGGACACCACTTTGTAGGCTTAGCCAACTATGGGCACCACCATGTAGCTTTGTATGGAAACATAGGCTTATGACCCCCCAAACAGAATGAGGCTGCGCAAAAGAAGCGGTAATTGACCAATAAAGACGAGTAGAGTTTGGAACCGCCAACGTTGATGATCGGTTGACAAAATCCCCAGTACAACGTCCATAAATTGAGGTATATAGTCTGGGACAAACCATCATCAAACCAAAGGAAGAAGCAACGAACATGGAGAAGCAGCCATTGTGAATCTTTGAACGTGTGGACGGCAGCCAACAAACTTAGGATCCAAATTGACCAGCAACATCCAGCAACTCCAATAGGATAATCTCCCCAATTCGACTGATGCGAACTGGCTTGTCATGGAGGGGTTGGTCTTTTGTTGAGCAAAATAAGGGTGTATGTTACAAGAGCGCTTGTAAGAAAACCATCCCTATATAGCCTATAAGATTGAACACACCCTAAATGGATACAAAGTTATATGTGGGTGGTGTTTCATATTGGGAGGATGGAACTATGTATCTAAATCAAACTAAATCCCTATATTTGATCGCGTCATCACGGACAGGAAGGACAAAAACAAACATGAAACGAACAACCTGTGATGGATTTTTACAGTTTCTACAGTATCCATACCGGAATATCTATATCTATCTATCACCCTTCATTCTGAGTTGGCAATCCAAATTTGACACACTCACTTCCAGGTCCAATCTATTTTTGAGTAACAAAATGCGTAAAGTATTGTGGGGCCCAGGATTTGATTCATAGCAAGAGCTATGAATGACACATTTGTTGAAGACTGGAATTGTCAATAAACAAACTTCTAGCATGATTACCGTATTATACCGTATTTGCATACAGAGACTCCGTCAGCAAAGATGGAGATCCCATTAGGTCCGAACACTATTGTAGAAGTGCACTGGAAGGACAGCTCTGGTCCTGTGGGATATCTCGGGTTGTGTGACCGAAGCTCGTTCAGGGCTTGGCATCATTTTCCTGAAGGATTGAGTGGAGATGTCTCACTCCTATGGACAATGAACAATGCGACGGTTACCCGGTTACCCTCTGTTAAACTAACACAACTATGGAAAATCACCATCTTTAATAGGTAAATCAACTATAAATGGGCCATGTATGGCCATGTTCAATAGCGTTTTGTATGTTTACCAGAGGGTAACCCGGTTGACCCACACTGGTTGTACAAATTGGTGACATCGTCTTCAATGAGATTCCCATTCATCAACCTTTCCGCATTTGATCAAACGAACATCTTTAGCCACCAAACAGATCCAAACACAATAAACACCTGGAAACTAGTGAGGTACAAATCACAAAATCATAACTATACAAGATCCGAACAACAAACATAAAACACAGTGATCATGATCATCGGAAGTAAGATTGTGAGATTGGTTGTTCTATTACTATTTGATCTGATATATATATATATATAATATAATCAAAGTTGTGATCTGTCTATAATATGTAAGATCTAAGATACAAGATAAAAATACTGGTGGGTGGTTTCAACCCCTCTGAAAAATATGAAAGTCAGTTGGGATGATGAAATTCCCAATTATTATGGACAAATAAAACATGTTCCAAACCACCAACCAGATAAGATCTATACTAAGATACCTTTAAAATCTATGATCCATTAAGGTTCCTGAAGTCGGTACCGCAGCGGAAAAAAAAGCCGTGCTTCCCCCCGATCCCGGCAAAGCCAAGCAGTCGCCGAGCAGCCTGGCAGATACTGAGGTACTATTAGTATCATTACAGTATCTATATTACATGGTATAATACGGTATATTAGTATAATATAGTAATAGCACATCTATACTAAGTACTTTAAGTACTTCAGAATGATCATTGCAGTAGTACATATCAAATACACTAAAGATCAGTAATAGTATCTAATATCTATGATTAATCATGGTATACTGAAGTAATATTAGTAATGCATAGTAATACTGATGTTCGGTATATTTATCATTTATATAGATCCACTGAAAGCATCTACTATGATGTATACTATTGCAGAGGGTTCCAAAATATCACACTAATACTGAACCTATAAATATCGCACCAATAGTATATTAATAGCACATTAATGGTACATCACTAATAGTACATTCCGAATAGTACATCACTATATAATAATACACATTTAATAATTGAACTTGAAGATACAACATCACACTAATAGTACGTGTACTGAAGTATGATAGAATACTATAGCTAGATGAATATATGAAGTACAATCATTAAGTGCTTCTGTTTACATAGCGACTAGATTGTTCTGAAGTACAATGAAGTACATAGGCCCGGAGACACATTGGATGAGGCTGGTATGGATGAACATCAGATCGGAGGCCTGAATATATCCATGGGTCTACCCCGTTTTTTGGCACTTTAAAGAGGGAATATGCGAACAAAAACAAACCACTGGAGTTGATGGGTAATTATCCGGATGGACAATCCCATGTGCTAGAATTCCCATGGAGCATGAGCAGTGTTCAAAAGTTGAAATGTCATTCCATCGTACTGGTTGGCAAATGAGATTTTCACCTCAATTATTGTGAGAATCCCCAAGACACCCGAACTAATCATCAACCAACAGTGTAGCAGCCAGTGCTCACATACTGGCGATTTTCGTCACCGAACGGCACCGACCTACGGGTATCCATGGAAATTCCTAATTAATAGCTATAGCTGGATCTTCAACCCCATAATGATCATATTGAATCATATTGATATATCCTAACATCATATATTGATAATATTGATATGGTATAGCTGATATCCCATAATGATATAGCTGATATCCCATAATGATAGGTTTTGACTCATCCCATCATCATATCATCGAATCGCAATGCCCTCCAGGCTCCCGCATCAGCCTGTCGAGAGATCTTCTCAGGATCTGTCGTGAGCAGAACCTACTGTCAAACTGAAAGACACATAGCCACAGATGGTGGAGGGAGCAACCAAAAAGCGAGGATTCATGAGGTATTCGGATTCATGAGGTATTCTAACTAGGATGTTGAAAAATAGAGCAGAATACTATGGTAGATACGAGTACCGAAAGCCAAATATTCAAGAAAAACAACTGGGATTTGAAGAACAATACTTGCAAGGTGGTGGCGAGCCCCATAGTTAATTAGCTAACTTTATAAGGTTTTATAAGTAGATTTATTTTATAGATTCATGGCACAGTAGATGTGTTGAACTAGTGAATTCGGAGTTCAAGAAACAAGGAAAATAACTAGACTTCACCACTAATGATCTGTAGAAACACTTCCAAGCCGAATAAGCTGCGTGCGATAGCGCGTGCCTGCCAAGCTTCTTTTTGCAGATCTTCTTCTACCCGGACCTGGTGAGAAATCCTCCATTTTTCACCCTGCTTTGATGTTTGATGTACCCCATCGTCATTTAATATAGCTATTGAAAATCACCATGTTGAATAGGTAATATATGTATATATCATATATATATATCATATATATATATATATGTAATTATGTATATATATATAATTATATATAATTAAATAAATATATATATATATAGATTTATTTATTTATGGACCATGTTAATCTTTTTTTTTTAAATCGCAATGTTAAGTTGCCAAAAGGTAAGAGAAAGCCCGGCGGAGATGATGTGCCATCTCTGTGGGATCGCCCCGTCCTGATGGTCTTTGATCTCCAATAAGGCAGGCCTGGAGGGTTCCATAGTCATGGGGCATCCCCGAGAGTTGGATGGTTGATATTTTCCATGGAAAATCCGAAGAAAACATGGATGATAACTAGGGCTAAAAAAACCTCTATTTTAGGAAAACTACCATATAAAATCATGGTGGGCAGTTGAAATGCCATGCTTTGAAGCATTCACTAACCCGGTTATTTGGAAGATTGGAAGTGCCCAGGATGGTCCACTCCATTAAGGAAAGGAGGCTCCAGTCCATTTGCGTAATGAGACCTCCTGCTGAATCAAGCCGACTGGTTGAAAGAGACATCTTAGGAGGCACGAACATTGCATGACTGTGAAAAGTGTCAGCATGTGCTAAAAATGGCACAGGATTATCATAGAAAATAAAAACCACACATTGGATTAATACTGTTAAGACATGTTAAGACGGTCAATTAATCAACACGGTCAACACCACATTTTCAGACACGTCCTTTGGGCCCACCAGCCAGGAAAAGCAGCACTTTTTCGCTGCACAGCGCTGCTCGGTGGGGTTTCCACTCAATCCATGTTGATAATGGCGGAAGCCACCCTGCGGCCGCCACTGCCAGCTGCACAGCGTTCCATATGTTGATTCCCGTATGGAACAACAAAAACGGTCTGTTTTATCTGTGTTTCTCTCCCTCTCTTTCCTTCTCTTGTTCTCTCTCTCTCTCTCTTTCTCTCTGAGAGTATAGATAGGTAGGTAGGTCCTAGTATAGGAGATTAGATAGATAGATGTAGATAGAACAAAACAGGTGTACACATAATACTATATACATCTCAAAAAAGTCATGGTATCTTTTGGTTGGCCAAGGAACTGAGACAGAGCCTTGGCTCCCTTGTCATCTGAGATCACTGCCGCCTTGGGGAAGACCCATCTTTCAATCTGGGCCTCAGGATGTCAACGGGGTCACTCCGGTGTCACATTTGGGTCCAGAAATGGGGAGTGGTTCTACTAACCAGCACCCCTGTGGGCCATAGGCCATGGAGTTAGTTGACTAGTTAGTAAATGGATTAGATTCGGAATATAGATGGATATAGTCTATATAGTGGTTTGTAACCCCAGTTACTAACCAGTTGGCTAATCCCATGGCCCATCAAAGTGTCGTAATTCACACCAAATATCTGTGCAAAACTTATGTTCAGCCACCTCCAAGTCCTAGTTATATTGATCAATATCCAATGAATCTGGAAGCTTGAACATGTTTTTACAGTTAAACTATTGTGGGATGTATTGTGAATTGTCTGGACACGTCACTTGTACGCAGAATAGAATTTAGGGACAGGAAAATGCTTATTATTTATACTTTATATTTCATGTCAAGTAGGGATCTAAAGTGTGGGTGAACGTTGATAATCAACACACACCCATTTCACCTCGAGGGTCCCAAATTGGTGCTGGGGAATGTTGGGTGAGAAAACAACCATGAAATCCATACGTCATCAGTGTCACTAAGATCCGATAAGGAATGCTAAACACAGGAACTCGCCGGTTTTTCTCGAGCCTTCAGTGGGGTTCAAGCTAAATAAAAACACCGCTGCAAGGTGAGGCCCCCCGAAACCGCTAGAGATGTTGGCGCTTAGCTAACTTGCTGAACGTTTGGGTTGAGAGATAAAACATCAAGTTAACTATAGTCCACTCGATTTAAAACCATATATATAAACCATTATAACCTGCAACTGGGAAGCCCTCAGCAAGGTTAAATAAAGGCTGCTAAACCACCAAGTGCCCCCACAGAATCCTTCAAAACCTTGGTATGGGAAGTGCCATTAAACTCCTGGCCGAGTGCCAACGGGCCTGAAGTACGACTAGAAATCCTCAAAGAAAGAATCAGCAAATGAAAACATGTTATGATGATTGTCATTATTACTAGTTAATTAAGACAAAAACATACTGTAATGTACTATAACATACTATATAACTATAAACTATCATTATCTATGTTGTGCATTGAACATAACCACTGAAAAACACCCTTCGCGTCATCGCCAGCTTTCTCTCCTTGCAGGTGGCATCTTGGCCGCAATCCAGCCTTGGTGGCGATTCGAGTGCCGGTGGCAATGGGGATCAAAAAACTCAAACGATGCTGAAGCGACAGGTTTTTTCGATACCACGAAAAAAAGGTGCGGTACGGAAGATCCATCCTCGAACATCAAAACATGGAAATATTGAAGTTTCCTGAAATGTGAGTACCCCAACATAGATAACGATAGTTTATAGTTATAGTATGTTATAATTATAATATAATGTACCACAACATAGTACCATTGGTTTTCGAATTGATAATATGTTCCCATTGATAAGGTAACCATTGTTGGATGATTCTGGGGGTACCATATTGATACCATGTTTGGAAACATGAAAAACCATATCATTAATAACCAATTATATACTGTAATACCATCTGGTTATTTAACAGTTCGCCATGGAAAATCACCACTTTTAATAGGTAAACCATCTATACATGGGCCATCTATACCATGGCTATGTTGAACAACCAGAGAGTAACCCATCAATATCCCATTCGAATACCCCATGGTCAATTTTACCAACGAAACAGTGGCTACTCTCCAGGATCCAACGGAACCCATTTCCACACAAAGCGACAGACTTCCGCACTCGATGGGACTCGGGACCACAGAAAATTCATGGGAATTAGCAGTGAAAAATCACAGCGGAGTCGAAAAAAATAGCAAATCAACATTTCTTCCATGATTTCTCTGAATACCCAAGATTTCCATGATTTCTTCCATGAAAAATAGCCAGAAATACCCAAGATTTCCATATGATTTCTGGCACCTCTGAGCCTCCAGGCGCCACGACCTCATCTTTCTCCTGGCATTTGGCTGGGTGAATCTGCCTGGTTAACATTCCATTTATACACGATGCCCGCTCATAAAATGATAATGTGTGTGGCTGGATCTCCAATTCCAGTGGTATATACTTGGTATATGGATAATCCATGTATCATACATATAAATATACACATCATTATGTATATATATATATATATACACAAGCTATAGACAGACCTCCTTCCCACGTTCATCTGTTGTCGTCTATCCCAAACATCCAGGGTTTATCTCCTTCGACTTCGCCTTGTTGTAACTTGTTAGGGAAAAGGTTGAGGCTCCGAACCATCCTGGGCGTGGAAACACCGCGGTTCCGGGTCAGGTCCGTCCCGTCCATGAGATTAAAACCGATGACAACCTGATCAAATCAAAATCAATACAAAAAGAGATTTATTCCCGAAACGAGGACATGTAAAAAATATTAGCAGTAAGATGTGAACAAACTGATACTGAGAGATTAATGGGCATGGATGTCATTTAGATATATCAATATATTTCTGGGATACAATGACTGAGTGCTCCCAGAACAAGCTAAATGGGTTATATACGTCAAAATAAGCTCTGGAGGAAAACAACGTCAGTCAAACCGCATACTTCGGCCTAATTTTCTGTCAGAAAATATTGGTCTACAGTTGGCTTAAAAAAACACATCACACATTTTAGCTCAAAACACTTCACCTGCAAATTTCGCAAAACAGACCTATTTTGTCTCCTCTACCGGTGAGGTTATACTCTACCGGTGAGGTTGGAATGCCAGAAAATACGGTTGACTGAATTGTGAAAATCCTATAGATAACTTTCAAATAACCATTTTCATCAATTTTCCCATGTAGAAATTGCAATAAGATCTCTTGAGGCTGGGCATAATATGTTTTGATTTAGAACAGGAGAGCAGTCACTCAACTACCAACACAAGTTTGACCAAACAGGACGAAACGTTTCGATCCAAAATCGTGGCAATGGCTATAAGACTAGGTACTTAGTCACTGGGTGATCATTGAAAGAGTGAAAATACATACAACAACGTATACCAATGTGTATGAATATATATATATATATTATATTATATACACAAAGAGTATCAACATCAACTATAACATATATAGAACTATGTGTGTATATAATTGCGTAAAGCAAAACACACACAATGTTTTGCTCACCTCAATCAATTTAGGGACATGTCATTGTAGAACACACACTGAAGTTCCAATGTGTTGTTGAACATAGATTCATATACTGCCAATATGTACCATCGCAAAGTACTTGAAGTCTTGTTCAAAACCCGTCTTGATTGGTGCTTTTCGTGGCTCTTCTCTTATGTTTTGATTGATTGCCAAAGTATGTTCCTCTTCTTTGGCAACATCTCCAGTTTTGTTACCATTTGTTTCACGATACATACCACAGCTGTGTCGAGAAATGGCCAACCAGATATTTGAAAAAAAGTGAACAAACACTGCCATGGCAATCTAAGGCACCCGTGTATTTCTCAAACCACTGGCCACTAAAGTTGCTACCAACCATACTTTCCAACATCTATAAATATAAATATTTACCATATATACATATGTATATATATGTTTTTTCTCACGATGGTATATAATCAGTGGCCTTTTCAGGTACCTACCTAAACTGAAGGTACTGTACCACATAAAACATCATAAAACCACATCTGGGGGGATATATCCGCTTAGCCCCAAACAATAGACTATATAAATGCTATCGGCAATAAATCGTTTCCTGAAAAGGCCACTGAGGTAGTGATGTGTCGGGCGCCTGCGTTTTCCATCTTCAGGGACCCATCTGCCTCGCAGCGGCGTAAAAGATCTTACGGCTATTTCCTAGGTAGGGTAGAACAGCTTATTTATTTTATACTATTTTATAGGTAAATAAAATAGAAAAACGATTCCAACAAATATCTGGAACCATATTAGTATGTATATTCGTTTGTATTATAGTATATTATAATATTAAATATTATAGTTAAACAATATTAACATATTATATTGGATAATATTATATTGTATCAGATTAAATTATATTATGTTATATTATATTGTATTATACAAATATATCATATATAATACAAAATAATATTCTATTATGGTTTATTATATGTCATTAACAAATCATATTATATTGCATTATATTTTTTTATTATATTGTTCTAAATAATTATATCATATTATGTTATATTATATTAATCTGTATATATATATTATCAAATATTATATCATATATTAAATTCTAGTGTTACATTATATATGATATAGTAATATCAAAACATATTATATAACAATAAATTATAATATTCATGTTGTATTATTTGATCTATCAAATTAATTTTTTTCAAAACATATTATATATATATGTATATTATTAAACTTTATATCAAATTATATTTTTTTTATTGAAACATAATATCAAATTATTGTATATTAAAGATTACTTTATATAAAACTATCAATTATAAATTATATATTAAATATCAAATTGTAAATTATATATTGTAAAAATATTATATGTTATCAATATATCAAAATACTGTATTTCAATATTATATTTTTTTTATTGTGATGTTAAATTACATTATATAATGTGTTATTATTAAACTATATTATAGCATATGTTTTTTTTAAATATATTACATTCAACCAGAAAATAGTACTATAATGAAATATTACACTAATTATATTGCTAAATCAAAATATATTATATTTTGCTATATTTTACTATATTATATACTATATTATATTCTATATTATATATATATTCATTTAAAGAAAAAAAATCGTATATATAATATATTAAACACATATATAGATTATGTATTAAATATTGCATATGATATATTATATACTATACATTATATTCAATTATATGTTATTTGAATTGAAATTACATTGAGCTAAATTATATTGCAATATAATAGGTTATATTATATATTTAATATTGTTATAATATATGAAATTAGATCATATTATATTATACGTATAAATAACTTATACATTAAATATTTTATCATATATGCTATAGACCGCTATTTAGATGTAATTACATCATTCCAACCACCAAACAAAATACACTTTGGAATTTGGAACAGCTTCATTCGCTGGTCATCATAGAGTCTCCCGCTTGGTCTACAACTGGCATGAAGAGACCATCCGTAGTTAGCTTACAGCAGTTCCAGTCTTAATGTTTGACACATACACGCAAAATTCCCAACAAATAAGCACCGACCATAAAGGCAATGCACCATTCTCCATTCACATTTTTTACTGTTGGTGATGAGGCATAGTCCATCATATTCCTATGTCACAATATCATTTGGTGGTGGGCAACACAATTTCATAAGCCTACCATGACTGGGGATGGTTTGAATCCCACCCATTTACCAAAGAACTCACTGGATCCAGAGCTTGAGTCAAGGCCGTTTTAGTCTGTCCTGCCTTTCGGCTGACAACAAGATTTGCAGTGGTTCATCAGTTATTTATATTATATATAAATTATATTGTGGATATTTATTCCGAGTCAAATCAGTTAGTACCTTAGTACCAGCAGCCATGGTAAAAATCAACCGGGGGTGCACTGGTCATCTGCACCATCGTGTCCCACGCATTTGACAACTGGAAAGTCAAGGGGCCTTCTTTTTGGTCTGAACTGAAAAAAAAAACAGATTAAGTATGTCAAGTCTGTTTATGCAAATCCACTCATGATTGTGCGGGGCCTTGTGGCAGGCAAAGATTCTAGAGATTGGACGAGATTGCACTGCAAGTTCCAATCACCTTCATTGATATATATATATATATACACATACCCTATGGCCCTATGGATTCAAGTTATTTCTGAGGAAGTATCTGGAATCTGATTTGGGGGGCCAAGTACTTTCTCAGAAAGCATCTGGATCCATATGATGTAGCAATACTATCGACGTACATAACCTATATTTAATACTATCCAAAAACATAGAAAAGTAAAATCCCACTAAAATAGGTTTAAAAAAAATATATATATATATACATATATATATATATATCCACCAAAGTTATCTTTTTTGGGATTGCTATGACCGACTTAGAAGCGTCAAGTAACAGGGCCGTGCCTCCTCTGTTGCGCCCTTCGTGAGCATGTCGGCCTTCGTCTTCTCCCAAAGCGCCTCAAAAAAAGTGACTGATGGCCATGGCCCTGGAATAGGCAGTTGCGGATTGCAATGGATTTGATGGGATTTTGTGGTGATTAGTGGGATATTATCGGATGTTGTGTTGATTAGTGGAATTTGTACGGGATTGAATGGTGATTGGTGGGATTTAATGGCATATTAACTCTCGCAAATATCGTAGTTACTCGTTCCTACCCTCCAGTATTTTTTTACATAGCTAAATCAATGATTGTTTCCCCTTCAGAAATGACCTACATTCCTGGTGGATTTTTTTGTTATCGATGTCAAAATTTACTGGAAAGTATGACATGCGTATACATGTTTGGATATGGATGGATATGGAACATGAAGATACTTGAAAACTCCATTGAATGGAATGGTTCCCATGCTCTTTACACGTGGTTCAACATTGTGCTCTATTAATGAATGAGTCTCTACTCACTGTACCAAAAACTATAAAACTGTTGTGCGGCAATGCGTTCAAGGTGGTGCTATCAGCTTGCTCGTTCTGAGTCCCTCGACCTTGTGAATCTTATGTCAGTGTGGGGTTGCTATTCTGTTGTCCAACTAGTGTGGCAATATTGGATCGCACCGATCAACATTATCTATTTGAAATCTCAACCATGGATTCCAGCATTGTGGGTGAATCGCATCATTTTTGCGGCGGATGAAAAAGAACTCAGGACCAATTTTAGTCTGTCAATTGGCACGGTATTCCCGCTCTTGTTCTTGAAAATCCGTCCGTGGCAACCCCTAACCTTTATTGGTAAGAAGTTGGCACCACACCTACTCATCTTGCGTAAATACCCAGTTTTTGTGCTCAAGCCTGTTTGCTGCTTAAAGCCCACGGTCCGCCCCTGTGATAGCAGCTCATGTTTCTTGATTCAAATCAGACTCCCCCATGTTTGTAGTTATACCGTGAACTCTCCCTTTGTCGTTTAAGATTCTTGAGCTATGTTCTGGCTGAAGTCTATTTTCTCCCAAACAGTGTGACCACACTGAGGGGTTCTTAGGGTAAGTCAAGGCCTGGTGTTCAATCGAGGTGGTATCCGGGGCGTTTGGCATTCTCCCCCAAAATTTCCACACAAAATGGCTCTTGCGAAATGTGCATTTCGACTGCGCACGCTCGCACAAAACGATGCCCCCGGAGGTGTCTGTAAATTTCCACACAATATGGCTCTTGTGAAATGTCCATGCGCACGTCCCCTGCGCAGGCTCGCACAAAGTGTTCTTCCCGGTCTTGGGATCGGTCTTCCTCCTCAACATCATCATCATCATCAGCAGCAGCATCATCACCATCACCATCACAATCACCATCACCATCATAATCATCATCACCACCACCACCACCGCCACCACCGCCACCACCACCACCACCACCACCATCAGCATCATCATCATCATCATCATCATCATCATCATCATCATCATCATCATCATCATCATCAATCATCAATCATCAATCATCATCAATCATCATCAATCATCATCAATCATCATCAATCATCATCAATCATCATCAATCATCATCAATCATCATCAATCATCATCACATTATCCTGTTATTCCCTCCCCCCGCACACTGTTTGGTGTCTCTTGCCAGGATAATTTACGGCCATCCATTTTGGGTAGGTAAATCATGAAGCAAGTCCGACAAGTCCCGCAGTGCCGGCCTCAGTGGTAGTGAGACCCGGGACGCCACTCACCAGGATGCTAAATTCTCCCGGAGTTGTTGGGCTGGGCTGTTCAGCCTCCGCCTGCACTCTTCGGCATCTGAGGCATCTGATGCATGCGCATGGAAGCAGCTCATTTTAGCGCATGATTCTGCCGGGGGGAGGTGGATTGATTTGCAAAGATAAGGATTTCAACGCATAAGTCGGGATTTGACCAGCCAAAATAAGGATTTGACCATGAACCAATGCAAATTTCACTAGCAATAAATACATGAATGTTGACAGAAAAATAAATGCGAATTTATGCTGTGAACTGTTGATCTACAAAAAAACCAAAAAGGAAAGATCGTACAGAACCCATGGCAATTGGAACTCCCTACAAATGAAGGTTTGACACTGGCAAATCCTCTAGAAATAGCTGATTTTCCAGCAAGCCATGTTACAGGAGGGTTTTCTAAATAAAACAGTAAACTTATATAAACTGAAATTCTTCACATCTCTACAGAATTCACTGATCCTACTGTCCTTTGCGCCTTTTCAAACGTGATCTCCGCGCTTTTCAGTTCGTTCTCCAGTGCGCCTTTCAGGAAGGGTCCAGCCCTACCTGGGAGCGGTTCAAAAACTGCTTGGTTGACGGGATTCCCCTGCAATTCTGCTCATATTGGTTAGTATAATGTTAGTATCATCCCCGAACTAATCATCAACCGGGGTAGATCGCAGCCACTGCTCAGCTGATCTTGGAGAGAATCTTTCCAGCATATCGCAGTAGATCACAGCATTCTACCAGCGAATTCCCGGAGTGTTTCACCGAAAGAGTCTCAGCCAAGACACGTGCACCGGTCTCCATGTCAAAAATTTCGAGCCCTCAGCTGCGACATCCCCGGGTCTCTGGTCCCACTGGTGCTGTGCTTCATCCAACGAGGAAGTTAGCCTCTGGAAAATTTAGCATAGCTATGGGAAAATGATCCATCTATGGTGGTAAACATCCACGGAAATTTCCAAAAGGATATCTCTAGTTACCAGAGGGGAAAACATCTTGAACCAATGTTGACCAATAACCTGGACAAGTTCTCATGAGCCCCAACACACCAATATGTATTCTTGGAGGCATTGGGATCATCAGCATCATGATGATCATGATCATGATCATGATCATCATCATCATCAGCAGCAGCAGCAGAAGCAGCAGCAGAAGCAGCACCGTCCACCGTCACCGTCACCGTCATTAGGGATGCACAATAACATGATTGAAACCACCAACCAGTAGATTATCTAAAAAACCATAAACTATATTCCTAGATTCAATGAAGTCCTGGGCTGAGAATCCACAAACCCGAGCCATTTGATCTCCAATCTCAGGCCAAAAAACAAATCTGTCATGGGTTGGAAATTCGAAGGTTTCAGTCAGGTTGAACCATGGCCTCAGTAGCCTAAAATTGCAAGCGAGTCTCGGAAAGGATCCTGGGCCAGCCAGAAAGCTGCGAAGTGATCACTCCGTTTATAGCAGTTAAACATAGTTAAACACATATTTTACCCTCCAGTAAATTTACATAGACCCTGCCAGATAGGGTTGGAAGACTAGTTTCCACTAAAAACTGGTGATTTTCAGGGTAACCAAAGGGTAACCCCAATGATAACTGCTGCTCATGACTCTTGGGTCACATTGGACTTGCTAATAAAGGCCTGGCAAACATCTGTGGCATTCGTATATATCTCAAGCAAGCCGTGACTATCGCTGGTGGATAAATAGTGAACAACTACAAGGGAATCCTGAAAAGTCCCTGAAAAACACATAAAAGCAGCAAAAAGATCCAAAAAAGGAATACAGTAAGTATATCCTCATGTCATCCTGCATACATATCGATCAACCACTGGCGTCATCTCCTATCAGTTGGGTGATAGGGCTTCCCACATTGGATGAAAAAGGTCCAGTAAACAACATGTATAAACCGTTGAATATATCTAGATATATTCATATATATATATATACTCTATGTATATACATATATATATTCTGTATGTATGTATGTATATATATATATACATGTATACATATATAGGGATCCATTTAGTCAACATTCAATCCCATACCAGCCAGTCAACCAACATTTAGAAAATCGTAGCCCTTGAAGGCCAGGTGCTGTCAGGGGCTTCAAAACGGTCTGATGCCCAAGCTTTTTCAAGTCTTTGTCCGCAGCATAGTTTTCAATATAGTAGCAACCATCTGCACCGGCGAAAAAAAAAGGGGCTGAGATGAGGTTTTTTGGTGCATTCCAAAAAATAGCTACATAGCTACATGTATGAAAATGTAGATACATATATACAGAATGTATATGTACATATATATATATATATGTACATAGATGATATATAATATATATATATATATAGGACAATAATAATAGTAATAATAATAAATGATAATAATAATAATAAATTATAATAATAATAATAGTATATACTTATACAATCTTAGAAACATGTACACTGCATGCACAGGTAAGAGAACCAAAGGAAACATGAATGTCAACTGATAACTGATATTGGTATCAACTGCACGAGTTGAAGAAACCACACCGGAACACCGAGACGGAAAAACGATGCTCGGAAAAAAATGTGAAATTTGGATCCAGGGTCCTAAATGCTATGTATTCCATATGCATACAAAATCACCTAAATATACATGTATATATATAAATTCATTATAAGATTCCACTAATCTGAATCAAGGCCATTTGGGGATGATTTTCCTTATTAGCCATGATTCCAGTGAGGTCGCAGTGAGGTCGTTATATATAATTTACCCAGATGTATAGAGAGATATATTTACAGTAAAGATATCCTCAAATACTTTGATGCCCTTGCTTTCACATTCCTTAAAGGTCCGCATGCATCACAATCAATGGCATGTTGGGAGTGGGGTGTTCAACAATTGATTCGAATCTTGCAATTTTGGCATTTTGGCTGTTCAAAAACCATCGAACACCAGATTTTTGGGGAAGTATTTGCTGACCAAAACCATCATCGAAACCAACAAAAACCCATCCACACGGTTTCTAGACGTTCCCTAGACGCGATGCTCTCCTTTCTGGTAGTACTTGTTGTAGATCGAGGCTTTGAAGCTCACCTGGGGAAGAGAATTATATACTCAATGTATATGTGTTTTCAACAAATTGGAAGGAACTATTAGGATTCTTAATTAATGATAGTAATATTGGGATAATATTACTAATGGTGTGTTTAATATACTTATATAATACATTTTAATGGTAGTAATATTGGGATTTCTTGGATGTCCAATCAATTCTTGTAGCATTCCTATGATTATTGGGAATTATTTCAGCAAACCTGGTTATCAAATGAATTGAAGGAAATCGAATGGGACACACATCTAATACATAAGTGGGTGCATGCAGCGAAAAAATGTTGGTTGAGCATGGTTGAGCGCCATTCATTCCTAGAATGCAAACCAATCTGGCCCAACAATCTCCCTCGGAACAGATCCACGATGCAACATAATCATCTAAGGCATGCATGGAATAACACCATACCACTCTCTACAAAAGTTGTACTCAGCAACCAGATTGTTGTCCCGAGACCTGTCAATCCTTAAAGATCCTTAAAGTTAAAGTCATCATCAACACAGGAGCAGTGAATATCTCTTGTGATTGACAATGTAGGGTAAAAAAAAACTCACTGCCGTTTTTTTGGGATTGTAATAACCTATAAGAAGGATACCCATTTACCAACCAGCAGAATTGGATGGGTTAGGGGTATGTTTCATTGCTCATATGTTTTTTCGTACCCAAGTGTAGCAGCCTCTAATCCCCAAGGTAAGGCACAGCTTGCTGTCATGGAATCGTCATGTTTAATAAGGCCTTCCAATCAGATAGGGATCCGATATGATGTCACATACCCTCTGGTAAACGAACATAACTATGGAAAATAACAATTTTTAATGGGAAAATTCACTATTTCTATGGTCATTTTCAATAGCTATGTTAAATTACCAGAGGGTACATATGATCAATTGATCACATAGTGCACACATATGTATTGAAATGATTTATGAACATGACTCATTGAGTCAATACATTTTAATACACAACCCGTGTTGTCCCCAAGATTCCAAGATATTGTGCCTATCCAGGCATGTGATGATGATATCCACATGTTTGTTACCCTCTGGTAAACTAACATAACTATGGGAAAATCCACCCATTTTCAATGGGAAAATCCACGATTTCTATGGCCATTTTCCATAGCTTTTTGTATGTTCACCAGAGGGCACATATTCTTTCATTTTACTGCTGCAAGATCTGCATTTTTTTGGATCCAAACAATTCCAACAACGGTTCCATGCATCAGATCGAAGCATATCCCATCTGCCATATTGAGCCAGTTATATGATTGTTGCTGCTCAATACTAATGATTATTCAACAGTTATATTAGCCAGTATAAATATCATATAAATGGAATTCTAAGTCCTTTTTTTCAACAATACCCTGGTTATACTGTTGTTGCTTGAACAAACAATGATTCCCATAAAAATGTCCATCATATCCCTGCTATATCCTCGTGCAATGGTTGGTTCGTATCATATTATTGTTGGTAAACATTGATTATACCACCGTTATATCCCCATGAAAAGGTTACTACCTCCATGATATCCCGTTATTTTCTTGATTTTTCTTGCCTTATCACATCCTTCAACAAAAACAGCCAGTGCATGCCAGAATCACCAGCAAGGCAGCGATACCAGAGACCTTGTCGCACAACAAGGCTGGTTATCCACGGTCGTCCATGGTCATCTGAAACTCAGCTGGTTGGTGGTTGACCTACCCCTCTGAAAAATAGTCAAATGGGAGTATGATTCCCAACATATGGAAAATAAAAGCCATGTTCCAAACCACCAACCAGTCAGTATACAAAGCCCTCTGATAATTTTTCACATAGCTATTGAAAATGGCCATAGAAATAGTTCTTATTTTCCCAATACAAAATGGTGATTTTCCAGTTCGCAAACTGTCAGTTTACCAGAGGGTATACAAAGCCCTCTTAATCCCTACTGGGGATGAGCATCCAGCGTGCCCCGCAGGAAATCATCTCAGGACCTCTGGGACCGATCCATTGTGATTCATAAAGTGATTCATTGTCATCATGGCCATCGAAAAGTCCATTCTGATGCACTGATACACTTTTTTTGTTTTTGTTTCTCAGAATTTCTGTTGATGAAATCATGCTAAATCCATCCAATTCCAGCATTTTCCCACCATTTGTGTTGGTGAAATCATGCTAAATCCCCAGGTTGCTGGTGAAATTCCCCCAAAAAACATGGTGAACTTCCACATTTTATGTGCCCCTTTGCTGCGCCTCAACGTGGAACGCTACGACCATCCCACTCTCCTGGCTGGAAGGCTAGAAACCACATCCCTAAAGCTGCATTTATGATCCGTTTACCATCAGAAACCACATTTACATACATTTACCCTCTGGAAGTTGAAGTACATTTAAACTCTGGTAAATTGAAGTTGCTCTTCGCAAGAGTATATCTATCCAAACAAAATGTTCAGCACTGCAAGACTTATATAATATTGTTTTGCTCTCAAAACAACACAAAATCTGACTGCAGAAAGAAAAAACATGTTCACATGCAGCAAAAACATTGTTGTTTAAAGTTTCAGCAATTTTGAAGAGATTTCCACCGTCGCAACCACCATCTTTGGTGGGTCTAACTGTCGGCACCTTGTTCCCACTGACATCGCGACCGGTCTCGTAGTTGGTGAAGGCTGGTTGGTGCTCCACCCACTTCCTGCGATTATCCTACATGAGAAGTAAAGAATGACAAGTATATTGGCAATGTTTAATTCTTGTACATAGAATAGAAACACTGTGCAATATTAGTATCAATGTATCAATGGCAATTGCCACACGTATGCAAATATATATATATATAAATACACATACGTATGTATATATATATATATATATGTTGTAAATGGATACACAATTTTTGACACAAATTTCTGTATATACATTGAACCAGCCCATCGACAAAATTGGCAAAGTAGAAAAACTTAGACATACGCACAGGCTAACTGGTTATGGTCCGCACTCCGAAGTGAACATCATCACACATCTATACACATTTTACGAAATAGGTTACTTCTCATGTTTATCAGAGTAGGGCTCAACATCATGAACTTCCCAGTCGAAAGTTCATCTATCCACTGCCAGAGGTCCGAAATTTGGCATCGGTAAGCCTACATTCTGTAGATAACTATAGATTTTCCACACATTTGGCCCATTCACCCTACAATTTGCCTACCATTCACCTACCATTCACCCCATGTGCAGCCAAGAGTCCAAAACTTCTCCTCAGTCGAAACACCATCGTGGGTCGATCCAACGATCCAATTTCACTATGGTTACCCTCTGGTAAACTGACATAATCTATGGGAAAATCCACCCATTTTTTAATGGGTAAATCAACATAAATCAACTATTCCTATGGCCATGTTCAATAGCTATGTTTGTTTACAAGAGGGTAATGGCAGATATATCGAATTGCTATTCATGGGGTTGATAAACCAACACACATCACTGGGCACCCACAAACCTATGTATTCTATCTTTCGTAGTTTATCTAAGCATCAACCTCAACGACAAGGTTTCCACGGTGGGCCCCCCCAAGTTGTAATAAGTTGGCTTATAAACCCCATCAACTGTATTTTGTTGTCCCCCATTAACAATCGTTACTGAAGTTAAATACCAACTTGAGCCATTAAACATAGCCCTATCTCATGTCACCATACTAGTTGGCTGATATAAATTCCCTACTATGGGTTATCATGTTATCATCCGCAATAAATTACTGGTTGGTGGTTTCAACCCCTCTGAAAAAAAATAGTCAGTTGGGATTCTTATTCCAAATATATGAAACAACAATAAAGAATGTTCCAAATCACCAACCAGATTAGGTAGCACAAGTCACAAGAATTTCACCAAACCTTCGCTGCTTCGCCAAGTAGCTTCGAACTTCTCGGGCGTCATGTCCTCGCGAGAAAGGAATGGTCAAGTTGCCCGTATTTTGAAGTCTTATAATATATATGCATTCGGTCGATCGCATTCCTTGTATTTTTTGTTCCCTTGAAAATTCTATCATGTAAATAATTGCAAATATCTAAAACCATATCAAAATCTATTCAACAGTTATTTCAGCTTTCTCACATCCACAACAGTTTTGGCACTCATTCCAGGTTGCAGCCATTCCAGTACCCCCAGCCCCTGACCTCAATGGGGTCAGTGATGATCCCCTTCTTACCCGGCTGGATCGTGGAGTCATAGTCCCCCGTGCACCTCTTGCCGCCAATTGGCGTTGAGGGATCTCTGTGGGATTTTCGAGGGCCCCCTGGTACTGAAAACTGGAACCTCAAGGTGAAGTGGGATTCAGAAGCCATAGATTCGTACATGACTCTAAGACAAGTAACGTGGCTGTACCCAAACTTCAGCCACAGATTGATAGGATGGATCATATCAGCCATGACAGGTGTGTGAACTGGAGCGTATCTCCCAATGTTTGCGGCTAAAACACCCTTGTGGTAGGTTGGTTCCCACCGTCTTGCGGATCCTTGGGGTTAATGTACGGGAAATCCTGGTATCATCATCGATCTGAGTTGATGTATGAAGCCAGTTTCAAAACAACCAAAAGCAAACTGAACACCAAAGCTGAGCTGCGTGGGTTTCTTGCAACATGTTCCCAAGCAAATCTGGATGAGCTACAACAATGTCCAAACCTGAAACAAGCCATGACTTCAGGCCCGAGTAATTCACCATGACAAACCACTTCACTTAGAAGTGAAGTCATGGTGAATCTTAACTACCGGGACCAAACTTGTTTTTTTTTTAGCTGGTAGTACTAGTACAAATCATTTATAGGAAAAGTATGGAAAAGTACTTTAGTTACTATTCCCCAGATAAAATCAATTCTGGGATACCAATCACAGCCAAGTCCCCCGCTCTACAGAAGTGGTAGCGCCCGTCAGCCATCCAAACATCCTGCAGTTGGTGGCTTCACATAGCTCTGTTCGTAAAGATGGCAGGGGTCGATGGATTGATATGATTGATTTTTCTGGAAAATCGATGGCAAATCCCTCTTTGATGGGAGAAATATAGGGATGTTCAATGTTCCCATCCTCCAATTTTCGGAAGCGGTGATTCCAACCACTGAGGTATCGCATCTCCAATGGCTGTTGAAAGGTGTTCCTATTCCTCAAAAAGTGAGATTTGCCAACCCTTGCATCATGCAACTGCAATCTGGCTATGTATCAAAACCTACTGCACCACTCTTCATCTGATAATTTACATGTGCTGTGAATGAATGCTCACCTTCCTCCCATTCATAATACATTGATAGATATCAAATTTCAAAGATTGTTTGATTCATTCCCAGTGTTGTGTGTTTCTCAAATTGAGGTAATTACCCAAAAACAATGGGTCTCTCCTTTGAACATGGCCAACATTGGATGTTTTTTTTTTTTTTTTCGGGTGCTCCCGGCTCTCATGACGATCCGGAAAACCCCAGAAGTGAAGGCCTTCCCAAGCCGCGGCCTTGACAGTTCCAGAGCCGGACAGCGCTGTCCAGCGTATAAAACCACTAGCAAAATCGATAAAATCTCCAGCCAAAATGCCGCGCAACACGAAGTCACACTGGAAAAGCTGCCATTGTGGCAAAACATGACTGTAATATATTATATCTGTTGTGAATCTAATTGATATGTATACATATATATATATATATATTTATAATTATATAATCATATATACATAGAACAGCTCATGGGGTTCATCATGCCAAGTAGGAATATAAAGCAAACTGTAGGAAACATCATCTCAAACTGCAGCAACTTAGTCATTGAGATCTCGCCAATTTTATCTGTGTGCAAGAGATTCGCTTCCCCGGGGCTCACAAAGCTATACAAACATCAAACATAAGCCATTTCCTAGAACCCTCCAATTACCTATAGAAACACGGGTAAACAAATACTCCCAAGTCAAATGTAATGGGTATATTTCTAGATATTACCATATGTTTCCACATGTTCCCAGATATTGCCAATATAGTATCTGGCGGAAATATAACAATTCACCAACCTGACAATAGCTGTTATCATACAGCCATTTGAGGATGATTCCCGGAATACAAATCATCATTCCAGTGACGTAACAGTGAGGTCATTGTATGTTATCCAGATATATTAACATATATCTCATGTATCCAATTATACCACCATTTTTGTTGGTTAAGTCACCATTGCTGTTGGTTAAAAACCATAAAAATACCATACCATAGTTACAAATGTAATTATGTCACAATAATGAATACTATTGTATCCCGTTATATCCCTATTATAACCATTGTTCGTTGGTTATATCCACTCATATCCTTACATAGTTCCCATTATATATTCATATAATATGTACGTATATAGGCTATGAGTCAAAACCTCGGGACCCGGTACCCCATAAATAGCTGGATCATGCCGGATCTTTGAGATCTTTCTTCCCATCTTTTTTGGTATTCATGTGTGTTGATCCATCCCAATAACCACAATGGGTCCTTGGATAGTCGAAGTTTTGGGCGGCTGTCCCTTCGATGTGCACCTCTGACTTCTTGGTGGTCGTGCCGCCGGGCGCTTCAGCTCGTCCTCTGCGACACTTGGCGGATCTGAGCCACGCACCTGAGAGTCCCAGGCGGCAGAGAAGTTTTTGATAGGATCAATATAATACATATAATACATATATATATACATATATATATATATATATATAGATATATTTACATGGGAATATATAGGATTTATATATGGGATATTATGGGATTATATTACACCGTATAATGGGGGATGACGAGGGTGTTGAATTGGGAATTTATATTAATTAATCCCATCCCCCGTTCATACTAAACACCCCCATTCTCCATGGTTTCTGGGGAGTGTTTGATATTACGGGGATGGGATTAGGAAATGTCCACCTTCCTACTTGCGCCCATGAACAAAAATAGGTCCATTTGGATCACAGGTAGGATGCATAGTGAAAACCAATCAAACCACCAACTACAACATGGAAGAATTCTGGGGATCCCCCCATTTCAGGAAACCAAGAAATGAATCATGTTCATTTCCAAGCATGCCGCAAAGTACGGCAGCAACTTCCATCAGCTCTTGACCGAAACCATCCCATTTCAACAACACTTTTTTGACGCACTAAGCAGGGCGTGCAGCGACTCACCAGAAACAAGTGAACAATGAGAAGACAAAGACCTGAGCGGAGCCAGGGGGAACCATAGAATGTTTGTCCGTAGCAATATTGGTGAAGTTCTTTGGATGTGACTTGTGACTCAAAACTAACCGTGTCAATAGGCTCGTTGCAGTGCTTCATTTGCCACTTGTGTCTGCGTTACTAGGTTGACCACCACGGTTGTGCATGTAATTATGTAGATAGATGAATAGATAGATTAGATTAGATTCGATTCGATAAGATTGGATTAGAGATTAGATAAGCTATTAGATTAGATATTAGATGAGATATTAGATATTAGATTAGATATTAGATTAGATATTAGATATTAGATTAGATATTAGATAATTAGATTTGATATGAGATTAGATATTAGATATTAGATATTAAATATTAGATATTAGATATTAGATATTAGATTAGATATTAGATTAGATATTAGAACAGAATTTAGAAAGCATTAGGAATAGATTAGATATTAGACTAATTATTAGATTTGATTAGACTAGACTAGATTAGATTTAGATATATAGGTAGATGGATAGGTCGATAGAAAGAAAAATAGATAGATAGACAGATAGATAGATAGATAGATAGACAGAAAGAGAGAGAGGGAGAGAGAAAGAGAGAGAGAGAGAGAGTGAGAGGGAGAGAGAGAGAGAGAGCTAGATAGATAGAGAGATAGATAGATAGATAGATAGATAGATGGATAGATAGATAGGATAGGATAGGATAGGATAGGATAGGATAGGATAGATAGATAGATAGATACATAGATAGATAGACAGATAGACAGATAGACAGATAGACAGACAGACAGAGAGACAGAGAGATAGAGAGATAGGATAGATAGGATATATAGGATAGATAGGATAGATAAGATAGATAGGATGGATAGGATGGATAGGATAGATAGGATAGATAGGATAGATAGGATAGATAGGATAGATAGGACAGATAGGATAGATAGGATAGAAGATATACTTACACTTGAACATGAGTCTCTCAGTCCAAAAAAATACTGTTCTCAAAGCAAGAAACAGAGATGCCAGCCAGGGCGGTGCGTGCACTACTCTCCTGGCGGACGGTATGAAATTTATTTGGCATAGAAATGATATCCTCTGGTAAACTACCAATAGCTATGGCAAATCACCACTTTTAATAGGTAAATCAACTACAAATGTGCCATTTTCAATAGCTATTTTAAATTACCAGAGGGTATATCATTATAGAAACCGATCCCTGCAAGCAAAAAAACGAAAAGGCTAAACATCCTAGTATATCTAAGTGCGTACTGAATGGAAAAAAACATCCTGCAGCAAAAAGATCGGGTGAGACACAACCAGGGCCATGTTCAAAATAACGAGGGCCATGTTTTGGATCATCCCACATTCCAACTTGGCCACGAACCTGTTTAATCTCTACCTTATGGATTTCTGTATACATGTCTGTAGATGCATGTACAGTAAATACATACAAACACATATCAATCAATGTAAATACAATATATATATAATTACATATATAAACAAATATACACTATATTCACTATATAAAAATATGAATGTTATTATTTATATAATATATATATCTATATATATACACACTATACATGTATACAAGTATGAGTGTATATACATTTTCACAATGCATACATATGATATACTATATGCACTTTCCACTATACACTATATTCTACATTCTATATACTATAATACCATATACTGTAAACTCTATATTCTATACTAGATTCTATATCATACCATGTACTATATACATTTTACTATATACTATATGCCATATCATACCATACACTGTATACTTTTCACTATATACTTTATACTAAATATGATATACTGTATATGTTCTATAGTAAATATAGTATATTATAGTTAAACATATGATACACTAATGTTCTATATACTGTAAGTATAATAACTACATATTACTACTATATAGTGTGTGTATATAAGATTCATCAATGTATACAACCAGCCGCCTTTTTCAGAAGCGATTTCACCCGATTTCACCCGATTTCACCGGTCCTGTGGATAGACCAAGATCTGTTGAGGATAGCTGCAGTTCTCACCTTGGCAGCTCCAGCCAGTGCGCACCACGATGTAGCACTCCTGCGAGACAATCATGATGATAAATGATGATAAATGATGATAAATGATGATAAATTATGATAAATGATGATAAATAATGATAAATGATGATACATGTATATAGTAGGATCGCAACAAGTGGATAGAAACACGGGTGATTGACACAATTCCTGCCATTGTCCCATCTACATGTGAGTGGAAACCATAGCCTGTAATCATAATTATATAATTAATCAGTTTCACAATGAAATGCAGGCCAACATATGTCATTCCATATCATTCCGTGCTAATGGTTTGTTCATACTCGGGATTCCCTTTTTTCATGTCGTATGATCATTATCCCCAAAATATTGTGGCTATAGAATTTGGTCATTTACCATTTACATCAACAAAACTATCCCCAGAGTTTGATAGGACTCACATCCCTGTTAAATGACAACTTTATCCCCAACCATTACATCATTACATCACTAACAATAGGATTATGATTATGAACCCTATTAATCCCTATATAACAATAGGATTATGATTCTATGAAATACGCCCGTCTTCATCAACCAACACCTAGAAAAAAACGCAGCGACTCGCCAGCGATTCGCCTGTTTCTTTGCCTCAAAGTGAGACGAAGGATGGGTCGGATGGGCCGGCTGGGACTCCAGCACGATGTCGTAGGCTCCTGTGGCATCAAAATAGGTGGGATTTTATAAGAGAATCAGCGATAAATAATAGAGTGGTAACACTCCTATAAATGTGGCAACACTCCTATTTATGACAACCCAGAATAGGAATTAATGAGTGTTACCACATATATAAATAATCAATAGGAATTAATCCTATCTGGGATTTTATACGAGAATAACCGCTACAGTCATGTGGTGATATGAAAAAAGGTGTGTTATGCTTAGAACAAATCATCAACTCGTGGAGCAAAACTCTTGGAGCCAGACCTGACAAACTAGCCGCTACTAGTGGCACCAATCTGGGCCTGTTACAGAACCCGGCCTGTTACCTACTGAACCCAACTCAAATTGCTCTTAAGAGACCTTGCTTTTGGTTCCAAATCCCCAGTTGTACAGTGTTCCACCATCTAAGGATTCTGATTCTCCATCTAATCCTAATTCTCAATGATCAATTTCATGTCCCTCTTGACTCCAAATACACCACAAACAAACATTCATCAGTCTAGCTGTAGCTTTTAGCCATGGCCATTGTTCAAGTGATGGGAAAGAAGGGAGGCACCCACTGGCAAGTTATATTGTCTGACCATTTTAATCCATAATTTTAAGTTTTAAGTTTCAATAAGTAACAGCGTTCATCGATTTTGGAAAACCATGACTCTAAACCAGTATCATGGTTAGAACCAGATTATACAGTATTATATATTGTAAGGTTGTCATAGATTTGAGCAGTCCAATTCCAATTCTGTTCCTCATGACTTCCGACCCAAAATTGCCATTTGGATCCATTTGTATACGGTGTATACCCAATTTTCGGACACGTCCAAAAATCATAGACTTGGTGATATATCTCATGTGTATATTATATATAATTATATATATACACAGTATATTATAAGTATATCCCACATGAAAGAGGTCGTTTCCACGATTTCTTTGCTTTTCAATCCTCAACATTTTCTTGAAGAAACCCACAGTGTTCATCATGGGTATTACATGGTTTTATGGTGTTTTACCACCCATACGTCGTCACCCTTCGGCCCTCCAGGGACTCCAGGGGTCCCGGAGAGGGCCTGGGTTGATGCCAGTGACAGTGCCAAAGACCAAAGCCTCTGAGGCGGATCCGCCATCAGTGATGCCTCGGCGTGGCGTGGCGCTGCTGTCGGATTTCATAGGGATTTCATGGGGAATTTACATGAATTTAGCTTTCAGCTCATGGGGATCTATGATTAAATCACCAACTCAGATTCAATTTATCTGAAATCATCAATGATTTTTTTGAATGAAACATCTACAGGAAACCCAGAAGGTTTTGCCCCCAAGCACACTGCAGGGCTTTCCTGCAGATTTCCCCAAACCAATATTGGGAAAAGACAAACTTCGCAATATGATTCAGAAATTGTGGCTAGTTGGGTAAATGCCATCAAGATCCATAAAGCCCAATCTTGTTTTTGAAGATTTATTGAATGAGGTATGGTTCTTTTAATAATTGATAGGTTTAAGACATTTATCCACTGTATTCTGCCTGTCGAGTCTGTGTCCAAGGTTCTCATGTTCACTGGCGCGCCGTTGTAGGTGTCAATCACTGCAATCTGGGCAGTCTCCGAAGGGGCAAACACGTGAGACCTGAAGGCTTCTCGATTGGAATGCCGAGAGGACTCACAGGAGGATCGCTTGGAACATGTGTTTGAGGGGTCATTTCCCACAACTGCCTGATGTAGGAAACGACATATTAATTGATAATACTCCAACAATAATAATAATAATAATAATATAATAAACATAATAAGAAACACTCTCTTGTTGGGGATGGAGTTTATGCAATCCGTTTTGGTATAAGAAAAATATAGAAACGTAAGAAGAACACAGTTTTATTATATGATTTACCACCCGCTTCCATTGATGACAATAAACTCCCTCAGCCAACTGACTGCTGAACCCCTACTTGGTACAACCGGGAGTTTCATCGTCTCCCTTTGGCCATCTTTGTGTATATCAACACACTCTAGAAACCAGCGCAGCCAGCTAACAAAAACACACTCTAGAAATCATAGAATTGGATGATGGGAAAATTTACAGGAAAGCCCAACCAATTTGATGGTAAAAACCATGGTTTCCGGTTAAGATTTTCCCTTAAACCAATCCATTGATAGAACCTCCGGTTTTTTTCGAACCAGTCGAGCGTATTTTTTTGTCAGCCAGGGAGCATAAAGGACACCGACTGTCCAGGATCTTGACTCTTGTGCACCAAGAGCATCAAGATGGCATCGTGTTGAGGGAGACCCTCCACCTTGGCGCTAATGGCGAGGAGATGTGTATCATCTGCATGGATAAATATTGATCAGTTTGAAGGTAAATATAGAAAGGTTGTTGATGTTGTTGATGATTGTTGTAGGTTTATAATAATAACAATTATAATATATATATAATATTAACTATATTATTGCGATACATTGATGATCTGGACAATTATATAGTGGAATCTTTAAAAGAAAACCACATTCCCAAACAGCAAAGTTAAAGTTGTTTGCCATCCAGCTGCTGTGAAGACTCCAGCTGTCTTGTTGCCCTGCTTGAATTCCAGGTTGTCACCTGCCTTAAACTCCTTTGTAAAGGATTGGCACTGCATGTACCTTGGCGACCGGCCACTGGGTTCCATTCTGGCCATGTGTGGGGTTCCCCCCAACTCTACCAAGCGACTGTTGCCAATGGGGAACATGCAGATAGGTTGTATCTACTCCACAAACATCAACTTAACTACGCACAACCACGCACCTATCTCAATCTCCACACTCGGGACCAGTCTGCTGGGAGCTACTGATGACTTAATTGAAGTGTGTGGAATTAGCAACTACAACCCCCAATTAGAGATTTGGTTCACCACATTCTACACCTTAATCACTGATTTCCAAATAGCCGGTCTTATACCACCTGTAAAATCCCCACGGTGACCGTGAAATTCCATGGTTTCGGGTTAAAACATGCAAAATTTCATGTTGTCTTGGTGAAATCCCATACCACTCCCCATTGTTCTTGGCCAAATCCACCCAACCAGAGAACCACAGCAAGCCGGGGCACTTCAGAGGCTCAGAGCCTGTAAGGGTGTCCGAACCTGCCACCTCAGCTGGGATTTGACGGGGATTGATCTGCAAAAAGAAAGGATCCTATCCCAACATTAGATACACCATGATATACTATGATATACCGATATACCACTTCTAAATGGTCAGTCTCCCAGGATGCTCTGACCAAGCCGGCAGTCATCCTATCCTATCTTGCCATCTGGGAATCGCCTGGGCCTCTGGCAACATCAAAGGCTACCTCCGATGCAAAGGCATTGCAGACTCGAAGCTCTTGATGAAATTCCACCTGGACATTGGAGAGTGATGTCGTGTCTCTGAGACACATTTTTTTTGTGGGAATGGTTCACATAAGGAAAACATCTTGGATGATTCACACTATACATGGTCAAACATTACAGGTTCTCAAGAACCCTTTGGACTCATATGTCCAAACAGCGAATGCACCATCCTCATGGCCCAGTGGCAAGACACCGTCTAACCACTCGAAAATGAGTCATAATCTATGGTTAAAAATAAAAGTATAGTAAAGCTTCACTATTGGATATACATGGATATACGATTTTACTCATCTACTCGACATGTTCACATTCATGATTGTTGGATATAGATGTGCTACATTGCTCGCATTACTAAAGGAAACAGTACAACTACCAGCCAAATACCGCTGCCTTCCCTCATTCGTTGCATCTCACGGTTGCCAGGCCTTCAACATATGGTGCGAACGCATAAACCCCGCTGACGCCAACAGTGGGGTCAGCGCTGTCCATAGCCACAACCTGGATGTGGACATCGGTCTGAAGGAATTACAATCTCTACAGTACCCCGTAGAAATTAAATACTGCTGCTTTATCATTGGATCTATTATATATTTATATATAATTTTGGGGTCCTTTATTACTTGTATTTAATACTCGGAGAATGGGACTAATAACATATGATCTCGGTTGACTTCATAACTTGACGGAAGCTCGGGAGGCGAAACAAACCAACCCCCACCAAAGCATTATCCATACAGGAGCTGTCCATGATTTGAAACAAGATTCTCTAAGACACTAAATTGCATCATGCCGCGCGAGGGAAAAATGGCTCTGGACAAATGGTGAAATAGTCGAGCATCACCAACATCAGTTGCTCCAGGGATTATATCATATTAATTCATATTATATCCCAACTGGTGGGTTCTTACCGTAGTTGTAGCCATGAATAGCCCAACTGCACCCCCAAGTAGGGGATCAACATATCCCGTTGGCCCAGTGGCATCAGGACCAGCTGAGACTGTCCTGTTGCAGAAATTCTCTGGACTGCATGGGACCCCTTTGAAATCCAATCCCGGAGGAAAGTCGTTGTTCCAAAAAGTTCCAAATCCATCAGTCCATCCGCTGAAGGCATGAGCAACTAGTAACTAGTACACCAAGACAGTCTTGCTATGACTCCCAGACAGCAACCGTCCTGAAGGGTCTTCAATGTGTACGGAAGGGCCGCCAGGGATTCAATCGATCCAATGGCTGCGAAGGGGTCAACTCAGTCTTGGATGTGTCACAGCCACCTAAATCCATAGGTATCTAAAGGAAGACAAATAGATAGTAGGTAGATCAGTAGATAGGTAGAAATATACATGTATATCTATATATATCTAGAGATAGATATTATAGATAATATAAATAGAATACATAATATAGATATGATTATAGATAGATAAATAGATAAGGACTAAAACCGATTCCGGGAGCAACTCCAAAATCCCATCACGGGCTTGGGGCACCCAGCCATCACTTGGCGTCCGGATGGAGGTCACCTTGGGGGCAGTGCTATACCAAACCCTTTCAAGTGGTTTGGTGGACCAAAGGACTTGATCAAATGCTACTCAGAACCATTTTTAATATCAAGAGTACTGTCTTGATCAATATTGATAGTGGTACCAATATCCATCATTATTTGGCTACTCAGAACCATTGTTCACGCTGATATTGAAACAAAAATGAATGGTCTAACGCGAAAACTAACTCAAACTGACCAACAAAAATGGTGCGTCCATTGGTACCCCAATGTTAATCCATACCCCTTTGATTCCAGACTGCAATTCGCAGCGAATCAAACGCCTTCAGCACACACACACACACCTTTGTTGTGGTCATTGGTTGATACTCCGCTGATAATCAAACATGGCTTGCTGGAACATCATCCCTGTAGTTCAATGTTCTTCCCAAGAAAAAGTTTGGCGGTGTCCCATTGCATCCCATTGCCATGTTTGATTACCAGAGGCTCCAGAAATAACATATCCCAGCTATGACTTGTTTGATTTAGGTTGATGTTCAACATGGTGAACTGTAAGTGGCTGGCTACTCACTTTACAATTGATTTATTGCAACGCTGGGTTCTCTACCTGGGCTGGTCTCCTGTAAAACATATGACTTGTGACATGTTGTTACCATGGTCACTCTGGTCATCCAACTAGAAGCAACAGATTGAGCTGGAGATGCCAAGTCAAACATTATACCAGTAGGTGGATCTTTTTATGGTTACAATACAATATGTCACAATAATCCCTACAAGGTGGGGCCCCCCAGTTATGTTTTGGTTTATAAACCCCATTAACTATAGTTATAAGTACCATAAACCATAGTTATTGGAGTTATAAACCAACTTAGCTATCTTGAGGGCACCACCTTGTAATAAACCAGTTAGTACAATTCCCAGTACAAACATGAAAACCATGTTGGGGGATCTTCAGTACACTTTCAGACATCCCGACCCATGACACCTCTGCAGCACCTCATAGCCTCATAGCCCTGCGGTGTGACGGGCCGCGTTCGGAAATCCCGGAAGTGAATGGAGGTTTTAATGGAACACTCCTGGGAAAACCGTAGGACAACCATAGAACATATGGGAAATCCCCAAAGTAAATGAGGTGTCAATGGAAAAATGACCTATAAATAGGGACTTTTCCATTGCCATGTTTGATTACCGGAGGGCATATCCTCTGATGTCATCAGATTTATGGCTAGCTGGAAAATGGTGATTTAAAAAGGATTTCATGGGATTCAATGGAGCTAGCCTTCTCATCAAACATGGCTAGCTGGAAAGTCCCCGAAATATAGCTGGGCATCTATATATGCGAAAATCATCAAACTAAATGGGAGATTTTCCAGAATGTTTGATTACCACAGGGTACAGAAATGAACAATGTTCAAAACCGCAACGATGTCCCTGTAAATACTGGTTGGTTAAGCAGGGATTTCCTGTTCATGGATTGTGACAATCCCCAATATATTGGATAGTATATGATAGTATAAACACATATATACAATATAACCCATATATTGGATAGTATTACTATATTTGATAGTATATATTACTATATCAATCGACAGGGGTTTTGAACACTGCTCAAATGAGTATATCCCATATATCACTGGGATCATCCATAACCACTCAGTGGTATGTACCACTTGCTGTTGGGGATGCTCAATACTATCAGAGATGGTCCGTTCAGAACGGAACACAGTGAGCAAATGATGCCATGTCAGTCAAAAACCTTGATATGTATATATGTATGACTATATATATATATTATGTATACACGTCATGCACACTTTAATATGTTTGTGTATCATAAATCATTGTTCACGTCTTGTCTTGACATCTCTATATGTTTCTTGCCTTTAAGGGGCTCAAAACAACCAACACCTAGCCGCACCGGCTCTGGCTCCTCATTCCAGCAAAGCAGCTGGGGCCGGCATGAGATTGGAGAACCACCATGGAAGCGATCCAATTCGGTTTGTCTGAACACACATATATATATAATTATATATATATACATAGATAGTTATTATAATGATATATATATATATAAGTATTTAGGGCCTTACCTCTAAATCCATTGCTCAATCTTCCTTTTCCGAATTAAAAGTACCATGTAGTTCAAACTGACCCAATTCGAGCAGCTCCAGCAGTGGTTCACCATGTGGTTTCAACACGTTTCAAGCCCCTGAACAAATAGCAAGGCAATGGGAATCATCCCTAGTAGGATTGAACATTAAGAATATCGCTAACCTTTTCGGCAGTGGTTGAATCCCTAAGGCCGTGGTAAATTGATGATAATAGATGTTATATAATAGTTTCAATTTAGGTAGTTCCAATTTAGGTAGTGTTTCCCTTGCCTTTTCGTTCGATCTTCTAGAAGTGTCCGCAGCTGTGTGCGTCCACTTGGGCAAAAGCCATGAGCTTGGCCGAGGCAGCCATGTCACAACTACAGAGAACAGGGTATTCAAACACTACGAATAAAACAGAATCAGAAACATTAGTAAATAAATATATACATTATACATATATGTATCATACAGTTATATATATGTTACATATATATATATATGTACAATACAGGTAGATGTGGAGAGGGAAAGTCCGACTCCCATAGCCAGCATTTCTCACACAAGTCATGTTTGCTCAGCGCAATGTTCTGCATTTCAAAATCAAGAGGGTTTTCACCAGTGAACCATTTCACCCTTGTACTTGTACAAGTAGCCTGGACTTCTCCGAGAAAAATGGATGTCACACACCGAGGTAATTCTGCCAGAGTGGATGGCATACCATGGAATATGCTTACAACATCTTGCCAGCTGTGGCCGCGGCTCACAAGGCTGTTTTGTTGGTCAGATCAACCATGATCAACCTATCGAGTAAACATGAAATGGAATTGAAAAAACATGAACGAATTATATAGTGACAATTAATGCATGAATGGTGGTTCCCCACGGTATCCAGTTTTCATCATTTCACAGATTACACATATGTTCAGACCACCAACCACTTTTTGTTGGCCCGACTGTTGATCGTACAAACTCGCTTCCTAGGCCACGTTGGGCCAACGTGAAACAGCTACCGGCCGGTCAAAAGGACAACAGCCGGTCAGAATTTGGCAGCAACCGGTCACCGGATGCCTTCTCATCAAATTCCATTCAATTCCAAGAAGTGACTTTGTCTGAAAATGTTGTAATTAACCCCAATTCCAAAGGATTCTCATTGTTTTTCACGTTGAAATGCGCAACAATTTTACATACTCCATGTGTGGGATCCCCGCTCTGTGTGCAACGTGCTGCAACTAGGAAGCCGTTGCTTGCACCTTCCATGCTGCTGTATCACGAGCAGTCAGCCGCAGGGTGATATGCCAGACCCTTGGCGCAAAGTGTTCGGTGCCAGATGGAAAGTCAGCCAAAAAATCTTGGGATTCGACTATGAACCGTACCTGCTTGGTAGTTTCAACCCATCGCAAAAGTGTCACAAAAAAGGTTTTCCAAAATATGGCGAAAATCAGAAACTTAAATGAAATCGGCGAGTAGGTACCTGTATACAAACACGGCGATGAAAAATTGAGTTGGAACAGTTGGAAATACTTGGAATATCCTGACGGCTAGTGGTCAATCCATCCCCAAACAATAAGGAATCCAGAACCGTTCAACGATAGTCCCCGCTGCTGGAAAAATTTACATGTGTTCACAACTATTTTCAATATATATATATATATGTATTCATATTTTTTGAGGTTTCCAAAAAGACATCAAAGTATAATGTATATTAAATCACTATCAACAAGTCATGTTAACGTTTCATGTTCAAACAAACAATAGGGCCAATAGAGTATATAAATCACCATCAAAATAGCAGGCTGGCCGGACTCGCGCCTCGAGAGTCTGGCTCGCCGCTTCAACTGCCCCAGGGTGGTGGGAACAAAACCTCGGTTTTTGCCGGGATCGTTCTTGGAAAACAGTAAGTTATGATGACAGGAATCAATTTCAGTTCATCAGTCTCGCAAAAACGAATATAGAATTACATTCTCTCATATATATATATACACATAATATGATAAATGTAAATATATATATATAATTATATATTTATATAAATAGTTATATATATATATATATATGTCTATTGAAAATCCATATATATATATATAAATATAATACCCTCAGCTACTTGGGGGGCGGGGTGGGTTACTGTAATGTAGACCCTAAACGTGGGGTCTAAAAGGTTGTTTGGCCAGGGGGAATGTAAAAATAATTTCGTTCATCTAGACCTTTGGGCTGGTCCAGTATTTAAGGTCTACTATGGTTTTCCCACTGTCTCTACATATGCTCCTAAAAATCCAACTTTTCATGTGCACCGAACACATTTCATTTTTGCATGTGCCACTGGTGGGCGTTTCGTAATCCCAAGCGACAAGACACTTCAGTTTGATCATACCCTCAAGATCAAACAAGATTTCAAAAAACCCAAGGCTTTTGACATCCCTCAACGGAGAGCAGAATAGAACCCCAACGTCTACGCATGGTGGGGTTCTAAAATCGTGTTCCTGCAAGCCATAAAATTATTGAAAAATGACATGTATTCTTCTGTTTTGTGTTGAACACATGCTGCGTTTCATTTGCATATTGCCTTTGTCCTCCCACACGCAGTGCGCGGCTCAGGTCATCGCAATGCTTTAGATTTTCTATTTTTTGCCGTTTTTCCTAGGCCGCGTCAGGCCCACCTTTTCCGGATAATATATGCAGAACTGCAGAACATTTTTTAAAGCAACGTCGGGACGGATGCAAAATTGGATTGCAACCTGTACGCTTCCCCACAAAGATTGCGTCGTTCAGTCATCTATTGAAGCCACCGTGCCCTCACCTTGTTTTGGCAAGCGGTGTGCAAGATCATCGCTTGTGAAAGGAAAAATCGACTGGACCATGACCAGTCTCAAAATTTACTGAGAGTTATCAATCTCTCCTTCTTCGTTGTTCTCCGAAAGTTCTTTATCAGATGTGTTGCTATCAAAAGAAAGGAGGTGGTGGGTAACAAAACGGATGCAAAAAATGTAGACTGTAGAAGATGTGTCAAAGCATGGCTAAGTTGGAATATGGCTGGTCACATATCAGCGCCTGTGAGTCTAGAATGGTTCCCTCCAAGCTTTAAAAACAGATTGAAACGCATTGACCTGGGAAAAATGATGATAGATCTCGTTTTTTTTTCAAACGCCTTGGCTGAACCAGAAGTGTTGGCATCTACAGAATGCAGATGGTGGATGAAAACAAATGTGCAAGGAAGGCCAAGTTGGTTATGGCTGGCCAACAGTCAGCACCTGTGGGTCTGGAATGGTTCCCTCCAAGCTTTAAAAACAGATTGAAATGCATTGGCCTGGGGAATATGATGATAGACCCTGCATTTTTTCCAAACGCCTTGGTTGGACCAAACGTGTTGGTATCTAAAGAAAGGAGATGGTGGATGAAAACACATGTGCGAAGGGATGTGGAAGTAGGAGAGGTGCCAAAGGAAGGTTAAGTTGGGTTATGGCTGGCCAACAGTCAGCACCTGTGGGTCTGGAATGGTTCCCTCCAAGCTTTAAAAACAGATTGAAATGCATTGGCCTGGGGAATATGATGATAGACCCTGCATTTTTTCCAAATGCCTTGGTTGGACCAAAAGTGCTTGTATCTACAGAATGGGGATGATAAATGAAAACAAACGTGCAAAGGGATGTAGAAGTAGAAGATGTGTCAAAGGAAGGCTAAGTTGGGCTATGGCTGGCCAACAGTCAGCACCTGTAGGTCCGGAATGCTTGCCTCCAAGCTTTAGAAACAGCTTGAAACACTTTGACCTGGGGAAAATGATGATAGACCCTGCATGTTTTCCAAACGCTTTGGTTGGACCAAAAGTTTTGGTACCTACAGAATGGAGATGATAAATGAAAACAAACTTGCAAAGGGATGTAGAAGTAGGAGAGGTGTCAAAGGAAGGTTAAGTTGGGTTATGGCTGGCCACATGTCAGCACCTCTGGGTCTGGAATGGTTCCCTCCAAGCTTAGAAAAACAATTGAACCGCATGGACCTGGGGAAAATGATGATAGACCCTGCATGTTTTCCAAACGCTTTGGTTGGACCAAAAGTTTTGGTACCTACAGAATGGAGATGATAAATGAAAACAAACTTGCAAAGGGATGTAGAAGTAGAAGAGGTGTCAAAGGAAGGTTAAGTTGGGTTATGGCTGGCCACATGTCAGCACCTCTGGGTCTGGAATGGTTCCCTCCAAGCTTAGAAAAGCAATTGAACCGCATTGACCTGGGGAAAATGATGATAGACCCTGCATTTTTTCCAAACGCCTTGGTTGGACCAAAAGCGTTGGCATCTACAGAATGGAGATGATAAATGAAAACAAACTTGCAAAGGGATGTAGAAGTAGAAGAGGTGTCAAAGGAAGGTTAAGTTGGGTTATGGCTGGCCACATGTCAGCACCTCTGGGTCTGGAATGGTTCCCTCCAAGCTTAGAAAAACAATTGAACCGCATGGACCTGGAGAAAATGATGATAGACCCTGCCTGGTTTCCAAACGCTTTGGTTGGACCAAAAGTTTTGGTACCTACAGAATGGAGATGATAAATGAAAACAAACTTGCAAAGGGATGTAGAAGTAGAAGAGGTGTCAAAGGAAGGTTAAGTTGGGTTATGGCTGGCCACGTGTCAGCACCTCTGGGTCTGGAATGGTTCCCTCCAAGCTTAGAAAAACAATCGAACCGCATTGACCTGGGGAAAATGATGATAGACCCTGCATTGTTTTTCCAAACGCCTTGGCTGGACCAAAAGTGTTGGTATCTAAAGACTGGAGGTGGTTGTTGGAAGCACGTCACTGCAGGTTGCTCATCACAACTTGGCCTGGCATTTGTTTCTTCCAAATCAAACTGGCATATGTGGGAGGTTGGAGGTAATGCCATATCATGTTGAAGTAAAGCTCATGATAATTCAGCTGAAGATGTTGCCGGAGATTAATTTTACATCTTTGTTATTGCACATTGCTGCAGGTTGGTCATTGTTTTGCCTTGTTTTCGGGTGATGTTCAAACCAAGCAACATCGAAATCACCTAGTTTTGAAGTTTTGAAAATGGAAATCTTGATAGACCAAAACCGGGGATGCTAATTCCACACATGTTTTGCACCTTTGTGCAAATACCTCATCACGACTTGTTTTCTTTTTCTGCGCTCCAAATCAATGACCTTTTCTTGTGGTCTGTTGAAATCAATTTATACCACAACAAGGCTCATATACTTTCAAGGTTCTAATTTGATAGCCTCTCAGGATTCTAAAATCATACCCTCTATGATTTTAGAACCCTCAACGGCATTTTTAGGCACCGCGATCTTGAGGGTATGTCTGATCTCCATTCTATCACATCCAACCGGGTCAGGACAAACGAAAAACAGGTGGTTCAAAACTGTTGCAATTTGTTTTCAAGAAAATAAATTCCTTGTAATAAAGAGAGATCAGTCCGACACTGAATTATCAGACTTCTCAGCCTGATGATGAATTGCGTAACATTTTCTGGGATGCAAAAGATGGGTGATGATAGATTTGAAAAAGATTGGTCGAAAAAATAAACCTGTTCCAGAACCTCTCTTTCAGAATCCCTTTATTTTTGCTTCCAATCATCAATCTGTGTTGCTAGGGATTTGGGGTGAACCCAAAAAAATATGGCTTCCTGACAGTAGGGCCCCAGAATGCTATGATTTTATATTTCATTTTTTGCTAGCTTCAAAACCTCCAAATTCCAAGGGTCTAGAGTGGTACCACTGGGACAGGTCTACAATGCCCTAATTATCAGTCTAGACCTCTAGACCCTAGCCCCTCCAGGGGGGGCCTTCTAGACCTTAAGTAGTTGAGGGTATTAAATATACATACTGTACATATATATCATCAAAAATGTGTTGATCATTCAACTCTCACGAGGTCCTTTATGAATTCGGTGCGGCTGCGCCTCCTCTGTCTTGATGCGCGACCAATCTGGAGTGGGCCTCAGTGTGATGAAAGGTGTTTGAAATCCCACAAGAACTTGCCATTTCTTGCTTGAACCATCCATCTTTGAGAAGGTATCCCTGTTGCTTGAAGCATACGCAGGCTTGGCGGGAAAAATCATGTTGTTACTCAAAAACCACCACGTTGCCTCTTACATTACAGACGTTGGTCATCCAAATGTCTGTCAGAACAACTACTTTTTGCACCTGACCTCTTCTCATTTGGACACCAGTACCGAAAAGATGCATCTCAAACCATACAAGTTTTCGATGCATAACATATTTTGGTACAGATTGTACTCACATCATTTGAGCAGGGACCAAAACTATAGGGTCACAAAGGCGGTCATGAGCAAAAGTTATCGTTTTAGGTAGTTCGCTATATCGCTTTACATGGTTTTGTATAGCGTGTCAAGCAACGGCTATTGATTTGGAGATCCATTTCCATTCATCTCCACATCGACAATAGGGGGCACTTCATGGTCAGCAGTCTGCTGTCCACTGTTCTTCTTCAAAGTGCGGAAGGAATTTCCCTCAGAAAATGTTGTTTTTTGCACTGTTGCGTGACCTGCTTCTGCAGATTTTGTCCAAAGTTATATTCAATGGTAGGTTTCAAGGTCAGGCTGGACCACCCCAAGTAAATGTTTCAAGACATTGACGCAAAATTGAAGTGCGCCACTCCAGGGATGGATTGGGTCTCTGGCTGCCCGGGCCCCTTTTGGCAATTTTTGGTTATCGCTACGTTGTGAATTTGGTTATCGATAATTTCATCTGGCAAAACCAGGAAGCACATGAAAGATTGTTTCTCAAGCACAGTCCCTGCTTTCCAGAGCCTGTGTCGTAACAAGCTTTGGCAGCAAGTTCTGTGGTCAGAAGTGCGTACTCTAGGCCTTTTGGGAGCACGTCTAGGCCTTTCGGGAGCCCCTGGATTCACATCCGACGAATACTAAAACAATGCATAGGAGGTTGCTATACAATCCCAAATGGCTTCGCAAAAACAACAACACCTTTCAACTTCACCATCAAATCACGTTGTGGCTTTAAGTAGTTCACCATATCGCTTTCCATTGTTTGCGACACATTTTCAACCACAGGACCTCTCATGTAGAGGTTTCTGCATGAACCTTTTAGGTCTTTGACCATTTGATCCACATATAACACGTTTTGTTTCAATGAATGATATACATGTTATTACATGTTGATAAATCATATGTCATGAGCAATGGAGAACATATGATATCAATAATGAACGATAAATATTGATAACATCAATATGGATTACTTACCCTCTGGTAATTTAACATAGCTATGGAAAATCACCATTGATTTCGTGAATTGTCCCATTAAAAATGGGCCATTTTCCATAGTTATGTAAACGTTTACCAGAGGGTATGTGATTCAGCAGTTGATAACATCAATCCACGCGCATCCCGCCTCGGCAACTAGCGCGACTGGTAGGGCGACCCCGTGGACTGCAGGGTGCCTATCGGATCGCGTCAAACGCGGCGGCTAAAAATGCCCGGAGTAAATGGGAACTTTAACGGGACATAACGGGACAATCAGATGATAAATAAGTCTCTGTACGGAACTTACTGGAACATTAAGCTTACTGTTTAGATAGATATATATATATATAACTACAAATATACTAAATAAATCTTCATCTAAATATATCTAAATAATTGATTATAAATACGACATTTTCCAGTAAACCATGTTTGATTCTCCGAGGCTAAGCAACAACTTGATCTTCCAGTTTTCCCAGCGGGCTCCTTGGATTTTCGCCAACTGTGCTTGGTGGTTTCATTCCAGAAATACAGGTCAAGGGGGGTCCTATCCAATCTATCAATCTATAGTATTCTATAGTACATATTCTATAGTCGCTATGAACAAGGCGACCTGACATATGGAGGTTTCCTGAAATGGGGGTACCCCCAAATCATCCATCTTAATCGGATTATGGCTCAAATTTTCCAATTTCCAAACTTGGTTGGTCTGCCAAACCAAATATGACCAATTTTGAGGGTCCATTGGTTGCTACCATGTTTGGGCTGCCCTGTATCGTCATCTAAACCCAAAAAAACAACCTTCAAAACTACTACAACCAACAGTCATAGATCCCCAAATCTTCAAAACTGATCAAACTCGAAAATACTTGAGATTACCTATATGCCTATATGCATAAATCAAGGATCATCAAGGTTATCATGTGGTAAACCCAACGTGGTCCCCAAGGGCGCCTGGCACCCAGCGCCCCGTCCCCGTGGCCAGCGTGGCCACCGGCTCTGGGCTCGGCGCCGGCAGTGCCGGCAGGTCCCGAGACTCCAGCTCTGGTCCTACGGGTGTTGAGGCCTTCCCAGAGATGTTAGATTCTGTTAGGTGATGTTAGATGGATTTATATATGGTATATATATATTATATGGTATATATATATTATATGGTATATATATATTATATGGTATATATATATATATGGTGTGTGTATATATATATGGTATTGCATGTTGATGTGATGCTCTGTGAAAATCACTCATTTTCTGTTGTGTTATGTTCAGATTTGAAATGAATATGTTGGTGCGATATGGACACTTTTGGGAATTGCTGACTGTTTGTGTTTGAATGCGGATTTTTTTAATAGGAATATGTTTGGGATCTAATGGGATATGCTTGATGTGTTCGATGTGAATGGATGTGAATGCGATATGTAAATAATGGGATTTAAAGATGACCCAAATCTGCAGTTTTTGTTGGCAAATTTGGATCCCAGCTTCTGCGCCGTCCTCGGGCCCTGCCCCAGCGTATCAAGCCACTCTCGCATGCGCGGCTTGCCGCCTGTGAGGCGTCGAAAGCTGGTGGCCCAGCCAGCCATTGGAGGCTAAACATTTGTCATTGGGTAATCATGGTTTGATATGGTGAACAAGGTGAATAATTATAGAGAATAATGCTTAATACATCTTAATACTGCATAATATTGGATAATAATAGCATATAATGGTTTAATGATGGTTGATAATGGAAAAATAATCAACAATAATGGATGAATAATGGATGAATCATGGTCATTGAACTGGATTTCACCATCTAAAATGGGGATATGTCATTGGAATCTGCTGGGTTTAATTTATTTCCCAAGAAGATTGGAATAGACTCCAGCTATCTGTTACAGTGTGCGAACTGGCAAAAAGATGGCCCATTTAGTTCGGTGATTTGCCGTTCCTATAGCTGGGTGAGGTGTTGAGAATAAGCTGCTGACCAAACGAAAACTTAAAGGACTTTAAGTATCGTTGCGGTCATGGGATGATTCAAGATTGGATGATTATTACATGTTGTTACATACCAGAATCAAACAGGGGGTTGTGTGAACATAGTATATATCATTATATATATACACATATATAGATACATATATATATATATTATAATTATATATATAGCATTATATAGCCATGTATAGTCCCAGATCCACGAGTTACTGTAATGTATCATTCTTCCTGTTCAAATGGTCATCAAAATGACCTTTGATGACCAATGGTGCTTCAATCCTCGATTCCCAGCTTGAGGTCCAAAAATGCCGCCTCGGTGTTCACATTGAACTCCTTTCGCAAGTCACCCAGGTCGTTTAACCTCGCCGACTTCCACCAGAGATTTACCAAGGAACTTGCCGTGAATCAAATCATGGACATTGGATGACCTAGGCATTTACCACCCAAAACGGGGATTTTTTTACTCAGAGTACCACGGAGAACAATGGGATTCAACCAAGAAACATTGGGATTTTGTGATGATTTTTCGATTCAACCACCTCAAATACCAATTTTATCATAGAAATTCCTGCTGCATCCCCACCCCATGTCACCCCCCGGGACTCTGGCAGTGAACTCAGGAGCTGCTCAGACTCCTTCCTCCTCGCACTTGACATTGAAAACATGGCGAGAATGTTTCATACTGAAAGCACTTGATAGCACCATTGAAACCAACCTTGATCAGGCTGTTCAATTATGTATATCATAGGTTGACTGTTCACCACTATTTACAAACCCGACAATTTTTGTTATATTATATGTCTGTCTGAACATATGGTTGATCATCATGTTCCCTTATTCAAAATAGCCATTTAAGGGTTGTATACTCCAGGCAGGCACACCCGCAGCCAATGAAATCAGAAATTGCTCGTCCTTTTGGTCTCCCCCATGCGCAAGGAAGACTCCGCCTCGGCGATGCGACGATTTTTCTTTTTGACAAATTCCACGTTTCTGAGACGAAAAACGGTCCACGCTTCGGAGACTCACACAGTACCACTGAAAATTACGAACAAATATATATATATATATACACATAATATAATATGATATAATATATATATATGTACATATAGCAGTATATATATGTACATAATATATGCATATATAGAATTATCATGATAATACAAACGTCCTCCAAAATCTGTGGATTTTGAATTAGAATTTCAATACATGTGAGCCTTGCCCTCAGATTGTCTCTCACGTCTACTTGGCCATGGTTCACACTTATTGATGCACAAATGGTTGGTTTACCAGAGTACTATATGACTAGTTTGAGGGTCTCCAACCAAAACCACAAAAACAAGTTAAGCAAAACCAAACAAATAGCCATTCATGGTCACAAAAACGATATGACCAGCACCATCATTTCAATGGGTCCATTGGCACAGAGTGCCCTGCTTCCACCCGTGAGCAAAGGGTCTCAAAGCGACTCTCCCACCTGCGCTGAGAAAAAGGGTTTCCAAAAAAGACGTGGACATTTTATTGGAGTTTGATGAGATTTGAAATGATACAGAAATTGGTGTTCACTGTTTTCACGACTAAAAACACACAAAATAAGCGTTTGACATTGATGAAATGCTGATTGGTGGTAGGGCGATACCCCAAATGACAAAATGAGTCCTTAATACTCTTGTCATTGCTGGATCATCAAAACGTTCACGCGTAATTGTTCAAGTATATAGACATGATATAAACCATCAGCTACAAGTAAGTGGTGTCGACCAGCCCATATTTAGGGAGGCAAAGAACACAACTCATCACCATAAGTGGCTTCATGGGCCTTCTACGACCCCAAACCTGCGAATCACGGTGGCAATTCTGCTATCTCTGATAGAAACAACAGTTTCTCAACATAAAAAAAACTAAAGATTGAACTCAACAGAGGATTAATGTACAGTAAGTAAAACAGTAATAAACCACCCCATTGTTTATGCTTCATATCACCCATTTATGGTGATTTCGGGGATGGTTTATGGCATTGTTTTAACCACATTGGGGGCCTTTAACCGCGATGCGAGGCTCAACCCTGCCCTGCCATGCCTAGCAAAGACCTGCTGCACTTCAGCTGTCTGCGCCTTCAACTGCTCCTGGGCGGTTTGCACAGGGCCAAGCATTGGTGCCATTGCACCCGTTTAGGAAATCATTACTGTAAATGTAAGCGCCAACTCTACTTTCAGAAATCAACAAATAACAAATATCTAATAGCATTAGTAATAACATATAATGTTTCTAACATCTATTTCAAAAGTCATGTTTCTAGCATCTTTAAAGTATATCTGTTTAATGTTTCTAACATCTATTTCTAACATCTATTTCTAACATCTATATAAAAAGGCCTTTAAAGTCATTTAACAGAAGTTATCCCCTTCCTTGCGCCACCGCTGCGTGACACTCCTTGGCTTGCGCTGCCAACTCTTCAGTCTGGTGAAGCGTCAGGCGATCTTCGTGGAGTCGTTGAACCTGCCAGGAATTCATGGGGACTTTCCATAGGGGTACCCCAAAATGGAAGGGTTTAATATGGAAAAAAAAAACAATGAACAACCTATGAAAATTGATGATAATAGGAAAACAACTATGAAAATGGATGATTGTAATGGAACCATCTATTAAACTGATTCAAAATGGATGATAAAAAAGGGTAGCTTTATGACTTAGGAACCTCCATATGATCACCCGCAAAATGAGACTTCCACCAAAAAAAACAAGGAATGCAACAGCTATACATATGTAGACCCACTAAGACATGCGGATAAATCTTCATTTCACAGGAGGTTAGGTAAGTATGGGTCAAAATTAGGTACCCCAATAATTGGATGGTTAATATTAAACTAGACTAACAGCTGTGGTCCCCTAGGTCTTCCATTTTGACCCACATCGGTAAACCTTGGGTGTTCGACGTTGTTTGGGTATAGTTTTTGAGCCGTTTTTTGGTGATCACTCCACCAGGATCACTCAGGATCACTCCAGAGTTGGCAAATGCCAAGGGCAACTGCAACTTACCCTTTTCTCAAGAAATACCCTCTGGTAAACTAACATAGCTATGGAAAATCACCATTTTTAATGGGAAAATCCACTATTTCTATGGCCATTTTCAATAGCTATGTTAAATTACTAGAGGGTATGTGTTTTTTCCTGCATATTTCAAGGTAATTTGCTATGTCCTGCACCTGTAGTGCAGGTACTCTATTACCATAACTGTCTGGCTGTGCTTTTATGACAGGATGAGTAACATCCAATAAAAGAGTTAAGAATGTTGATAAAACTTGACAGAAAAAAACTATGGCACCACAACATGGGACTAGGAAGTAGCAGCTCCCAGCATGCATTTGTATTGAAAGGGGTCCTCCCTTCTCCATCCCTTTCATCAACATTCACTCCTGTTCTTAGTTCTTTGATCTATATACCGTATAAACAGTTTCATGTGTAGTTTGTGCTTTAGTGGGAGAATATATAGTTTTAACCAGTATGCAAGCGCGTTGTCACAAGTGTGCAGTATATGTACAGTAGAAATGGCAGCTTCAAACAAAACTTATATTATGTCAGTATAAGTTCATCATGGTATGGTAACCAAAAGGACACAAGACCATGTGCAAGAAACACCTAAGCAACCTGACAAAACAATTGTATCTATAGAATGGCTGTCTTCCTTGTGGATTGATGCAGCAAATCACAATGAAGTATGCAACAAATATTGCAATGACTTGGGCAGGGACAGTAACTTGGAATTTGTACTGCCATTTGCTATAAGAGTTCCACTGGAACTGTCGTGTCAACCCAAAGGCGACCTGGTACTGCAATCTCAAAGACCACCAGTGCAAATATTGTGCTATATATATATACGTACCAATAAATATATATATATGGATACAATGAATATCTTGTCTTTCGTTTTTGGGAAAAGAACTTTGGCACGCGTATACCAAGACCATCTATCAAAACCAATGGAGCTACAGAAAACAAGCAGTCAAAAATAGAGTTAAGGATGAAAACACCAAAACAGTACATTTCATCTCCCAAGAACTTTAATCTTTCATATGATCAAAGATGTAGAACAAACAACACATATTCAAACAAAAACAAAAACCACGTATTTTTGGGGACCTGCTGGCGTTACACTCTCTAATATTAATGGGTCTAACTCTGGTAGCAACCTCCATAAGTTGGGATATAAATTAATTAAGTAATCCCTACGACAATGGTTATGGATGTAACCCATGGAACAATTACTGGAACGCACCCCCACTAGTCATTTAACATATGGAACATCACCATGTTTAACAGGTAATGCATCAGAGATGAAGCGTTCTCGCTACGTTAAATTGCCAGAGGAGATGTCATTTTGACCTCATCCCATGACAGGTTCACCGGGTCCCAGGTCCCCGAGGTACAGGTCGCCTCCTCTTGAAGCTTCTCCAAAGCACCGTCCCTTTCACCTGGCGCATGCTTCGAGATTTGCCGGTGAACAGATTGCGAACTGGTGACGACCAGTTAAGAGATGATCAAAATCATGATGCCATGGAAAACAATAATTTAGTGATTTTCAATACGTAAAAAATATCAGTAAAGTACCAGAGGGTAAATGAACCCAATCATCAGAGTTGTGGTTTGAATTTTGAAAAACGCCAAATAATTAGTCAGACGATCTGACAGGTGTCAATTTCCGCAAAGCAATATCTATTTGCGGATTGCAATCTGTGGCTTCAAGTACCATCCCAGCTATGTGGGACAAAAACATATCTAGAAATGGGTGGTCAAAATTAGGTACCCCAATCATTGGATGGTTCATACTAAAGATAGACTAAGCATGACTAAGCCATCTGTGGCCATAACCTGGATATACCTTGGGCGGTCCTGCTGGGGTTGTCACCTCCGCTTGCGATGACCACGGCGTTATGCGCAGAAGTCAGCTCCTTGGCTCCACTTATTTGACCAGATATTTTCCTATGAAATATGAAGGTTTCCGGTACATGTCTCCCTTGATTAAGTTAAACCAATCCAATGAGTGTGGATTCTAAATTCTATAGTAATATCCTTGAATCAGAAACGAAATTGTACCACAAATTGTAAACCCTTACATTGAATCATAGTTTCAAAGCCATAATTCGAAAATGTTGAAAAGTTCAAACAACATTTTCACCATGTCCATCCAAAATTTCATTAACCATGTCCATTCCGCTGGTTCATCAAAAGTTCAGGTCCCAAAGCCACCAGAGCTGCACCCTTTCCCATGGCTCCTTCACCTTCTCAGACAGGGTCACCATGCGATCCTCCAGCGATGACAAGTGGCTGGCAGCCATCTCCCACCATCCTCCAAGTGAAAGTGGAATTTGAGCGGCTCGGCGTGGTGGGGATCTGGGATATACTGTACATATGAGCTCACATGTATGTGTAAATATGTGTGTATGTATATATATATATATGACATAAATTACATAAAGGGGGTGTATAATATATATATACGTATTTAGGGGATACTGTATATATATGATATATATATATATATATGGGATAGATCCATCCATGTGGGGAGCACTGGACTCCCGCACAGCATCTGCCGTTTTCAGCGAGTGGAGTCGTAACATCAGCGAGTACCAGTTGAATAAATGATGTTACACTAGTTCATGATTATGACGTTTAAATTGTTATGCTAGTCAATCTAATTAAAGTAATAATGTATAGTTATATATATATACGTATATATATATATACGTATATATATATGTATATATATATATACGTATATATATATACACTATATACGTATATATATATATACATATATAGAATTAAATAGAATTATATAGAATTATATTCATATAAAATGAAATAAATCATTGATATGATATATCTACTGATTATCGGATGTTTTCTGCGTGCACCCATTGGCCATGCTGCCATAACTTCCCATTGCCATCGATCGAACCTGCTCCTGAAATGTCGGACACGGCGGCATCTGCTTTGGCCTTGGTCATGGTCATCCCCAAGCCCGGGTGGAGAGCGACCGTGCCCCGTGAAACACGGGAAAAGCCGTGGTGCCCCGTTGAAAAAACTGGGAAAACTTTCAAGTTGTTCAAGGTTTATGGAGACTATAACGGAGACTATAACCTACTAATCTACTATAACAAAAAAACAGACTGCTTTTCCCAAGTCACCATTCATAGCCGTTGGTAATCAAACATAACATAGCTACGACGTAGATGGCCCATTTGTAGATAATCTAATGATCTACAGCAACTATAAAACATATTAAAGCATGATTATTTTCCAGTTTTTCCATAGCTATTTTACATTACTAGAGGGTATACCCGTCCCCTTTCAAACAGTAGTAAAACCCTTTCAAAATCATCAACCCCACATTCATCCCAACAGTCATGGGATGGGGAGCCATCAGCAACCATCCGGCATCAACACACAAGGAGTACGCTAATCTGATGGAATTGAGACCATGATATACAAATTATATCTAATTATGACGGCAAATTGCGGAACCAATCGCTCCTAAAGTTTCAAGTTGTAAACAAAAGACCAATATTTCTAGATGAATTTCCCCCACAAACTATTGATAACTCTCACAACACCTGTTCCGACACCTGTTCCGACTTTGGCCGATTGAGACAACGACTGGAAGACTGATGTTCTGCAGAAACCTCTCCAACCTGCCAGGAACTAGTCAAATCCGTTGGTCAACTCTCCATCTTTGGTTCATCAATTCCCCCCTTCGAATCACCACGTTTAGTTCATTGAATCATCTTAAACCATCTTAACCGAAGCCGCTTCCCCCACTCTCATTTTTCGCTTCAAGACGCGAAAGGCGAAAAAGCTTCAGATTTGCATCTGATCTGCTCAGAGGCAGAGTACTGCGAATCATAGGGTGAATATGGAACCAGCCCCTCTTTTCTTGGCAAAGTGTCTTCTTGATACCAAATCTATCCAGATCTAGATCCAAGACCTTTCAAGCAACATGTTCCTGGCAAATTCCAAGCATCAACATGTGCCTTTTACATAGCTGGTCTGACAACGAACATGCTGGATGAGAGGTGACGAAACCTGTCCTTCATGGGTCTGGCTGTCATGGCATTCACGGGGCTGTTCCCATCTATGTCTTTTCTCAAAGCTGCTGAAGTGCCGACAAGGTCTGTCCATGTCTATCCACCAATGCAGTTAGGGCACTTTGGACACCAGATCGCTTTGGTGGGTTTAATCCAGGTGGAGGTCTCGTCGAATCAGCTTTTCTGCTTGGTGATTTTCAATCATGTTTTGTCACACAAAGAGCATTAAACCTGACCCATGAAATCACTCCTCGTAAGCAAACACCTTTTCAAACCACCAGCCAGTTGTGAACGGTTTGGATGTAATGATCTTCAAAATCAATTCGCCGAAAGCATGACAAGATTAGTTGATGTAAAATCTATCTAGCTCCGCAAGTCTCTCCATAAAGAGTCTTGCTGTTCCTTGACCTCTGGTTACACATTGTCACACCATGTGAGCACTGGCCCAAACGAAGCCATTTATTGGTTGGGAGGGACCTTAATCGTCCAAGACAAACAACAAAAAACAACTGTCGAATGGCAGCCACTATACTGATCACAAAAACTGATAGTTCATTGGGCAGATGCTCATCCCTCCTTCCCCATAAACAAAGATGGCAATCATGCTCAATGGGAAAATCAATTTTGGGTGTGACTGGAAATAGAGAACTGTATCCCATTCCAAGCACTGGTTAATCAACATTTGAATCATCATTTTCCCAGTCAACACTGGCCATTTGGAGGGTCTACCGGTGTAGCGTTCTACCCAGTTCTACCCTTTCCATGGGCCGAGCGAATGACAACTTGAAGGGGACTTGAATAATTGAAGGGTACGGTATACCCTACTCATCCCCTTTTCAATGATTATAATTATAATCCCTTCCTTGATCCCTTGTTACTAAACCTACGCCAAATCATAACAAACTAGGGTCCCTTCCCTATGTTTGTGTATTTTTTCTTGTTGTTTATGGTGTTTAATATAGACTATAGAAATATGATGGAAGATAGATATACATCCTGCAATTCCGGGCCTAGCGCTTTCTCTTTTTTTGGCTATCCAGGTGTGTCACCGAGCCTCCCACAGCCTACCAGTAGCGCGTCAGCAGGAACTCTTCCCTCTTTGGGGCCGCCGCCATCATCGACAGGAAGAGTTCCAGGGCGCTGAAGATCGGAACCACCTGGGCACCAAGCCCAAGGAGACGGCAACGGAACCATGGCGGCCCAGGGACCCTAGTCATGGGAAACGGAGGTTTCCATAGTCATGGGGGTCACCCAATAGCTGGTATGGTTTATTTCATGGAACATCCGGAAATAGGAAAATCTGAAAATGCGAAATGGATGAGAAAGGGGGGTATCCCTATTTTAGGAAACCCTCAAATCACTATAATCCAACCTTCTTTATCCTCTTTCACCGTCGGAACTTCTGCCTGATCTGCTCGGTTCACAAACTTCGGCGCCTGGCGAAGGCTGACCCAGCGACTTCTATCTGGCAAAAAAAACATGTTTTAGCATGTTTTAGCTGGTGAATGGACATTTTACCATAGCTGCCATAGGAAACGATTGAAGGACTAGTTAGTATCTAAAAATGGTCGACACAGTTATGTACTATATTTGGATTGTTGACCCTTGGAACAAAACCAATGCTATGGCAGGATGCAACTACCAACCAAGACAGTAAATTCACAACCTGAATGCTCAGTCAGGTTTCTTCACCAAACGATCCCTCTGAAGGGTCACTACTCATGTCTGGTTTCAACAGTTTTAACCCAATTTCAGGGCCCATATCCATAGGAGAGGTTTAGAAACTTCCAGCACTTGCTAAATGGACCAGGGTTTCCAATTTTCCAACATTTCTGGCAGGCACGAGTTAGCTGAACAATTGATGAATTTGCGTTGACGCTGGAAACTACAAAATTGTTCACGGGTCCTGTCACATATCAGTTTAAGCCATACATAAAGACATGTTTCCAAGTTGCAAACAGTAGAGAATCCCAAGGTGTGGGGCACCTCTGGACATATCAACATGAAAATGGCGCCATTTTAACATGCTTTCAGAACAGCCATGCCACAACTTCACCAACACCCAGCCGCCTCGATCATGAAACGTTCCGGCCCACCCGACCTGTCACAGGATCGAAGCAGGCAGTCGCTGCACCGAGACGATCGCCAAATGATACCCGAAATGATAGGGTCAACATAGACTAGACCCTGAAAAGCACCAATTTTTAGTGGAAAATAGTGGAAACTCATCTTCCAAGCCCTGAGAGGGTCTATGTTAATTTACACCAGGGTTGATGATTATGGTGATTGGCCAATTTAATTGCCACATTACCCACCGGGAATCAATTGGGCACTGCGACAATTCTGGTGTTCGAAAAACTCACTGGACAATGGTAGCAGTTAGCGATGCACGGCATAGAAACACAGGTGAGCAATGAAGCAAAACCATGCAAAAGCCGAAAAACCGCAATGTATTGCCATGCTAAATTTCATCACAACGTCCCCACCAAACAGGCAGTAGATTGCCGAGAAACAAATCTGATAGTCTTTCCCAATCGAAGGTCTCAGTCAAAGTTTCCACATCTCCTGCCACAATGAAGAGATTCTCTGGATCCTCAGCAAGAACTGACGATTTTCGGACCGGAAGATTCCACCTGCTCAAAAAGTGGATTTAGATGGATTTATACTATTTTATATTAACATGATGGTACATGATGGATAATTTATATTAACTTTCAGACACTTAATTAATCTTAATTATAGGTACCAGTACATGATGGTACATGTTCCATGTCTGGATGGTGAGGTTTTGTTTCACTCCCAAACGTTGTGACTGTTTTTCTCATCTAAAATGTTCACTTCTTCGACGCTGATGTCATGGTTGCACACGAGTTGTAGCAAACATCATCAATTTCAAACAATTACACCCTACAGCACCCCAACAATAGAATGACAAACAGAGCAGTTCCACATCTGGAAACTACGAGTAACAATCAGTATTTACACCATCCTGCCAAAATTTCATGGCCTATCAGGCCTAAATTGGCGTCACCTGAGTTCCCCTGCTGCCAGGTAAGGCGACAGCAACGAAACATACTCTTGGGCCTGGCACCATGGTGCAGTGAAGCTTCAAATCTAAGGGCCAAACGATGTGTACATGTGTAAAATATATAATTACATATGTATGTTTGTATATATGTATGTATGTATGTATGTATGGATGTATGTATGTATGTATGTGTGTATGTATGTATGTATGGATGTATGTATGTGTGTATGTGTGTATGTATGTATGTCTGTCTGTATGTATGTATGTATGTATGGATGTATGTATGTACGTATGTGTGTATGTATGTATGTATGGATGTATGTATGTGTGTATGTGTGTATGTATGTATGTATGTCTGTATGTATGTATGTATGGATGTATGTATGTATGTATGTATGTATGGATGTATGTATGTGTGTATGTGTGTATGTATGTATGTATGTATGTATGTATGGATGTATGGATGTATGGATGTATGGATGTATGGATGTATGTATGTATGTATGTGTATGTATGTATGTATGGATGTATGTATGTATGTATGTATGTGTGTATGTGTGTATGTATGTATGTCTGTATGTCTGTATGTCTGTATGTATGTATGTATGGATGTATGTATGTATGTATGGATGTATGTATGTGTGTATGTGTGTATGTATGTATGTATGTCTGTATGTATGTATGTATGTGTGTATGTATGTATGTATGTATGTATGTGTGTATGTATGTATGTATGTATGTATGTGTGTATGTATGTATGTATGTCTGTATGTATGTATGTATGTATGTATGTGTGTATGTGTGTATGTGTGTATGTATGTATGTGTGTGTATGTATGTATGTATGTATGTATGTGTGTATGTCTGTATGTATGTATGTATGTATGTATGTGTGTGTATGTATGTATGTATGTATGTATATATGTAGGTAGGTAGGTAGGTAGGTAGGTAGGTAGGTAGGTAGGTATGTATATATATATATACATACATATGTGTAGATATTTTGAAACACAAAGTTGTTGTTTTTCAGTTTGAACAAGTCTGACACATATACACTAGACAAATTTTCATAAGATGATAAACATGATATGCATGTGACACACACACACACGCACAGAAGTGCCTTCTCTGTCATGAGACCACCCACCAGGATGGGAACCAAGGTGAATTTCTGGTCCTGCCGAGCTGGCAATGAGCTGGTTTATGTTGTCTGCCCCTTGGGTGGTTGGGTGGATTTTCAGATGTAACTGGCACTCTGGTAATCTAACAGTTTGCGATGGTAAGTTGACCATGTATAGTTGGTTTGCCCATAAGAGCATGCTGATTTTCCATAGCAAACTGTCAGTTTACTAGAGGCTACAACAACAGGCCCGGATGGTCAGCTTGTGAATCATCACGTGGTCAATCTCAGCGGCTTATTCCCCCAGTGAGGCCTTCACAGTTAGAAAAAAAAACACTGACTTTTTGTTGTGAACGGCTCTTGAAGTTTGACTCTTTATGAGAGGTACAAATGAGTCCTGCAAAACTTTAGCAGATCCAATGTATCTCGATCAGCTCTCAGATTCCCCAAATCCACCAGGTTGTTGGATTAACAATCGCCTTCTTCCCAGCATTGATTCAAGGGAAAATCTACATCCCATAGTAGTCAGGGAAACCCCACGTGATTGGCGCATAACCGATAGAAACAACATCAAAGAATGATCAAACAAATCAGCGAGACTCAGTGAACATGTGGGGGTGTCCAATTTATGGGAGTACTACAATTTGTGGATGCTTTATTTCATGGAAAAAACACACAAGAAATGGATAATTTGGGGGTTCCCCCATGACTTGGGAAACCCCCTAGGGGATGATGACCGCCCGTCCTGCGCCACGCAGCTGCGAACGAAGGGCAACAGAGCCTCGATGGAGCGTTCGCGCTGGTCCTGGCTGACACATTGAATGCGCCACCGTTAAAAAGATTTGATAAGCATTCAACACAGCAGTTGGATGCATATGTAGATGTATGTACAATATATATATATATATTGAATGCTTAAGCATGTATGATCATATTATATGATATATATATATATATACATATGTATATGGTCCCGACCCCTGTCTCCATCCCTCCCACCCCATGCCCCTAGCATCCGATCCCCAACCGATCCCAAACAACGCTTGTTGTACTGATCTTGTCTTGCTTGTTGTACTTGCTATACTGGATCCGTAGCTGACAAAGGTAACAAATACCAGACTATCTTACATACTATCTGCAAATTTTAGTCTATTGCATGCTTATATACAGCCTATACCTGTGATATACCACATATACAACCTATATAACCCAATATATACACCTAATTATTATATTACCCATTGTGTGCCTATATACAACCTACATATGTATATATATACATATGTATATATATATACAGATACATACATACATATTATATATGTATATAAATATATATATATATGTAGCTCATATAGACCTATATACCCAACACTATATACCTAACATATACCTAACATATTACCTGTTGCATGCCTATACGCAGTCCATATATTTTAATAAAGTGCCCCTGTATACCTAATTATATTTCATTATCTGATATATGTTTTCTATAAACCCAAGTACATAGCAAATATATTCCCCAATGCATGCCTACATACTTATATACCTATATCTATATTATAAAAACAACTCCCAAGACTATATACGAAATATCAGTTGACTACCAATTTGCGTAACTACACCCCAACTAATATCTGTTGGTGGATCAAAGTGTGCTTGCACATCGCGTCGATCCAACAATGCAACCTGCAATATGGCAGTGAACTGCACGCGCATGCCCCGAAACATTCTGAAACCAAACTGTTGGCTGTATCCCGTGAATGTTAATAAAACCGAGCTTGTCAGTGTCAGCATTGGCTAATCACATATTTGATCCATGAATGGTCGTTAACGAAATGTCGGTCAAACTTGGTTACTTCCAAATTTGGATGATTAAACATTGATTCTGATCAATATCTCGTATTCCACGGCACTGAGAAATCGATCTATACCCACGCACAGCTCCAGAACTGTATAAGAATCTATGGGGCGGCTCGAGTCTGAGCTGCCCCACCCGGGGTTAGTATAGTATCAGCACTTCAACTGTGAATTGCCAGGGATCACCCTAGCCTCAGCCGTTGCCAGCCCTAACCCAATATTAGCGCCTGATCAACGGTCAGCACCTGGAAGACCTCCGCTGCCGGAATGGGCCGTGTATGGAATACCAGATCACATCAAATCTATCTATGAACACACTATGTATGTGTATATGTATATATATATATAACAAGACTGTAGGAGTAATACATTTAATCATTATAGTATATATATATATACAGCATATTTATATACATAATCATGATCATATTACATCAACATGTGACCTATAGATTTCATGAAATTTAAATACACCATGGATGATCTTTGGTGATACCGTTACGTTCCAGCCTTGGAACTTCGCAATTCCTCGAGCAGTGGAATATCCAGGGCAAAGTTGCCATACCTCCGCCGTTTTTCTCCGTGGGAACCGCAGGAGACGAGGGTTTGTGGGCGGATATAGGGGGTTATCAATAGGGAAAAAGTGCCTTTTTTCCAGTAAAATATAGTTAAATCATCTTCAACGGGAAAATTATCATGGATCATTATATATAGATACATATAGATATATAAACCTCACATGTTCCATTGGGCAGATTGCTATCCTGGAGGGAACTGGTGGCGAAAAATCTTCGGCCCCGGACCAAGCACAACGTTGTTCCGGGATGCCACAACCATCGATGAAACCTGGGCGCTGGCAGCGCTGGCTGCGGCAAGCCAAGCTGGGGGGATCCGGCCGAAGGGATTGATGGGGATCCAAAGATGTCCATGTACTAACTTTCAATGTTTGGATCTACCACCCATCAATATCCTAACTTGGGAAAATAGATTTAGTAACTAGAATAACGATCAATCCTAAGTATTCTGTGAGCCATGATCTCTGTCCTATAATGATACACATGCCATCGCCAGTTCCGTCTTCAAGAATATGCCTCTGTGAAATTTGGATAAATTTGGCTCATCTGAGGCCTTTTTTACGGAGTTCATGAATACATTCAATCATATTCATACATATTCATACCATATTTATACCATATTTATACCATATAATGGACCTAAAGAATCCTCAAAAAGAACATGTTTTTTTCGAAACATCGAAGCCCAGCCGTGGCTTCTGCGGATCCTCATGGGGAACCCATCGCCGTGACGCCGTGGCGACCGAGCAGCAATCCCAGACAGGTGAAATCACAAAGATTCGTCTGACCTCGCGACTTCGACGAAAAAGGGATCGTGGTGCTACCAGTAAGTTGGCTTATAACATCTGAAAGAGAATCTTATAATATCATTTCAACATCATAATCATCATATGAACAAATATGTTATATACAACATCTTATGAACCCATCAAAGTGTGAGCAATCTCTGAACTCAAGGTTCACAAAAAGGACATCAACGAATTGGGAAAGGTCCCATCACGTACCTCATGTTTCTACATGTTTGTATCCCTTCCATGTCTGCCAGAGTTTTTGAGGTGGCTCATTAGTGCCGAACCAACTAACCACGAGGCACCACTTTGTGAAACCAATAGGATGCTATTCCAGCGCCCAGCGGGGTACAAACATGGTTCTTCACCAGCTACTTCACAAGATGAAGATCCAAATATGATCCAAGCACGTACTTCCTGGTAAAGCTTCCATTTGGATCCATTTGGGAGGCTCTGGTCATTCAACCTCCCTTTGTCACTGGGTTGGTTGAACAACACATCTACAGGAATCCTTGGTTTTTGCCAACAACATTGCGGGTTCCTGTAAAAACTTCGAGATTTAGGGTGTTCCACAAGTCTTGAGTAGGAGTGGGTCCCAAAAAACATATCGGTGTACTGTTCATGGATGGTTAACTCTCCAATTTGTTTTAGCACAAAAAACAAACACTTCGCAAAGCTGAACCAATGAAATCCAGTTTTAATGATGTTTTCCCCCAGTGGGATGAATTAGAACCATCTCGGTATCTAGGGATGTTCCAAGCCATCCTTTCTGGTCGCAAACTTTGACCACTCCCCGGCTGGTCCCCAAAAGAGTCCACCTGCTGCAAGCCCTTTGGCGGGTCTCTCCGTAGCTCCGCATCGAAAAGGTCCTCGAAGTTGCCGTAGGCGCCTACTCGAGCTCTGGCCGGACATCAACAGGAAGATGCACCAGTGGGCCATTTTTTGGGGAAAAAAATCCGGCCACCATTGAATGATGAGAAAAGAAATCAGAAACCTATGAAATGAAGGCATTATATACTTTGGCAGATCACCAACCAAATCGAAGGATAGTTTTTGTTGCAGATTGTTCAAGCATGATTAATACTTTGGATTAGAATGGACAACGGTTCAACGGCAGGGAAACCAACTTACTAATCAGCTGCAATTGGCGACATTTGGGACAAGAAGGCTGGTAGAATGACCTGAGGTCATTGAGTTTCAAATCACCGTGTGTACGATTCCAGTGGCCACCAGTGTGGTAAACCGGGTAAACCTTTGAAGCATCTGGCGTCTTGCCTAGGGGGTGCCATCAAGTCCCATCTCTACAGACCCTAATTTGGAGGATGGTCATCCACCCCATTGGGGTGAATATCCCATGATATCCCACGATTCTATCTGGGGATGGGTCAAAACCTTGTACCCTTGGTCAACATCAAAATAGCTGCTAAATGGATGTTCATCGCCCTAAAAATGGTATTTGTAGGTATTGATCCATAGCCATATGATTATTAAATACGGAATCCCATTCGGTATGACCATACTTGGTGCCTCATCGCCAATCAGGCCAGGTTGTCTCCAACTATGGTTGTTTGATCATACAAACATATTATAGTCACTATATAGTCATATAGCCCCCCCATGGGCCACCCCTTAGCTTTACACACCCAGAAATCATAATCTGTGCTCTACACCCAATCCGACTTAATTAAAACTGGACTAGTGACTTGTCACTGACAGCTTCGGTACCAGTATCTCGGATGGCTCACCCATGTCTGGCCTTCAGTAGGTACAATCATTGCTCTGCCCTGAGGCGGGGCAAGGACTGAAATGGTGCACTCTGAGCCATCGTTTTTTTCCGTCAGAACTATCCCTGGCTGATTTCTGTGCCCTTTTAGCCAGCACAATGAACAAACACTCCACCTCTTACCCTTGAACTCCAAGTAAAAACACTGTGGCACAATGCTGCTCCATACTCGAAATCAAAACCGAGTAGTCAGAATGGTTGTCCGTGGATTGTGAATAGGTTGCGCTCCGGTCATTTGGCATATTTTTTTTCTGAGGTTTCTGGTTGTGTTTCCCAGATCCCTGCTTGTATCATCACAATTCCACAAGAAAACAAACACATCTCATATAATCTATTAATGAACATCCAATTTTGTCCTAATTCCATGTTTGTTGATTTAAACAACAGTTTCTGGTTGACTTACCAACTTTGCTGATGATATAAGTGTCCATTCTTGGATACCTAAATCTGCATCAACCTGGCGGGTTTCCATTTGTGCAGGTTAAAAAAATGGTTGCTGAAATCCTGTTTCACCCCCTAGTGAAGTTCACGTTGCTGATAAGGTGTGTCCATCGAAACTTAAATTGTCCCCTTCTTGTTGGTTAACTTTGTGATGCTGGATGAACTCGTACTTGTCCATACTGTAATGCGGTTGCTGGCAAATAATGAGTTAGTCTGAAAATGATGTACCCCCATGTAATTTGATCCAACACATTATCCGTGTAAAATATGCCATATATTAAGTGGTGTAAATTTCCCATTGTGTCATATCCTTGTTCATACGTGTATGTGTGTATATATATATATGTATTCCAAAATATCCCTCTATATAATTAATCATGAATCATATATATATATTATATATATATATTATATATTATCATATATTATCGGATTATATCAGATATATCAATCTATCTCAATTCCACTCATGGAATGTCCATCTACACCAGCCAAAGGTCTCATCTCAAGCCCCGGTCCCCCCACCAGCTGTTTCTCCGTGCTCAGCAAGGCAAAGCGTGGCGTGTCGCTACCACCAACCGCGCCATTCAGTTTCAAGCGCGCGGCCTAGGGTGAGCAGCTAATGTTGGTTTAAAAATAGTAAACCATCCAGAAGTTTACCATAAATGGGTGGTAAATGCAGCATCAACCATCCACAATTTTGTTGGTTTAGTTTTGCTTTAATGACAATATGGGGTCTTGATGGTTTGAAAAGGGGACATCATCCGCATCGTACTATCTTGTGTTTTGGCATTCTAGAGTCATCAGTGCATTCTATGACGTAGTTAGTGAACTTATTAATGCAATATAATGCAGCAGTTTTGTTGTTTAGTGGGTGGTAGATTGGGTGAAAGGGGGAATTGAATCCGCCGGCCTGCCGGCGTGTCTGATTGGAAGGTGTTGTTCTTGCTTCTGTTCTTTGCTTGTACTTGTTCCTTTGTTCTCTTGCTGCGGCAGCTGCGCGTTTCTGCTTCGTCTGAATCAAGTCCGCCTACTCCTACTCCGACACCTACTCCTACTCCTACTTCTACTTCTCTACTCTTTCCTCCCTTGTTCCCGAAATACTAAACTGGCAGTGCTGGTAGCTAATGATACTGCCTCCAGCATTACAGTCGTCTACAGGTACTCGTCACAAGACGCACACAGTACTAAGCTGATCGACCAGTACTCATTCGGTATGCGGTCTACAAGTTGTTCAAGCAGGCACTTGCTACTCAAGCTGCTTCTGATCTACGGCTCTGTCTTCGTCTCTTCTTCTTCCTCTTCTTCCTCTTCTTCCTCTTCTTCCTCTTCTTCCTCTTCTTCCTCTTCTTCCTCTTCTTCCTCTTCTTCCTCTTCTTCCTCTTCTTCTTATTCTCTTCTGCTTCTCTCTCAGGCTTCCGCCTAGCGTGCGCATCAACTTTCCTTGGGGCAATCTCTCTCCGCTTCCACCCTGTCTCCTTCCATGCAGCGGTCTGCTGTCAAGCCAGAGGCTCATACATAGTACCTGGCGCTACTTTGCTGGGGGCGTTACTAAGGTATACGATCAATAGGTTGTTACAGCCAGAACTTGCTACACAAGCCGCTTCCGTTTTACGGCTTTGTCTTCGTCTTCCTTTCTTATTCTTATTTTTCTTCTTCTCCTTCTCCTTCTATTCTCTTCTGCTTCCCTCGCGGGCTTCCACCTAGAGTGCACATCAAACTCCCTTGGGGCCACCCCTCTATGGCCGGTGGGCTTGCCGAAGGCAATTGTATATATTATCCAACTATAAGTGGTTGTAATGGGGTTATAATGGGCTTACAACTATATGATTGGGGTTCGAGGGGGGTTATCTCGGGATGATAAAAGGCTTATCATGGGTTGAATGGGTGATGGTTGTCATAGCCCGTTATAAATGGATATAAATGGGGTGATCAAGGGATTTTAATGGAGCTAATGTGGTCACCGAACTTTGAAAAGAAATTGCCAGAAACGTGTTGTAATCCAGCTACTGTGGTAGTGATATGTAGTGTCAAATTATATATAAATGATCCAATGATCCCTAACAACTTGGCAAGCTCCTATTGTTTAGGAACTAGAGACTTTATCGATAGATTGGGGAAATCTTGTACTCAAACTTGGGTCAAACGAACAGACGAAACTGGCCATGTATAGCCCCACGGCACCCACGGCCCCACTCAAAGTCCATTCATCTCACGACACAAAGAGCTGGAGTTTCTCTGTGGCTTCTCTCCGATCAAGTTCAATCGCACAAAAAAACACACACCCTTCGGCGAATTTGGTCCAAACACTGGGAAAATGATTACTCTCTGACATTCCGGAAGGTAAACACAAAAAAAATGGCCAATGGCAACTCTTAGACACCCTGCAGAAAGAAATCAGGATAATTCCACATACAGTAATTCCCTTCATGGCAAAATCAAAATCCACCAGTCTCCATGACTTACCCATCTCGACGCTTCCCATCTCTTGACTCGGTATCAAGAGCATCACCACCCAGGGCTCCGTCGGTGCCTTCAGAAACAGCAGTTGGCGGATGTGTTCATCCACGATCGTCCGCGTCTGCAGCAACGGCAAGGTGCTGATTGGACACTCTCCTGCGATCGCAATCGCAGGATCTGGGCGAAATGTGGATGTATGTTCAAAAGAAGATGCCCACATCTGTTTCAAGAACATCGTCTGTATGTATGTGCTTGAAAAACAAAAAATATGGGGATTTGCGGGTGATGGTTGATATTATATCAATAATAGTGTGTTCCTGCATTTTTCATATGACATGGGGCATTCGCTCCTATAAACTGCGTGAAAAAAAAAGGTTAAATCACCAAGTCCTGGTGAGTTAAACCCACCACTGAGTAATATTTCCGCGAATTTCAGGCAGGTGTAAACGCTTTCCGCACCTGAAGTGGTCTCAAATCGATAGAGCACATGGCCCTCTGGGAGGCTGAACTCCTCCTCCTGGCTGATTTGAAAAAGGTCGACCCTGGGTAAAACAAACGTGTATATCATACGCACTGTGATGTTAAGCGCTGTGATGTATCGCAAACAAATGCTATTGTTATCACCCGCAAACATATGTACAGTAGGTATATGTATGCATGGGTCAAAAAATGGACTCCGATGCCGATCTCAGACTTGGGTCATCACGGCAAATATACGTCAGGTACCTAAATTCCTGAAAACATAGAGTTTTTGCTGTAGTTTTTAAGCTGTATCCATATGTATCGATGTCATTCCAAGCAGGTTGCCTTACCCTCTGGTAAACTAACATAGCTATGGAAAATGACCATTTGTATATAATATAGTTGATTTACCCATTAAAAATTGTGTTTTCTATAGTTATGTTAAATTACCAGAGGGTATTTTCCATCCCACCTCTGCATCAGCACGCCGCTGCACCATGGACATGATCCTCTGAACCTGGTCATTGTTTATCAGCGCTGACACATCCCATTCGTAGGGCTTGTATACATACCACTATCAGTGTACATCTATACTATTAGATATCTATCTATGTATATACATATATATATATATCATCAAATAAAAGAAATATGATCGATAGTATGATATGTTTTTTATCCCAATGATGATATGTTTTTGATAGTGTATATGTATATACTAGTACAAGATGTTATAGATAGTATATATATATATATACATACATCTTTCTATCTTATATATATATATTAGTATAAGATCCTTGACATAACCAGGGTCAGCCAAGCAGCTGCGTTGTCAGGATCATCCCTGCAGAGTTCCTCGACTGCCTGCCAGGAATATAATATCGCTGGCTCCATCGAACAAGTGTTGATTAAACTAATGATTCAATGGATTGGTTTAAGGGAACATTTACAGGAAAGACCCGTTTAATTAATGGGAACATCTATGGTTTCCCGTTAAAATTTTACCTTAAAGCCTTAAACTTAAACCAATCCATTGAATGATTCAACTAAGGTTTTTTGGTCATTCTTGCTTGGTTCAGCCCTCTTGTTTGGGGGATTTTAGAGCTGTCCCTTGATTGTTATTCTTGGGTTTTTGACTTCTTGGTTTGGGGATGTGCACTTTTGGTTGGTCTTGCTTGGTTCCTACCCTCTTGGTTGGGTGTATCTCTGGCTGTTGTTTTGGTGTTGTGAATGCGTAAGTAAAATTGAAAGTTGGCGTGTCATTGCCTACAAAGCATAGTTACAGTAGGGGATAGACATCCATCTACATCCATCTGTACAAGCTCTTTTGGTGTGAACTGCGTTTGTCTGAAAGTAGGATGCCCTTAAATCCATCGGTCAATAATCATTAATTATTGTCGTTCCTGTGAAATAAATCAGCAATGGGTAGAGGGTATACTGGAAATTGCAGACAAATCCAACTGCAGCTTACCAACATATCCTAAGAGCTTTGAAGCGGGCCGATCCCTTCCCCATTTTCCGGTGCTGCACCTGTGGTAGGTAGACCAGTTGTGGCTGCTGTCCATCGGAGTACCAAATGCCTCAGAGAGGGAACCAACAAAGAACCATCCTTTTTCTACGGTCATGGGTTAAATATCTCAAAACCGTGGGTAGTGGGTACCCTCACCATCCGTTGGGGTGGGACCCAAACATATCTAGTTCCAAGCCAACACAGATTTGCCCCTGAAAAAAGTGGATACCCAACGATAATATTATACCTTGCATAGATTTTTGACCCATCACTTCATGGTTTCCGAACGAAGTTCGAACCCTTTCCCGCATCCAAAAGGCCAAGATGCCATGCACCCCGGGAGTCCAGTCAAAGGGCGAATCCGAGATGTCAGCAAAGGATCTCAGCAAAGACACCTGGCGAATCATCATCCCGGCTTTGGATGAACGGCACTTAATAAGTGCTGTTTATTGCTTGCCCTGTCACATTTGGTTCAGAAATGATTGTGGGTGAACCCAAAGCTATATTCCAACCTACCTTTTGGGATATTTGGATCCATTTGGGATGGTTAAAAATGGCATTGGATGACTCCCAACCGAACCACAAAAGCAACAGCTGTTTGCTCCAACCGAACCTGGGCGACAATATCTTTGACATCCTCGGAGCAGAATCGGGGAGACCCCAAGAGACACGGTGAAAAAACAGGCTCATCCAGGTAGGATGGAAAACAACCTATATATGTACATAGTACATATATATATATATATTGATTTATGATGCATATATATATACACTATATATGTATAGATGTTACAAATATAAATTTACATATTATGTATTATATATATATTATATATATATTTATAGTCATCCTGGCGTAGATAGAATATCGGACATTTTCAAAAATGATTTTCAAAAATAACAATAAATAGTTGGAATATTTTCGAAACCCTCAGTTTTTACACGTTTTTCGTCTTTGTTAAGTCATTTTTAGCCAGTTTTGGACACGGGTCTGGAGAAATTTTGAAAAATACAAAAATCAAACAACACCAAAAAGCAGATAGAATATTGTTTCAAACCAGGTAGATAGAATATTTTGAGGGAATTGTGAACACCACGCGCAGACCCCACAGCAGCTTAAGACCCTGCAAACCATATTCCAACTACCAGTTTTCGACCTCCCCCGAAATATTCCAACTACCTATTTATTTTTAAGTGGCCGACATCCAACATAATTCCAACATAAATCCCGCACCCTCCAAAAAAATATTCTATCTACTTTAGGATGACTATATATATATATATCATATATATTATATTATATATACTATTATATATGTAATTATATTCTGTATATTATATATATATACATATATATTGTATATATATATATCATATATAATAAATATTGAAAGATATAATATATATATATATATATTTCATATTATAGAATAAAGTATTATGTAATATTATATTATTTTATATTATATATATATATTTGCATATATATATATATCTATGTGTATGTATATATATATATATATTGATTTATCTGTATATAAATATATTGTTATATATATATTGATATATATATAGTGTATATATGATTATATGTGTATATATTTAAAGGTATATATAATATATAATATATATAATATATTTATAATATATATATATTCATTATATACATATATATATATATATTATATACAAGATATATATATATATTATATCCTTATTCATTTTATATCTAATGCAATACATCTACACACTATATATACATTTTTTTATATTTTTTATTATATACGGTATATATATATTATGTGTATATATATATACATATATATTATATACATATATATATATATATTAAATTATTATATTACATATAGATATTAAACCTACAAATCTATATATATATATGCTTATTATATATATATACAATATAATATTTATTATATCTATATATTATATCATATTGATATACCTATATTATCTCTATATTTTGTATTTATTGAATCACACAGATGTCAGCAAATAGTTAGATACTGTTACATTAAGGCTTTATTGAATACGAAACGCATATTTGGACATGGTCAATCTCCAAGGTGCCGCCGGAGCAGGCGTCGGAAAGCGATGATCCTTGGCGGCTCTCTCCACCTTTGGCAGGCTCATGGTTTTCTTACCATGTGGGAAACCCCCCAAGTTATCATCCCGCGTTAGCGGCATATGGTTTTAATTGCGTGAGTGGGAAAGCTAATATTGGAAATAAGTTTAGATCCATACCTAGAGTTGATCATGGACTCAACAGGGGGCTCCACAGCATGAGTGCAGCCGAGTTGCACAATCCAGCCTTAGGTCCATCAGCTGCTATACACAACAAGAACGTTCCGCCCTATGATTTTGTCAGTTGTGATGTGGCAATCTTTAACAACATCATTGAGGACGGGACTCATGGCGGAAATTCAGTATGTTGTATCTACGTAGAGGTTGTTTTTCGCCTAGTAAGTGAACGAAAAATCAGTGCAGTTGGGGTGTCAGTAGCAACTCCAGGAGCTGTTGTGCCAGGGAGCAAATGTTCCAAGAGTGTGCAGTCTGCCGTTCCAGCCTGTGGCCCACGGGCCCACTTAGCTGGCTACCATGGGATGGCCCATGGGGATGCGTAACTTCTTGGTGACCCCGTGACGGGCCCCAACAATCCCAGGTTCTGGATTTAAAACATGTAAGCCCTTGACATGCTGACACCACTGAGTAAGCCGAATCTTTGCACGTTCTGTGTAGATATTGGGGACTTCTCTTCATGCAAATCATGCAGTGATCTACACCCCCAAGATCCCCCAGCAATCAAGGTGTGGAGCTTGCAGGATTTGAGGTGACCCTTCACCAAAACCACCCAGAGGGACTACTCATGTTCCATGATTGAAACCATGCTTTCCGTCAGATTCTCCATGCCAAAAAGCTATGTGAACCAAATAATAGGGGGGATGTCTGTGGGTTAAAGCCGTTTTTTTGTTGCTTCAATTACAGCAACAAAAATATGGGCAGAATCCGGTTAATCGTTGATGAAATATATATTATATTATTATATATATATATATATATTGTTTTATATCAAAAGGACAATGTTTTTGGATTGTTATATAATCTGTTTCTCAAAAAAAACAACAATCGATGCTGGGTTTGTTTTGGACACTCAAATCCCAAGCGTTTATCGGTGCCATAAACATGCCCATTTTTTTTGCTTCAATTCCACGTTGTGCTCCTTCCAGTCCCGTTGCTGCTACATTTTGTTGGATTTCTTGGAAAATCAGATGGCTATGGCTCGAAAGCCCATACGTACCATTCGGTGAAGCCCAAACATGATTGATGGAAGTTCATCCAGTGAAATTTGGGGGTCTCATACTGTGGATGGACAAAAACATGCACCAGTTGGTAGATGGTTTATCATCGGTTTATCCATGTTTATCCCATCATATTCCCATGATTTGCAGTTCATGGAAATCCCAAGAGTTACCCTTGTGCAGGATTTCGCAACAGGTTTCCAGCCAGGCCCCATGTGCTCCCGACAAAGCTGGTTCCATAAACTTGCCCAGCTCCATTCCAGCTGAGCGCAAGAGGGAGGGCTGGAGCCTGGCCATTGCAACAAGGGGCCAAATGGGGACCCGTGGGGAGATACCTTGGGTATTTTTGCCCTAGCAGATCGATGTGGACCCCTGGGGAAAGCCAGGAAGGAAGATGATCTCCATCCCGGGGTCTTCCCGTCGATCTGTTCGGTTTTTTTAGAGGATAACTTGATAACCAACTAAAATGGTGATAAACTTGGGATATAACTGGTATGAAAGAAAGTGCGGGTGTTTTAACAATGATCTGCCAATGCATGCTGGGAAATCACCAAATCGGCTGGGAAATCCACTTAAACTATAGCTGGGCATCGAAGTAAATGGGATTTTCCAGCCAGCCATGGTTGAGGGGAGATGAGCCAATAGACCATGTTTTTAATTAAAGAACATTTTTAAGAACATTTTAAAGAACATATCCAAAACAATGGGAGTTGGATGGATGCAGCCAAGAAAATATTGAATATATTGGGAAGTTCAATCAAACAAAAAACAAGGCTGGTAACCAACAGACCTGGGGATTTTTTGCCAATGGGGGATTTGACCGGTCAAAAATGTGAACTTGACATGACTAACCAAAACAAAAGTCATGCTTAGATCTGCTGAGGAATGGGAAGTGAACTCACAGCGTATAATGTATGACTAGTAAAAAAACAATCTGTGCTCAGCTAATGTGGTCACTACAGTAGCCCCCATTGTCCTTACTTGGAGACACAGCTAAAACTAGCCTAATTACAGGGAATTACAGTATCAATCTGCGTGTTTTTTTTCGGCCTCAAATCTTGAACTTTATGTATTTTGTGGGTGCATGTCAAAAGTGCACACCCAAGAATCCAATTTCAACCTCCGCATTAATCACTTTTCCCTTTGCGGTATATAGCTGAATACAACCAAGTGGCTAAAGCACATTCAGACAAACATGTCCATGGCTAGCATCAACTCTGGATTACGAACACTGGTTTACTTTGGGGAGGCCCCAAAAAAGTGATGTCATCTGTACTGAAATGGCACCCTCATGTTTGTTTTGAACCTGTGTTGCGGTCATTCATTTTTCGCTCAATGGATTGACCGATGAAGACTTCATCGCGGAGCTTTTGCACGACCATTGTTCTTTTTCGTCTTTGTCTTCGTTACCTTGGGTCTTGGGAAAGAACAGTGGTAAGAATAGTGCCTTCTAAGACCACTATGAGACACTGACACAGAAAATGCCATAGGTCTGTTTGACATAGGTATCCATAGGTCTGTTTGAAAAGAGGGTACCCCTATATCTACTAGCTGGTTCAGCATCATGTTCCCTGTTAAAAATCTGTTAAAATAACGATGTTGGTCGTGTACACCATGATCAGTTCAGGATGTCACCATATGTCACCCGCGATCCTTTCCCTTCGATGTAGCGGCATCACCTAGGCACTTAGGAACTGGTGGCTTCAACCTCCATGAAATGCTCGTCCAAGCAGGTTTTCCTTATACATTATGTATGGCTAAGCTTGGCTGAAGAAATGAAACTTTTCTGGAACCAGATACGGTTGGTTTTGACTTCGCCGCAGGTCTTTTGATAACGGAGATCTCGTCTTTGCGGAAGAGATCCATAAGTCCTTAGCTCTGCAGCATGCATGGGTGGCATTATGCAGTTTCTTGAGCCTTATCATGCCTTACCCACCAGTGCACTAAGGATAACCTTTAAAGTTAAAGAAGAGGGTATCTGATTGGTGGTACAGTCGAGGGCTGAAGTCAGAGCAATTTTCTTGAATGTGGACAAACCGCTTGCGGAAAAGTCGCCATGACCGGGTCACAGCAGGGTCACAGCAATCCATCAAAACACAAGGGGATTGCCTTTATTTTAAGGATACAAAGTACCATTATAACAAACACGAGAGAGCCCACCCCTCGCACTGCAGACTATACTCTTCTGCCAGCACTGCTTTGCATTACAAACAATCATTCTGCCACAATGGTTTGATTTGAGAAGGAGTAAGACTGAGTGAACGAAGGAAACAATGAAAAGAGAAGAAGTAACAGTCTGTGAGAAAGAAAGAGAAGAAGATAAAAAAAAGGAACAAACAAAGAACACAAATGAAAACAAGTGCTGAAAATACAACCGAACGACCCCCCGAACGACCCCCGAACGACCCCCCGAACGACCCCTGATTCATGAGTTGTCAAGCGCAGGACCCAGGGCCATCATTGACCACAACATGAAGTTCGGAACTCCCTGCGCCACCGCACCCCTTCTTCATCTCAAAAATAAAGAAAACAGCAAGCAGCAGCAAGCAGCAGCAACAGCAAGCAGCAGGCAAGCAGCAGGCAAGCAGCAGGCAAGCAGCAGCAAGCAAGCAGCAGCAGGCAAGCAGCAGCAAGCAAGCAGCAACCAGCGTTTGCCCCCTTGAAAGAATGAACACATATAAGCTTTAAAAATCAACGCGATACTAAAAATTGAACTTTTTCCAGGCGCACGGCCCTAAAACAATGAAATCGTTCAATTACTAAAAGTTGTGATGATGCGAAACTTGAACTTTTTCCAGGCGCACGGCCTCCCGATACGACTTTAAGAAACTGATACGACTTAAACCGAGCACTTGTATGGTCATCCAAGAACCCAACAGAAATACATGGATTTGACCCACAAAAGCCTCTAAAACGATTCAACAAATCACTGCAAATCTCATAGGCACAGCCACAATCGCTACGACCCCCCGGAAAAGCTTCGCCCAATGGTATGGACTCAAAAGCAAAGAATCGCTACGACTTTGACCCTTGACTGTAAGAAACCAGTGAAATGATATATGAGCGTCATTGCTTCCCACCTGCCAAATATGTGTACCCCATTGGTTCCCAGGTGGGCCCATATTGGTTTCCAACCTGTCTAAAGCTGATGAATTACCCTCTGGTAATTTAACATAGCTATGGAAAATTGCCAATTTCTAGTTGATTTACCGAACTTAAAATGGTAACTTTCCATAGCTATGTTAAATTACCAAAGGGTACCTACCATTTCAAGACATGTCATTTGTTTGGTGATTTTAAGGGGCAGTTTTTTCGGCATGTTCCTCTTGCTACTCAGCCTCATTGACATCAGCCAGGCTGCGTGGTTTTTTAGTCCCGGAGTCCGATAAACGTCTGAAGCCAACACCCCACTCCCATATGCTCCACATATGGAATATTTACCTACATGTTCCCCAAAAATGGCCCAAATGTAGGTAAATATTCCATACATGGAGCATATGATGGGACTGACTGTCCAAGGCTATTTACGACAAGGTTTTGAATCACAACTTGGTGCTTTCCAATTGGCTTCCTCGGATCAATCAGAGCTGTCCCACCGTCTTCAACAAGACTCTCCGGCGCTTGTTCTTTCTGGCAATGTCCACCGGGGTGAGACCCTCTGTATTGGTGAGATAGGGCTGGGCACCACGTATCAGCAACATCGTGGCAATTTCCAGGTGGCCATGGGAAGCGGCCTCCCACAAGGCTGATCCTTGGCGAAGAAAGGATTGCCCACTTGGATGTACCTCCCCAAAATGGTAATTAAGCGTATATATATATATATATATATTACATATTCATAGGAGAGCTTGCCATACCGATCTGTTATTGTATTTCTTGATTTTTCTAGGCCCACATGTTTCCCAGTGGAAACCCTGCTTGTTCCCACTCAGGCCCTGGAACACCCCAGGAATCCCTAAATAAAATCATGGGAAATCCCGATCAAATCCCTGACAATCCAGCTAAAAACTCTCCAAATGTTGCCTTGGGTTTATGTGATGTTGATGTGGGTGTCAAATGGGTTTTTGGCCATACCTTGTGGGATTCCAATGGTGGTGTGCATGTTTTTTGTTTCCCTAATGATTTCCCACAAGAACCCCATAACATTCCTACTTGGCTGCCAATAAAACATTATCAAAACAACTATAACCCCATCAAATCACCACCAAAATCCCAAAAATGGGTCAGTGCCACCAAACATGGCTGTAACTAAAACCAATTGATTTCCATTCAACCCCATCAAAATCCCACCAAGATCCCAAAAATGGGCTGATAAAGAACCAAACCCCAAGTAATTCACAATTAACACCACTAAAAGCCAATTACTTTACTTCGTGTGATCCCCACCACGACATTTATACATTTTCTTACTGGCAAATCTTCTGGCATTCTATCTGACATATCTTCTGGCATTCTATCTGGCATATGTTCTGGCATATCTTCTGGCATTCTATCTGGCAAATCTTCTGGCTGGCATATCTTCTGGTATTCTATCTGACATATCTTCTGGCATTCTATCTGGCATATCTTCTGGCATTCTATCTGACATATCTTCTGGCATTCTATCTGACATTCCATCTGGCATATCTTCTGGCATTCTATCTGGCCGTTGAGGTCCGGCAGTGCCCACTGGGATCTGGAGCTCGCAGTTGAGGTCCGGCAGTGCCCACTGGGATCTGGAGCTCACGGTTGAGGTCCGGCAGTGCCCACTGCGACCTGGAAGTCGCGGTTGAGGTCCGGCAGTGCCCACTGCGATCTGCAACTCGCGGTTGAGGTCCGGCAGTGCCCACTGGGATCTGGAGCCCACTGGGATCTGGACTGCGAGGAGGAGGCGGCGGGTGAGGAGGCGGAGGAGGAGGAGGCAGAGGAGGAGGAGGAGAACAGCTCTGATCAAATCTAACAACCCTCACCTGGCAGGAGAGGAATAAAAGCCAACCAAAACCCCACCAAAACCACACCAAAATCCCACAAATGGGGAAAGCCTCCCAGGGCTGTCCAAGCACAAACTTTGGAAATTGAAATGGGGGAACAGAATGCTGCCCTTTTTTACCAGCATTGTAAACTATGGGGTGTGTGTTTTTTTTGGTTATTTGTCATCTAAGATCTAAAAAGATATGTTTATTTCTAATACTTCAGTCATGGAATGAGTAGTAATGTCAATGTGTCACCCTACTTTAATGGTGGTTGAGATCGTGCAGTGAGTAAGAAAACCTATAAAAACCCAACAAAACCAATCAAAATCCCATGGGGCTCATTTGGTGTTTCTTGGGTTTTTGAAATGGTTTTATGGTGTTTTGGTGGGATTGTAGTGCATGAGGTGTTTTTTTTGCCAAAAAGACCCCTAACAAGAGAGTACCCTAAGCACACCTTAGATATACATCTGTAAAAGTGATATTGAATTGGTGGCAATATTAGATACCAAACTGGGATGCACACCCAAACATGTTTACAAGCAGAGAATAAAATATTATTTGAACGGATCAGGCAAAACCTAGTCCTGTCCCAAAACAATATGCACTGACTTAGGGAAAAGGTCGACGACTCCGAGATGAGAGACCACTTTCTCGTTTGCCGGTACAGACGTGGCATCACATGCACCTCACTTTGCAGCGAAATGTTATTGACCCTCCTTGCACCCAAACTTGACAGGTTCTTTACAAGCCCTGTGACTTGTGTTGATCGCAGCCAAGTATCGTTTTTGACTATCCAGTGTATCCACTTCAGCCTGGGACTGAAGCAAATACTCGGCCATCATGATGAAATTCCCTTCAGCTGCAAGCCACAAGGCTGTCCGATTGACAGAGTCTCTGGCATTTATCTCAGCGCCATATTTTAATAGCGATTTCGCTGTCTCGAAGCGATTCTTGCGGGAAGCAGCAAGCAAAGGCGTCTCCCCATCCGCAGCTGCGTGATTCACGTTGGCACCGCTCCTTAACAATACATCAACCACCTGATCATGACCCAGCCTGCAAGCATACAGCAAAACTGTTGTACCTTTGTCGTCGACCACATCCTTTCCGCTTCCATTCTGAAGCAAAAACTCAACCATCGGCACGTCGGCCTCGTTAACAGCAATGCCTCAAGGATTGGTTTGATGGGTAAAGGTCAAACTTGGCTTGGAGGGGTTGAATGATTTTGACGGGTATGTCAGAACTTGGAGTGCTCCCCAAGGAAGCAACACCACTGGCAGATGCAACTAATTACCAATATTCACCAAGTTAGGAAACTACATAAACAATGGACTACCTCTGCCACTTGAGATCTGTGACAGCAACTGGGCTACACACGGACTGCATTGGGCAGTCACCATTCATGGTGAAAACAGTGGTCAATGCTCGGATGGTCCCGATAAGCACAAACTGAAACATGATTTACGACCCTGGACCTTCCAAAGTACAATGCGGATTTTTGCACTTAAAGGGGCCGATTGAAACAATTCCTTGCCGATTGAATGGTTTGTTCTTGAATGTGGGAAGGTTTTCAAGCAAAAACAAACTCTTTACAGAAGTTCTGACTGCCACCTTTGATCATCACCCCGTCACGACGATCAGCACCATCAGCATCAGAATCACCATCAGCATCAAAATGTACAAAATATGTATGTAACTATGCATTTCAGTATTGCAGAAACTTTTTCCAACATCACCAATAACACTTTGATCATCATCACGATCATCATCCTCATCCTAATGCAGGTGAAGCAAACAAGTCTTGATCCAAGGGTGGGTGTTGATACGGGCCGCTCCCAAATTGCCAGAGACCAGTTTTTCACAAAAACTCCAGAGAACCCCCAGCACTCCCAGCACTGCCAGAATCCAAGCTACGCAGAGGCGTGCGCTGCTCGTTCCAACGATAGGAGATTTCGTCTGGATCCGCTTTGGCTTGCAGTAACAAGCTCGCCTTGGCATCATCGTCGCTGGTCCCATGGGTCTTAAATATTGACCCCCTGCTTCATAATTCTTTAAATATATAGTTAACTATATACAGTAGTCCATTATAGTACTACATAGTTCAAATAGAAAACAAGATAAAACAATGTCGGATTGTCTGAAAATAGGGTCTCAAATGTCGTGTTTCATCATTTTCTCCTCTCAATGGCCATTTCATTGCCATTTGAGGATACATCATTTTCAGACAGACCCAGTTGAGAACCATCACCCAGGTACGTTTTCCCGATTCCCATTCCACACAGCCATACTCAAGACTTCGCGTTGCGAAGGATTGGCGCCAGCGTCCAGAAGCAATCGTACACACCTCGTGTCAAAACAACGGCAGAATGTGCCTTTCGAAAATTAAAACTATACATATATTATACTAAAATATACTGTAATGTATGTCTATTATACAATGATATATATATATATATACATATTAATATGTATGTATGTATGTATGTATGTATGTATGCATGCATGTATGTATGTATGAATGTATGTATGTATGTTTGTATGTATGTAAGTAAGTAAGTAAGTATGTATGTATGTATTAAAATGTATGGTGTATATATCTGGGTAAATTATAATAGTTCACCAACCTGAATTAAGGCCATTTGGGGATGATTCCCCTTACTAAGTATGATTATAGTGAGGTCGCAGTGAGGTCGGTATAATTTACCCAGATATATTGCACTCTTTATATACTATGTATGTATATTGGCCAGCTTCACTTTGTTGGCGCGGGCCCACTTTACCCTGGCAATATCATCTATTGTAATCCGTATCAAAATATCATACAATATCATATCAGGTAAACCATGTCATATTATTATACTATATGATATTACATTATAGTGTATTCTATTATATCATTTTATATTATATTGTATTTCATTGCAGAACATTATCATAAAATCATACAAAATTTGATATATATATATGTGCTTTAATATATTTTATTAAACAAATTATGAATTTAAAAAATTATATTACATTAGATTATGAACAATATAATATCATATCATATAAAATTATATACATGTACTATATAATATTCAATTACATTAAAAGTTAGATTACACTAAATACTATGTTACATTATCTATTATGTCGCATTGTATATAGCGTTCCCAAAAAACAAAAATGCAATATATCACATAATTAGTTTACTGTGTATATTATACAAAATATTAAATACGTTAAAGTATATGATTAATTATATTACATGATGAATCATATCATATGATGAATCATGTTTTAAATTAACTATTATATATATTATATTGTATCTTATCTTTAAAAAACATATATTATATATTGTTATATATACAATATATAAAATTATATATATTATAATACAGTATATAAACCGTGTTTTTCAATTGTATCTTATTTATCATATATCATATATTATTAATTAAATAGTAGACATTGTATATCATGTATATATAGATATTATAGAATATATTGCAGTGTATTGACAATAGGGTATATTTGAAAAATACACTATGACTAAAGATTATCTGATCACACGTTTTACTTTAAAACACATATATGCTAAAATATGTTTTATTGCACTATGTTTCATGCAAAATTGTTTGTATGTTCATTGGTATATTTAATTATATTCTTTCAAATAAAAGAAACAAAACAAAAACTCACAGGACCCAACTCTCTGCATCTTCCTCCAACCCTCGGGCCCCTCCGGGTGTGCAATCTTGTTCTGTATTTTTCTTTTAAATATGCTATTGTCTTTTTTTGTTGTATGCTTTACAAAGGAAAGAAACTGCAAAGGCGAGATTGCAAAGAGCAAACTAACCCATTGCAATTAAGTGTATAAACAACACAAAAAAAAACATCTCTGTCTCAGTGTGTTCTCTCTTATTGTCTTCTTACATCATGTCATTTTCAAGTATAGTATTTATATTATCATATTATAGTCTAGTTTATTATTATATCATTACCACATTCTATTATGTAAATATATATATATACATATTATCAAATTGTATGTACAATATATTGTATTACATCATACGACATCAGAATTTGGTCAACGATAATGGCAAAGTAACCATCAATAAGAAAAATCACAGGAATCAAATAACCATGCAATGTGGGGCCCTCGGTCGATAGCTAAGTTGGTGAATGTAACTCCAATAACTATGGTTTATGATACTTACAACTATAGTATCCAGGGGGCTTATAAACCAACATCATCCAGAATTGGCTGCTGGTCTCGAGCCAATTTAAAAAAAAAAACGTCTGGTCATCTGGTCAGTGGTGGATCATGGTGGATCCACATTCGCCAGCCATGGGGATGAAGCCAGTTACTAGCCATCCCATGATTTCGATGGCAAGTCACGACGTCACTGGTCATTCCAATTCATCCAGATTTTATCTGCTTGGTGGTTGACCTACCCCCCTGAAAAATATGAGTTGGTAAGTTGGGATGATGACATTCCCAATATATGGAAAGTCAAAAAAGCCATGTTCCAAAGCACCAACCAGTGATCCAATTCTAAGGGATTTGAACCCTGAATCTGGTTGGTGCTGAAGTCACCTGGGCCCCAAGTGCTGTGTTTAACGTTAGATTCGCAGGGTATCCCCTGGTCTGATTCGCGGAGGCGTTCATGGAAAATCCCCGATCTTTTCATACCTGACGTCAAACATGGTTAGGTGGGAAGCACACTACAAATAGGCATTTCATGGCATTTCAATGGGAAAGTCATCCAGAAATGGGTAAATTCTCCAGCTAGCAATGTTTACCAATTGGGGCATCTTTTCGACCCAGAGACTCTGGTTCATTGGCAATAACTCCGGCAAGAAGGGCGCATCGAAATGATCTTACGCCCTTCAGACGCTTGCGTGGGAAGCGACGCCACCATTCTTTGTCCATGAGATGTGGCGGAGGGTCGGGATGGATTGGAATCCTGGAAGGTCAGGGGAGGTGATTGAATAAATCCAACGGGCAATGGGATACATTAAAGAGACACGATGAAAAGAAAAGGGACCATGTTTCAATATGTTGGATATCAAAATCCTCCGAATGGATTTCAGATTTCGAGATCCAAGAACTGAAACATATTAAGAAAACAAAATGTCACATGTTTCCACTAAGTATTTTCCACAGGATTTTTAGCCCCCCTATCAACCCATTATCAGATGTTATCAAACAGATGTCATTCATATTATGTGAAAACATAACATCAATAAATGTCAATCAAATAAGCAAATGATTGACAAACAAAAACATAAAATTACTTTACTTCGAGTGATCCCCACCCTGGCATTTCAAGTCAGATATTCTGACATATATTTTGACATTTTACCTACAGTAACATTCTATCTGACATCTATTCTGATATTCTATCTGGCATATCTTCCAGCATTTTATCTGGTATATATTTTGGCGTTCTATCTGGCATATATTCTGGCATTCTACGTGGCATTCTTTCTCGCATATATTTTGGCATTCTATGTGGCATTCTATGTGGCATATATTCTGGCCGTCTATCTGGCATATATTCTGGCAGTCTTTCTGGCATATATTCTGGCATATATTCTGGCCGCTGAGGTCCAGCAGTGCCCACTGAGCTCGGAAGGTCCCAGCTTGAAGTCCAGCGGTGCCCACTGGGCTCGGAAGGTCCCTGGTTGAGGTCCAGCGGCGCCCACTGCGCTCAGAACCTTGCGGTTGAGGTCCAGCCGTGCCCACTCAGATCGGAAGTCGGCAGTTGAGGTCCAGCAGTGCCCACTGCGCGCGGAAGTTGGCGAAGAGATTGGCGAAGAGTTGGCAAGGCGGAAGTGGACGTGGAAGTGGAGGCAGAGGTGGTGGAGGAGAAGGAGGAGGACGAGGAGGAGGTGGAGGAGAAGGAGGAGGAGGAAAAGCCGGAACAGCTGTGATAAAATCTAACAACCCTCACCTGGCAAGTGGGGAACAAATACATCAATTACTTTACTTCGTGTGATCCCCACCATGACATTTATACATTTTGTTACTGGCAAATCTTCTGGCATTCTATCTGACGTGTTATCTAGCATTCTATCTGGCATACCTTCTGGCATTCTATCTGGCATATCTTCTGGCATTCTATCTGGCATATCTTCTGGCATTCTACCTGGCATATGTTCTGGCATATCTTCTGGCATTCTATCTGGCATATCGTCTGGCATATGTTCTGGCATATTCTTCTGGCATATTATCTGGCAAATCTTCTGGCATTCTATCTGGCAAACATTCTGGCATTTTATCTGGCATACCTTCTGGCATTCTATCTGGCATATCTTCTGGCATATTATCTGGCAAATCTTCTGGCATATCTTCCGGCATTCTATCTGGCATTCTATCTGGCATATCTTCTGGCACATGATCTGGCATATCTTCTGGCATTCTATCTGGCAAACATGCTGGCACTTTATCTGGCATATCTTCTGGCATTCTAACTGACATTTTATCTGGCATTCTGCCTTCTGGCATTCTATCTGGCATATCTTCTGGCATTCTATCTGGCATATCTTCTGGCATTCTATCTGGCATATCTTAGAGCTTTCTATCTGGCATATCTTCTGGCATTCTATCTGGCCGTTGAGGTCCAGCGGTGCACGCTGAGCTGGGCAGGTCCCAGGTTGAGGTCCAGCGGTGCACACTGAGCTGGGAAGGTCCCAGGTTGAGGTCCAGCGGTGCACACTGAGCTGGGAAGGTCCCAGGTTGAGGTCCAGCAGTGCACACTGAGCTGGGAAGGTCCCAGGTTGAGGTCCAGCAGTGCACACTGAGCTGGGAAGGTCCCAGGTTGAGGTCCAGCAGTGCGCACTGAGCTGGGAAGTTCCCAGGTTGAGGTCCAGCGGTGCAGACTGAGCTGGGAAGTTGGCAAAGAGCTTGGCGAAGAGTTCGCAAGGCGGAAGTGGAGGTGGAAGTTGATGCAGACATGGTCGAGGAGAAACTGGAGGAGGAGGAGGGGGAGGCGAGGAATAGGAGGAGGAGGAAGAGGAGAAGAGCTAGCCGAGGAGGAGAAGAACAACTTTGATAAAATCTAACAACCCTCACCTGGCAGGTGGGGAATAAATGTTAAAAATTACTTTACTTCGTGTGATCCCCACCATGACATTTATACATTTTCTTACTGGCAAATCTTCTGGCATTCTATCTGACATATCTTCTGACAATCTATTTGGCATTCTATCTGGCATATCTTCTGGCATATGTTCTGGCATATCTTCTGGCATATCTTCTGGTTCTATCTGGCATTCTATTTGGCATTCTATCTGGCATATCTTCTGGCATTCTATCTGACATATCTTCTAGCATTCTATCTGGCATTCTATCTGGCATATCTTCTGGCATATATTCTGACATATTTTCTGGCATTCTATCTGGCATCCTATCTGGCATTCTATTTGGCATTCTATCTGGCATATCTTCTGGCATTCTATCTGGCATATCTTCTGGCATTTTTCTGGCATTCTATCTGGCAAATCTTCTGGCATTCTATCTGCATTCTATCTGGCATTCTATCTGGCATATCTTCTCTTCTGGCATTCTATCTGGCATATCTTCTGGCATATCTATCTGGCATATTTCTGGCATTCTATCTGGCAAATCTTCTGGCATTCTATCTGGCTATCTGGCATATCTGGCATTCTATCTGGCATATCTTCTGGCATATATTCTGACATATCTTCTGGCATTCTATCTGGCATTCTATCTGGCATTCTATCTGGCATATCTTCTGGAATATCTTCTGGCATATCTATCTGGCATATCTTCTGGCATATTTTCTGGCATTCTACCTGGCAAATCTTCTGGCACTCTATCTGACATTTTATCTTCCTACATGAGGTCCAGCAGGGAACACTTGGCATGGATACTCGCGGTTGAGGTCCGGCAGGGAACACTGGGCGTGGATGGCCGTGGTTGAGGTCCGGCAGGGAACACTGGGCGTGGATGGCCGTGGTTGAGGTCCGGCAGGGAACACTGGGCGTGGATGGTCGTGGTTGAGGTCCGGCAGCGAACACTGTGGATCGCGAGTCGCAGTTGAGCAGGAGGACGAGGAGGACAACGAGGACGACGAGGACAACGAGAGGAGGACGACGAGAGGAGGAGGAGAGGAGGCAGGAGAAGGCAACTTAGATAAAATCTAACAACCCTCACCTGGCAGGTGGGGAAAAAACACATTCTCCCAAGATTATTCAGAAACCCCGTATTTTCTCACGGTATATCATGGTCCCATTGTTTTCCACCAAGCATCTTCCGAGGGGGTCTTAGCCTCCAAATCATTCTCCCAAGTTGTTCAACCCCTTCTCAAACAAACTATATATCTATAGAAACAAGTACAATCCATATATGTATATATATATATATAATTATATATATATATTATAACAAAACACATCATCAATCAGCATCCTATTTTTCCCAAGAAGCATCTTCCAAGGGTTTATTAGATCCGTCAGAATCATCAACCCATGATCAAAATTCATCACACATCTTTTTCCACCAAGCTATAGTTATAGTTATAGGGGCTGTATCATTTTTATATCCCAACTTATGGAAGATGTTCCCCAAAGTTCTCATTTATCTGGGCAAATTACAATAATTCACAAAGCTGAAAAGTTCGGCTATATTAGGATAATTCACCTTACAATTCCCATGATTCCAGTGAGGTCACGAGGTGAGGTCACCACAATTTACCTCGATTTTTGCGTCAGCACACACATCATGATAGAGGTTTCCCATCACGTTACATCCCAACTTATGGTTCAGTTTTCCCATGGTTCCCATTAGAAGCTAATTTTATCTAATTTTCCATTTATATGTATATCCCATTATATCACTCTATTCCCACCCACTGGACTGCAAATGAATTTCCCATTTATCACCATTTATCCATGAAATCACCAAGCATCCGCAAGACCTTCTCCAGCTCCTGCGTGTTTCCATGCTCCGCGTGACTTTCCAACGCGTCCAGTGCTGTTTCCAGGGCCTGGACCTCCTCCTGGAAGGGCAGGAGAATCATTTGGAGCTCGGAGCCTTGACTCAACGTTTCCAGCAGCTGGGTGTCAGGCAACTCTACCTCAGGGAAAAGGAGATCCCTGAAGAATATCTGAGAAATGTTCATGGGAGTTTCATGGGATTTTCATGAATGTATTGGGATTGTCAATGATTGTCATGGGATTTTTGACTGGAATCACATTGGATTTTAATGATTTGATGGGATTCTCATGTAATCTTAATTCGATTTCATGGTGGATTCATGGGATTTTAATGCATGTATTGGGATTTTCATGGAATTTTGGATTGGAATTTCATGGGATATTCATGATTTGAGTGGATTTTCATGGGATTTTGACAGGATTGAATGGGATTTTACCAGCCATTATGGGTTATCAATAACCAACCATAAAACAATAACGGGGTATCAGGGTATAAATACCAAGGATTTGGACTAAATGCCACTTAACCAACAAAGCTGTTGGTATACCAAAAAAACAAACCAATGAATTGTGACAATGGAATACCATATATATATATATACGTATATATAATAGGATATAGAGCCAACGGTATCCAACAATTTGGTATTTGGCTTTGTTGCACAATGAGGGGCAAGTGAGAAGGATATTTTAACATAAACCGAAGGTGCTAGCATGGTCAGAACCCGGTACCCTTCCACACCAAATACAGTAACTGGTAACGGTAAATGGAACAAAAAATGGTCCCACAGGCCCATAGGTATTAACCTACTCTATATCTCTGAAATAAAGAAATCAAATTGCATACCAGCTTCATTGTCCAAGAGCAACCTCTGCCTGCCAAGCACCAAGTTCACCCAGATGGTATGTCATTTCTGGGAGAAAAAAAAACATGTACACGGTCCTGTCAGCCCTGTGTCCGGCTAGTGCTACTATGATAAGCCCAAAAAGGATAGACAGGATGGTATAAATGATGTTTCCCGTATGATTTCCAGGTTTCCAACTGTCTATCTTTGTTGCGGTGCGAAAAATTGAAAAGGCCCCCATGGCATGGAAATTTGCATCAAATGTACCCAATTGCGAGGCGGATGAATTCTAACCCCATTGGGGAACGCATTGGCCATAGGCACTGATCCCTTGTGGGAAACATGCATATTGAATCCATGTAGATCCTAATCCGGGTGAAGTCCCAATAGCAGCCCATCACCTATTCCATTCATACGGTACATGGTGATCTCAACGCAAGTCACCACCAGCTTTTCATAATTACAGGGCTGATTGCCCTCAATACCCTATATACAAGCAGGGAAAATAAGATCAAAGTACGATTTTCCTTCGTTGTGGCCACAATGTACCTATAGGTAGGAGAAACCCTTTTATGTTTCTCCTCCCCAAACCCAAAGCCAGGCCTGTAAATGGAGGCATCAACCAGCGATTTGCAGTGATGTTTCAGGCTCTTCACGGTTGAGCCGAATTTCATGGTCAGAGCTTTCAAAGCTTTCCTGGTGAAAACCCGAGTCAAATAATCTTGACTCTTGACTGGCTACCTTCCAAAGAACATATCCAGTAGCAAAATCCAGCAATGTAACCCAGTTCCCAATCTGGGTTGTGTCAGCATCAAGCACTCATGGAGGTTTTTCAGACCTGCCATTGGTTTCAACCCATTCCTTGCAGCAAATCATCCCATGTACAATACAAAACAACCCAAGTTTTGGAGAAGAGAACTATGACATCTACTGTTTGGACATGACCTGTGGGATCCCATGGGCAAGTTGTCTGGATTTGGACATGACCCATATCCAGTCTGAGTTCACACAGGGTTTTTACCAAGGTCCCTCCTCTTTCGAGGTTTAGCAAGTTTCCCTGGGATGGCCGGCCGAGTTTCTCATCAAAAGAACACAGGACTTCTCCGGACAACTTCACAAGACGAATCATCGGCGTCGTGGCGGCATGTGGCTGAGACATCTGAGACTCCCGCAGCAAAGCCCAAAGAAATTCAGCAGCAAAGCTTCTGGTATCATCTCTCATGTCTGAAAATTTAAGGGACAAAGCCGCACATGTCATGCTTTCAAAATGTTGAAAACCTCATTTTTCCCTTGACATTGCCATAAGTGGGGGGGTATTCTAACCATCATAAAGCAGATTTCTTCCGGAGGACCTATCCAAGCAAACCTCTTTGATGTGGCTCTTGAGCCGCTTGAGCCGCTTGGCCAAGGCTGAAGCTGTGGCTATCACAACATTATTTCACTAACCTGAATTAAGGCCATTTGGGGATGATTCCCCTTATTAACCATGATTCCCAGTGAGGTCGCAGTGAGGTCGTTATAATTTACCCAGATATATATGTAGATATATACAATTTTATACATATAATATACCCTCTGGTAAATTAACGTAACTATGGAGAATCACCATGTTTAATGGGAAAATCCACTATAAATGGTCATTTTCAATAGCTATGTTAAATTACCAGAGGGTATACACGTACATGAGTACGTACCTATCACTGTCTATTTGTTTCTTACATCTCCTCCAGACTGTGGCTTTGCAGCGAGCAGAACTCAGACTGTCTCAGACTCATCAAATTGTCGCTTCCAGTTTGATTAAGACATATGCCCATGGTTTCTCTCGGTGGAATGGGTACAAAACGGTGTATATATATACACACTACCATTCTATTTCCTTCAAAGGTTTCTCTATACCCACAATATCCCCATGTTTGATGGGTAAATTCTCCTGACTTGAAATATCTAGGGCTTTAGGACCCACTGACTCTCGGCAGTCCGCTGCAGTCCCAAGGAGAGCACAGTCAATGACCCAACCAACAGTTCATGATCTCTTTCATCCAATCTATCCATATAACAATGTATCTGTCTGTATATCTATCTGTATTAATGCACGTCTATGTATTATATACATTCACAATCATTTACATACAGTATAATATATATATATTATTATTCTTATAAGTCTCAATCCAATATCAAAAACTCTTCGTGCTACAACTAATATCATACTGCTGCATCAAGTGCCCCTCACGGAGCCCACCTGACTTACCACGCGTGCAGCGCCCACATTGCCCTCATGGAAGGCAGCCATATAACCTTGGTCTTCCGAGCTTTTCCGAAGGGGTGATGTCACCAATTCCAATGATCCTGGGACCACATCAGGCGATCTAGGCGAGTTCACTATGGTAGGGGCTGACATCAAAATGGCCGGTGTCGCCAAAAAATGAATCCGCCGGGTTCGAGCATACTCTGGAAGTCAACCCGCAAACTTACTTGTGTGTTCTCTTCCTTTGGCTGGTTTTCAAACGGTAGAGTAACCACCAAACATGTAGAACAAAATCAAGAAGCAACTCATCGGTGTTTTGGTGGGGGGATCCCAGGCCTCTGGCCATGGACAATTGTGTATTTATAGATGATATATCTATCAAAACATGTGCCAGATTCCATGGATATATAATCTATATAACAAATTACCAGAGGGTCGTCCATATCATGATAATGTTCAACATCCACATCAAACACAAATTTTACCATTTGGTTGTTTAACATAGCTTTGGAACATGGCCCATTTATAGATGACTTATGATGATTTACATTGATTTACCTATTAGCTACGTTTAACTAGAGGCAAACAAATAATGGGTATTCTTTATCTATCATTACCCATTGTTCCATTGTTATCATTTAAATTACTAATAACTCCAATTTCGTATGATCTATCATTTTATGCATAATATAATATATATACACATAATATATATATATGTTATAGATATGTGATATATAGGCTCTATATTAAGGGGACCCACTAAAAAAAAGGGTTTCACCTGGTAGCTCGATAGGGTCCTGAGGCCTTGACCCAGCTGCCGCTGAACGCAACACAAGAGGGCGCAGTTCCCGGCCATTTCCTGCGCACCAAAACGACGGTGGAAAACATGTTTTTTGTAGGGAATTTCTAGAAAGGTGGCTTCCTAAGGGATTTAACGTCCGAAAAGATGTGTTATTTTTTGAATCCCACCCCCTTCGAAACCATGGTTTAGTAGACAATTTCCGCATCATTGGGATCATTTCGGGGGTATTTCTTAGTAGGGTTTGCCATATTTGTTTCACCATTGCGGTTTTGTATTGACATGTACTGACCATAATATGGTTTTGGTATCCACAATCTAACTATTCCTCTTGTTTGGTTTCTGAACTTGCAACAAAAACAACAACAATGCTATGGACTTGTTTCCGGAAAACGAAGTTGTGGATGTAAAGCCACCATCATGGTAGAGAAAACACTGCTGGAAAAGGAACCTGCAATCAAAACAACATGTTTAAACTTTTACCGTACACATGTGGAACAAACAGGATTACAGAAATTAAATGTACGGAAAGCATACATATAATATAATATATATATATCTTGAGCAGAGAAACAAACAACCACTGATTGGGAAAAGCACTATTGAATCTCATGTTTTCCTAATATGTCCAGATGTCAGATGTCTGTGGAACAGGCTCTCGTTCCCTGAGGCATCACTGAAAGGGGTGACATCTCCATGCCCACTGGGTCCATGTTGTCAGCATTTTTGCGGATTGGTCACCCGTTGTAGGTAGTTGTCACAAAAAGTCCCTTTAGTTCTCAACGATTTCCAGTCTTCATTGTTTCAATGGTTGGTTCTGTATCCAAACCAAATCTTGGATTTGCTTTATAAGTAACCAACAAGCTAACATGTTCCCAGTAAATTCCCCAACAATGGTGGATTTGCCATTGGAAAAATTACGCTAATTCATCACCTTATTACTTGCTGAATTATCGCAATTCACCAACCTTGAAATAGATCTACCCTCTGGTACACTAACATAACTATGGAAAATCACTATTTTAAGTTCGGTAAATCAACTATAAATGGGCCATGTTCAATCGCTTTTTGTATGTTTCCCAGAGGGTCAACAGGCGGCCGTTGATCCCAGAGCGTTCCCCCAGCCCCGATCCAGGGCGATCCTCCGTGTTGCCCAAGCTTTCAATCTGGGACCACTTCTCTTCAACCTTCGCTGGCACGCAGGTCTCTTGAAAACCTGAACCACCAAAAAAAAGGGGTAATGACGGGTAATGTGAGTACAACAATGCCATAAACCACCCATATGTTGATGGTTTATAAAGTTTATAGCACCCATTTATGCTGATTTTGGGGATGATTAATTATTGTCTTACCCACATTTATCTTGACGGGTCAACGGTGGAGCCAACCGGTCTATCCATGCTGGATGGTGAACATGGCTATTTCTGCAGAATTCATGGATTTTCTTCCAAACACCAAGGCAAATCCCATAGGATCCATGGTGCTGGTATATATGCTAACATAAAGGGGGTATATTGATGGGATCCATGTTACCATATATAGCAGCACCATGGATCCTATGGGAATGGTTAGGGCGAACAACTTAGTGTGATTCTCTCTAACACGCAAGAAACATGTATTAATGTAGCTCCAAGGGCGCCTCGCTGAGAGAAAGTGCCGCGACCTGACGTGGAGATGTTTATGGTTGTTGGTCGTTATCCAGTATATATATATATATCTCTAGACCCCAAAAACTCCATCTGATCCAATGATATCCTCTAGCAAAAAAAAACAAGTATCAGTTTAGTAGACATAATCATCTATGATCTATATCGATTATATATATATATATATACATCAATTTAATTCAATTTACCTATCGCCGTATCCGTTGTGAGAAAATCTGGAGCTCCTTTGATTCGACCGACGAGTTGTCCTCTTTTTGGATTGTGAAATACCATGGTTTCCCCAGCTGCCTCCAGAAGCTCCTTGATTTGTTTAAGCAAGCCGACTGATATAAATGATATATGCAATTATATGCATATATACGTGCAGAAACCAAATATGTATCGTTCAAATTTGGGACATAGGCCATGAATCATCAATGTAAATATGAGTTAGACCCCAAGGTAACTGCTCCAGCTTTAAGTTCTGATGATTTGCCAAGTACAACCACAATTTCTCACGGTCAAACAAAAGGTGGTAATGACAAAAAGACCCATCATTCCGGGCAAATCACTATAAGAAGAAATAATACACATGTATCCCAAATCTCCCAAATGGGAAATACACATCAAACATCAGAAAACAACCATGTTCGGGATGATTCCCCTTATGAGCTCTTTAGCCCCATCATTCACTCGAAGGCGGCCCGTTAGATAGCTTCATGTATGTTGGATCCCATTGAGTCACCACGAAGTTACCATTTTTCTAGACATATCCTATGGTGAATCCGGTGAATTGACATAGAATATATAGATGATAGATGTGGAAAATCAACCATTTGCAGAGAATTTTCCGAAACCAAAGGTTTTCCGTACAGTTTTGATTTTATGTTTGCCCTACTCAGATGGGCCATGGGGGGGTGTTAAGTCGCTAGCAAATAGATTATAGATTACTATATAATTATATACTTGGGATATAGT